ATCAATCCCTAAAGATGATCTCTGATAACCCCAAGCTGGTCCATTGCACTGCTTACGAGGAGGCCTTGGGGAGTGCACTTACCATGACAGTCCCCGACAAGGACGGTGTGAGTGCCTGTGCTGTGTGGTGTGAGATGGCCAACTATTGGCGTCGTGAGAAGGGCATCACTCTGGTAGAGAGGCTGAATGAGCTGAGGGAAATGGTGGGATATTTCGTACAACACAACGGCTACTTTATTTCGACCGATCCGAAGGTCACCAAGCAAGTTTTCGATGATTTCCGCAATAATGGTCAGTACAAAGACCATTTGGGGGCCTCGAATATCGCTGGAATACGCGATGTCACTCTTGGCTATGACTCGAGAACTCCCGATAAGAAGAGTGCTCTGCCGCAGACCCCCAACGACCAGATGATCACCCTGTACTTCGAGAATAAGGCCACTGTCACTATCAGGGGCTCTGGTACTGAGCCTAAGGTGAAGTACTACTGCGAGGCGAGCGATAAGAAGGGCATGAGAGAAGCTCAGCAAAGATTGGACGGAGTGGTGAAAGATGTGATTGACCATTTCCTCCAACCCGCTAAGTTTGGCCTAACGTCGAGGTGAGTAGCCTTGTCGTTGGCTTTGTTATGGTCCATAGTGGACATTGTTATAAGAATATGATTTTCAGCTCATACTGTATATCGCGTTTGTCAATCGTGTGTGTTGCGCGACCAGATTGTTAGTGCTGAAGATTGTTATGAAGAGGATCTATTTCACGGACACTTAGAGAAGGATGATGATGATCCCAAACCTTCTCTTGGCCTCTACAGCAGATACACGTTATGCCGGATTACGGCATCTTTAGACTTGCTGTTGTCATAGTGCCGATTGGGAAGAGGCTCAGCCTACTGCCAGGTGGTTACGCTATAGTCAGGCAGCTCAAAAACGAGTGAACTCCGGCGGCCTTCATTCGTAATGGGCGTTTGGGCCCTTGAAGACGGCCCAGAAGTAGTCTTAGGTCGGTCGAGGTGTGATGGATAGGGTTCACAACGAGATCACCATCCATCAGGAGCTCAAGCATAAGAATATATTCACAATGCATGGGTAGAGGGAGCCGGTCGGACTTAACCGTGTTAGGTTTCTGAAACCCTATGTCCACATTGGTCGAGTGTTCCTTTCCTCGACCGAGCCCCGGATGCTCGGTGTGTACATTGAGGTGTTGGCGGTGATCTCAGATGACTCATCTGGCAGTGATGATTAGATGGAGGTTGTTCTTATCTAGTGGGAGCGATGATGGCACACCATTGGTAGATTAGCAGAGAGCATCTCTTTCGATTAGCGATTATGTACACGTTGCTACTATTATTATATTGGCTGTTAGGAAGTCCTTTTGGCTTGTTACAGTGGATCGCCATGCACACCTTGTTTCCATGTAAAGGACTATGTGAAGACTGCACTTTTCTGTTTGGGAGTGTGCTGATAGCATGCTAGTTATATCTCGTGTCTCGGTGCTCTTGCGTTGATATGGGTAGCGTATGGGTAGAGCCGTTGAAAGGTCATCACTTCTATGGCGCGTATCGGCACATCAAACTTTAGACATAGCACGAGAACGGACGAGAGGCATGATGCTTCCTGGAGAGAAATCGTGACGCTCGAGAACGACATCAGAAATAGAGAGACGTACGTTGGCTACCTGGCAGGCCTCATAGTGCCAGTTTAGGGATTCGGCATCCTTCTGTCAAATAATAGAGAGTAGCGAAGTCCCTAAGTGGAGCACGACCAACGCACAGTTTCAAAAGAGTGCGGTTGCACTGAAAGGTAGGAGCGACTTGATGCTAGTTCTTGGAAAGGCAGCATGCCTACGAGAAATGATCCCGAAGGTCCATAGTCGTAGGCATCGCATTAGAGACTATGTTCAGATGCACTTCCACCTGCAGGGAAGCCCTCTCCATATCTGGCGAAGTTGTATATGCCATAGTGTTGAAAATATATGGCTTTTTGTTGTGGCTGCACTCTGTTGTGTTGAGCAGTATTAGACCTAGTCGAATAGGGAGACCGGGATTCGAACCAGGGTTGCTAGGAGAGAGGCTTGGGATGGTCAAGTGCATCACCATTGAGGTATTTAGTTTGATGGGTTCACGGGGTTCAGCGAAGGCAGGGCCTTCGAATGTCCTGCGAGCTCGACTCGACTCACATCATTGCGGTCAATCACATGAGTTTCTTTAGAAGTAGGTCGCCGTTGTAGCCGTTGAAGATCTTCAAGAGTCCTCCACAGAAGAGCAATGCACTGTTGCGAGCGAAGATCCTCAATTGTGTCATGACTTTTGAGATCCCTACAGCCTTACAGTTTTCCTGTTACGAACATGCATCTACCGTCGATCGGCAGCCATCTCACCCACGCGTTGTCTAGCCTGTCAATTCATCCCAAGGGGGGCTCTATCGACAGCATCCACACTAACCACCCACGCCATCACGGGTCTCCACGTAGGACTAGCATGCCATATGCTCCCACACCCTTTGATCAGATCATCTCTCTAAGAGACTGCACAGTCTGTTGTATCGTCATGAACCTCGTAATAGACACCCCATAATGGCTTAAACCCAGTGGCTTTTCCGCAGTTCATCAGTGTAGATGCTCATATATTCCTTATGCCCACCATGTCCCCTAGTGACCCTTTTGGACACCCCGTACTTGGCCGAGTGAGTGAACCAGCGTTGTGATCGTATGTCTGAAGTGACACTATGTGCGCTCCTTTTCAGTTGCGAGAGCTCCTACCCAACTACGGGCCACTTGCCTCGTCAATTAAACTCCCTGCCCTAACGCCTCTGGTCGGGCCATCGGAGCGACCCGTCACCGAAGGGTTCCTCTGACTCCATGAATGCATTGCTTCCATACTAGAGCACTATGTCATATTTCGATGTTCATACTCATAGTAACAGAATTCGCCATATTCGAGTTGATCAGTAGGGACTTATACAGAGATGACGATTCCCGTTAAAAACACACTACACCACTCAATAGTGGGAGGTTACTCCGAGTGTCGGGAGTGGGATGGAAGAACTTGATGGCAGACGAAAAAGGTGAAGGTTGTTGATACACACTATGGCTGAGTGAATAACTCCAAGCAATGGGTGAGTCCCCGAACCAAACTAGTGCAACTCAACAACAAGAAGTATTCCTTCATGGACAACGTTTTCAATGTACGGGCCCCGTACTACGGGGTAGTCAACTTCGCTCCTCTAATCCCTCTTCGAGGGTTTCATCATCATCTTCAACATCGCCAGCCGCGGGTTTGCCGACCACTCTGGCCCTCGCCCATTGGCGACATAGCTTGGCTGAGCAGCCTATAGCACATACGAGCATAAACAGTATAATGAGGCCTCCAATAATTGCAGCTAATCTAAAAAGAAAAAATCCAATCATTCAAAAAGTGGAAGGAGCCTTACTCGATAGTAGAGATGTTGCCACCAAAGGAGCCTCCGGCTTGAGAAGAGCTAGTGCCGATTTCGGTCCCCGACACTTCAGGCGGGTCGAATTGGTTAATGATAGTTCTATTCGCTGGAATGCTCATGGTGGACAGTTAAGTCTGTTTGAAGTAGCCCACCTGGTCGTAGTTGGGTTGTCTGAAACGGCTGAAATTGGCGAGCGAGATTTATTATGCGCTCAAGATCACCCGCGCGCGCCATTCCGATCGACTTCATTTTTTGTGGTTGAGTTGAAAGCCTCCGGTTTCCAAACATTCGTGACGTATAAGTCGTCGTTAATGCAGTGAGTGCCTTTGTGACAGCGTGAGACTTGAGGGTTAGAGGTAACCAAGAAACGGTAGTGAGGGGCCTCATCGGAATAAGATCGAATTATAAGTTCCCACAAGCTTCCGGAGGGGTATACAGCACTCATTGTCGCAGTACGGTTGTCCATTACACACAATGGTTGATCGACTACTACTCAGCCGAATACACGCAACGAGTCGGGATGGTGACACGAGAAATGTCACAGAGATCGTCACCAAATTACGGGAGAAATGGCCGGGTAGGCAGCGAATGATCTCAACGTCCACCCACGGGGGCTTTCCGCATCAGAATACCGTCGGTTAAAGATGCCGGTCCTCACTAGAGTCGTGCAAGGGGAGTTCCCTCCTCCCCCCAAGCCTGCACCTTGTGTCGGGACTGGGTCTACAACACCATCCTCTTCAGAAGAGGAAACATCAACTAAGGTGACCTGTCGGATAGTGGAACTAGTAGTAGTAGTAGTAGTAGTAGTAGTAGTAGTAGTAGTAGTAGTAGAAGTAGTAGTAGTAGTAGTAGTAGTAGTAGTAGTAGTAGTAGTAGTAGTAGTAGTAGTAGTAGTAGAGTGGTACTACTTGTAGTATACTTTATTGCTATGCTTATATTTGATTATATACTTGTGATTGATTAATTCACTCTGGACTGGAGGCTTAGAAGCTCGTGTTGGTTTCATTCCTACCTCACCCACAATTTCGACAAGACTGGTCATTATAGTAGTGCTGCTTGATGCCACTCACTGGCCCAAACGAACAACGATCTCGACTGATATGCTGGTGAAATTTGGGAGGGAGTACTCTCGAAAAGGGTACAGTGTTGTTGGGAAATATTGGGGGAAAACGAAACGAATCGAGGGTCATATTGTATTAGGGTGTGAGGGGCGTATGAGCTACTGCGTCTACAGTTGTGAAAGTGTATGCTTGCTAAAGGACACCCTTTAGGCCCCACCTGACACTACTGCTATGAACGATGCCCTCGATAACATGTATTTGCGGCATCAACAGAAACAGCAGGAAGAGGACTCTTCCGAAGGTGTCGCCCCACTACCACCGACGCCGGCTGCTGCTGCTGGTGCTGAGAGTAAACCAGTGAGTGCCAAGAAGAGGAAGAGAGCACGACTACAGGGAGCGTACATGAACGACTTGTTGGCTGGCAGCGGTAGTACAGGGGACCCGATATACACCCTCGTTCATACCACACCTTTGTTTCATCAGGGGAGTTGCTATTATCTACTCGACGTCTTAGATCAGTTGGTGTTTGTTAGATTCTTCGCAAAAGAAATTCGAGCCAGAGCCTCGGCCGGAGTTGCGATTAGCCAACGTTGGAGGTTTCGAGAAAGTCAAAGCCGATATAGAAGATCTCATTATACGGTACCTCAGTACGTTGTAGCTGACCAGAGCATCGACGGTCGTGTTAGGCCGATAAGCCATCGGGATGTTTACGAGAACTTGGGAGTGTCCCCACCAGTGGGAGTTCTGTTGCACGGGCCCCCAGGTAGTCTCAAGAACTTCGAGCAGAAGTTTCTATGGGGAAATAATCGCATACTTACGTTGAAAAAGAACCTGCTTATTCAACGATGTGAAGGGTCACTTTTTCTCCACGTTCTTACATTGTATCACGTAGTTGCAGTTTTTTCGACGTATTTAACGTCGTAAAAATTCACTGTTTTTCTCCGTCTTTACATAGTGAAGAAGTCCCTGTTTTTCCACGTACTGAGGTCACTGCTTCCTCTACGTATTTACGTTGTAAAGGAATCACTGTTTTTTCCACGTACTTCTGGTGTAGAGATTTTTCGAAACTTTTTCCACGTCTTTAGCATTGTAATGAAGTCACGGTTTTTGTATAGGTAGCGGTAAGACCATGTTGGCAACAGCCATTGCTGGGGAGTTGGGCTGTGCTTGGTTTAAGGTCTCTGCCCCGGAGATAGTATCTGGTAGTAGTAGTAGACGATGGAGGGGTAGATGACGGGTATTGGTGGTTTAGGGGTATCGGGGGAGTCCGAAGCTACTCTGAGGAGTCTTTTCGCTACGGCAGTGTCAAACGCTCCTTGTATTGTGCTAATTGATGAGGTACATATTACCGACGTTTTTACACGAGTTAAAACGTCGGGTTTCAGATCGATGCTATATGTCCACGACGAGAAACAGCAGCTAGAGAGATGGAACGGCGGATTGTTAGTCAGATGCAGATCTCGATGGATGCGTTGTGGAAGACTGGTGTTGTGGTAATATGAGGGCACAGGTTCGATCCCCGGTGCGGGCAATTTCGTCACCTGGACGCCTAGGTGCCTTTGGTCAGGTTATCGGCACTACATCGCGACCTGATTCGGTCGAGCCAGCATTGAGACGATCCGGTCGCTTTGATAGGGAGATCGCCATGGGCATGCCCGATAGAGCTGTAATAGGGCTTTACCACACCTTGGGGCTTTCGATGGGGTTCTCGTCAGGCCCGTGCGATGATATTGAGGACTGTCACCAATGGCATGAGTTTAGCTGAGGACGTTGATATTGTCGAGCTTGGTAGACGGTGTCCGGGGTATGCTGTTGTCATTGGAACATTTTAGTGACAGTTTATGGGTAGGTATGTTGGTGCGGACTTGTCAGCGTTGGCAGTAGAAGCTGCTATGTGCGCTGCTAAGCGGTCAGTGGATGCCTTAGAGGAGCGCAAAGGAGATGGGGACGAGGCGATGTGTCCTACTAATATCACCATGGATGATTTCACAGCAGCGTTGGGAAAAGTAGAGGGGGGGGAATACTTCCACGACCAGGAGTGTGGCATTAGGTTCAACCTAGTGCGAAGCGGGAGGGCTTCTCGACAGTGCCTGATGTGACGTGGGAGGACGTTGGCTCTTTGAGGGCTCTTAAGGATGAGCTCAACGACTGTATATGCGCTCCGATCCTCTACAGCGAAATTCATGAGAAGTTCGGCCTCACGGTCCCTGCTGGTGAGCTCTTATTGCAGTCATGCAACTATCACAGCTTTAATTAATTTGATTATTGAATCGTCGTCACCGTAGGTGTCCTCCTGTTCGGGCCGCCAGGTTGTGGTAAGACTCTCCTCGCCAAAGCTGTCGCTAATGCCTCCAACGCGAACTTCATCTCGGTCAAGGGACCCGAGCTCATCAACAAATACGTCGGCGAGTCCGAACGAGGCATTCGGCAGGTGGGCTCAGCCGCGCGAGGTGAAGTGGCCATAGTAGTGCTGATGCTGCTCGCAGGTATTCCAGCGTGCAGCTACGTCCAGTCCCTGCGTTATTTTCTTCGATGAGATAGATGCGATAGTGTAGGAATCTTTTATCGTTTGCGCACAGCGAAGATTTTTCAGACCATCTCGACAGAATTCTGATAGCAGTCAGTCGTCCGAGCGGGTGGTGAATCAGCTGTTGTCGGAGTTGGATGGGATGAACTCTCGTCGGGAGGTAAGGAGCGTTGACGAGTGCGTGCCAGGGGACCCCTAATGCTTCCGGGAGGAACTCATTTTCAATTTTCCACGTATGGCTAGGACCACATTCTTCAATCAGTAGTTTCCCATGTAAATGTCATCATCACATTAGGAACCCCTGGGAAAAGTTATTTTTCAAAGCTAGCGTGCGTATATGATGAATGCAGGTGTTCGTTATTGCTGCTACTAATCGGCCCGACATCATAGACCCGGCGATTCTCCGACCGGGTCGTCTTGGCCGCCTGTTGTACGTCCCTTTGCCGGACGAGCCTGGTAGGGCTGATATCTTGGCTACTCTATTGAAGAAACTCCCAGTGAGCGATGATGTAGATGTTAAAGGTGACCAAAGGGAGGGGGAGTCTTTTGCAGTGTTGGAAAATATGTTTGCTTCCCTCATCTGAGCTCATTCCGTTATGGAAATTTGAATACGACTTGGAGTAGAGGGGCGCAAAAGCAAACAAAAATACGCCAAAATTTTCTCAGAATTTTCTTATTGTCACCAATTCGTGTAGTAGTCTTTATATGCATATTTTCCCACACAGTGTTCGTGTACTGTTCAGAACTTGGGGCTCGGACGGTCCGCTTTAGTGGTGCTGATTTGGCTAACCTTGTTCGGGAAGCTTCTATGAGGGCTGTGAAGCGGATTATACAGGGCGGCAAGGGCCAGTCGATGGACACGGAACTCATCACTGTCGAGGACTTCACTGATGTATTGGGGAAGTTGTCGCCCAGTGTGAGCGAAGCGGACGAGAGACGGTACTTGGACATGAAAGCCTCCCTACATACGACTATTGTATGATGATGGTTGTCGTTGTCGTTGTTTTATTCTTGTAACACTACCCAAAAACGTCTCTCCCGGTTCCTTATATCGTATCTAGATGGGAACACTCTGTTGTGTTGTAGTCGTCAATGCTGATCGTTGCCAACAGCAGCGGATCCACCGGGGATGAGATCGTCATCATACTCCCGTACTAGGGCTAGGGGTCGGCTTTCGAACAGTGACGCTGCTACTGCCGAGCTCAGCGGGGATGAGGGCCGGTCGGCTACTGGACCAGGGATGGCCGTAGTGGGTCTGGGAGGGAAGGGTGGGGCACTGCTGATAGCAGGTTCCTTGTAAGTGGATGAGGAGACGGTCGACGGTTACGGTGGTGGCGGTGGTATGCATCGTATTAATGGCTTCCCTGTACCTTATATTGGTACCGAGTAGAGGGGGGAGGGTTGATGATGGAGGAGGAGTCTTCTTGAAAGGGATAGCCACAGTGCAAAGTGATGATGTGGGTACTGCCAATTCGGCCTAGTGACTTTCACTCTAGTCTGATGAGCAGGTATTATCCAGACTAGAGCTGCTCCTGAGGAAGCTCCGTTCGGCGCCGTCACGGACAGTTCCAACGGGAGTCTTTGAGGTTGGTCTCTGCTGTGGGCGACTGGCTCTTGTGGAATCAGAGCGACCCGTGGAGAAGGGATCTGGAGGCGCGAGACGAGGAGTTGAAGGAGGCCAGGGAGATGATTGACAGTCTGCAGCGGAAGAATGTGGATTGTGCGGGTGAGCGGCGAAGTCGACTGGAATGGAAAAAATCCGCTCTGTAGGGGGGACTCGGGCCGCTCTGGTGACAGCGGAAAGCATACTCGACAAGGGGGACCTCATGTGGATAGATGCCGCACAGGTCGACCTCAATGAGCTCGGTGGGGGCGACTTACGGGGGATAGGGAGTGACGCTGTTGGTGACAGGGGAGTGGGAGATAAACCCAGAGCATGGCCAGATGGACGACATAGCTGGTGTTGACTTCGACTGGCTGGCCCTTGTCAATCGGCATCATCATGATAACGAAGTATGCTGTAACGTCGAGAGCTCCTGTGCGGTACCACTTTGAAGGTGTGGGTGCGACGATACGTTACGTTTCTACAACGTCTGCTGGCCCGAGAGCCTCCAGCTGAAGCAACAGTTTTTGAGAGACCTCAATCCCGCAAGCTCAAATGGGACTGCCAACAGAATCCGTAGTGGTACGTGCCTCCGGTCATTTCCCTTGTTGAGGCCACAGGTACATGGCCGACACCCCGCGTGCCTCCCCAGTGCGGATCGTGGATCTTGTTCCATTCGCATACGAACTGGACATCTTGGAAATCCGTCTGCACGAACTCCACGCTGTTGTCGATGTGACTCAGTCGCTGAAGATCTCCCGTACAGTCCGCCCCAGGTCTTCGTTATCGTCGAATCTACAAGGGCCTTCAAAAAGTGGTCGAAAGCTCTGCTGTTGGGTGCCGCTCTCGAGTCCAGAAGGTGCCTCTCGCGTCGTCACTCGTATCCTCACAAGTACTGCTTGGCAAGGTTTGAATCCTTCCGGGATAAGATAGTGTACGCCGTTCTGGACGACGCCGTCGAAGCTAAGTTCAGGAAAGTAAATGGCCGGAAAGAGGACAGGTGTGTGGTCTTCATTCGATGCTCTGCTTGTGGGAGGCGGTGGTTGGTTTAGGTACGCCCTAGAGACATATACCAGAGGCTTCCTGATGGAGAAATATATAGAAGCCCTCGGAGAGCCTGATGACAGAACATTATTCATACACGGCGATATGGACGAGGTGAAGCTTGCGATAATATTAAATACCCGATGCAGGATTCGAACCTACGACCATCTGCTCCGTAGGCAGACATTCTATCCAGCTGAACTAATCGGGCGATGTTTGTAGTTCGAACTTGCACCCTATGTCCGCAGATTGAAACGAGGAATTCGAGTCTTCTCCCATCATCTTAGTCCATAGGGTGCCCAGTCTGTGTATTAAGGAGCGCCTCTTCGTATTCCCAGATGCCAGCTGCCGAACAAGTAGCGGCCTTCAAATACTGCTCTCCCAAGGATCCGCGATATCCCGTGGCCCTGCCGACTAGATTTCTAGCGATGAACTTCGCTTGGAGGAGTGGGTCCATCATCGACCATGTTTCACATCAGGCAGCTGCGGCCCTCAGGAGCGGACATGCCCGACTTGACCTTTCCCAATATCTTCGACAGAAACTCAATGCAGAAGCATCCGCTGACGGGCGCTCCTTTGCCGGCGCGGTGAGAAATCGAGGAGTTCAGGAATGATGGAATCTGGTGCTCTGTCAGGACCAAGGGGCACTGGGCGATGGACTTCCCAACGAGAGGGGCCCACATGAGCTTCTTCGTAACTTCACCACGCGCCTAACAGGAGTGCACTCAACTGCATTCAGATGCCACCAGAAGGCGACTTATTGAAGCAGTTGTCATTCTCGGACGGCGGTATCATCGAGAGGAGCGAAGATGACCAAAGCACGGGGAGGTGGGGGGTCGCTGGCTGTGTCACATACTGCCTTGCCGATCAGGTATAGCCGTTGCTCTGGCGAAGAACCCATCGATGGCTGATGCGTGGAGAGTTTGCGGGGTGAGATGGCCTTCGTCCGGAGGCGGCATTGGTTGATGTTCAGATACGCGTCTGTTGCTGGGATGATGCTTCAAAATCTCGTACCGAAAGGATTGACTTGAACACTTGGATCCCTTGGTAAGCCGATGAGGCGATGAGAAGACAATCCTCGATATGGTCAGGTTTGCGGATGCCAACCGACAGCGCTATCCTTACATGTTCCCATCGCGGGAGAGATTAGCTGTGAGAAACAACGTGTGTCGTCATTGAACGTGTTGCCATCGCAGGCCTGTGATTACATTCGGCGACAGCAGCAGACCAACAGACTCCAGTTTGACAGGGCGCTTGCTTGGGCTTACAATAACGGCATCAGATTGTGGGAAAAGGGTTGAAAGCGTATCTCTAACAAATAAATTGGACAGGAAGCCATCGAGACCGGCAGCGTTGCCAAGCTCTGGATCGAGGGATTCTACAGACGCACCCAAGCCACATTGGCGAAATGACCTTCGTTGTGGTCCACAGCAGACAGACTCGGCTGGAGGGAGGTGAGTATTGAGTTGTTGCCGCCGGACATGACTGTGGGACCTCAGGCCTGCGGAATGCGACCCGAGTGGATCAGCTCCTTGCTGCAGCTCAGGTAGAGTAGTTTCGTTGTCTGCAGTTTTCAATTAGCACCCCCAGGTGGATGGTGCGGTTCCACCGAGGCCCATTGCAGGTGTCCGACATGTATTGACTACCGAAATGTATAGCATGCCCCATCTTTTGTTATTACTAATAACTTATTAGTTTTCTCGTACATTTTGTACGTTGGTTGTGTTACCAGCAGTGGATTTTAGCTAAACTCGAAACGGGCAACGTCCGAGCAATCCCGGCCTAAACGCCGTGCGGTTCCAATTGTCATACGCTCCTGTCTACGGCTGCACAGTGCAACTTGTACTTGCCCGGCTAGTTGGTCCACACTCCATGGAACCTGTGCCAAAAATCGCCCTAAGTCCCAGGGACACTGATCTTCTCTGGAAGGCAAATATCCAAATTGCCTAGCAGATATGACAAGCCGATAGAAAGTATTCGATAATATTTAGTATCGATTTAATACCGATGGCACTCAGAACAAACCGATGATCGCTTGAATCGCTTTTCGGGGACGGTTCTACGTCATTTGTCGAAGCCTTGCCCTCGAGCTCCTTCCCAATGCTGTGTAATAAAAAGTCGCCCCTCGGTGATAAAATTTCTTAGGATTTGGAGCAGACAGTAGTTGGATCTCAAATTAACAAGACAACACTAAGAACTAGAGAAGTTTGTTGGAAGAGTCAAGACTTTGTGCTCCGGTATGCAGGACTATCTACCAGAATCGTGCCCCTCACGAACGGCAGGCTTCAATGGTACGACGGTGATACAATAGGACATCTATCTGCGCGAAGACATTCGAAGCAACGGAAAAAGTTTGGCCGATTCAGTGGCGGAAGCACACAGGAAAAGTCTGTTGAGTCGGGGTGGTATAATCAACCACCGAGAAGAGAGGCACGACCGTGCCTACTCACAGGTTAAAGAAATCTGAGTTGGACCAGGCATGGCAGCGCTCATCCCCGTGCAAGCCAAGTACGCCTTGGTGCAACCATTTTCATCGAGACAGTTTCGGCAGGCTGGATCAGAGGGTCTCCTCAAGCACTGGACAGCACAATGCAGTCCACACCGTCCAAATTGACCGAAGCATTGAGCGCACTGCGGGGTGAGGCCACAACCATATTTCAGACACGTAGGGATATCTTCTGTAGGAATCACGACTGCAGTGATGCTACAGTGCCACATGAAACCCGGGAAGTTAGGTCCCTGAATCGTCTTCTTGTCATGACCGGTACAGTCGTTATCGGCGGCCACAAGGGAGATAACCAAGACGTTGGCAAAAAAGTGCATTTATGTGCTGCGGGACTCAAGATTGTCGAGACGCGAGAGTGAAGCCAGAAGAAATGACTGAACGAATAGCTTGTCAATAGTAGGCGTCTCGCACGCGAGTCAACCGAGACCAAAACTATATGAATACGTCACTGTAGATGATTGCACACCACGGTATAAAACTAATTGGAGAAACAGTTGAACCGACGAGCCCCACCCCAGAAGCTCAGGACTGGCTTTCTCATCCTGGGATTCGTAGACAACGAATTCGACGACTAAAGAAAGGAAAATTCGTATATGCAAGTCCATGTCACTGCCTTCAGGTATGACGTACTCAAACAACGGCAGCTGTCCCCCGGATGAGAGCTGGTGATCCTCACCATTTCATTGTGAGTCACGCCTCCTGATAGTTTCTGGTTTAAATTGACGCATGAAATAATGCGATTCGTTCAGTGTCATGGCTCGATCGTGTTTTCCTGGTTGATGATGAAAACGTGACGTCTTGGACAAGACATGCGTGCTAGAGTTAGCGAAGTGTCCCACAACATTGATCCTGTTGTGTTGGCATCATCTAATCCTTCATCGACACGAGGAAGACGGTTGTGCGACCTGCGTGAATCCTAACCACCTTCCATCTGCCAGTTTGCATTCATGCGTCTTACAGTCCCATTCAACCCACAAATAAAGGGCTTTGAGAAGGCTTTCGCATTTGAGAAGTACCTCGAGCAGTCCTCGCACATTGTGCGAGTTGTCAACTCGTGGAGTGTGGATAGCGCATATCGAGATGTGGTGAAAGTGAGCTTTCATTGGTCGAAATTGGTCTTGTGTTCGACGAATTTGAACTTGCGTTTCCGAATTCATAAATTTCATTCACGAATTTGAACTTTCATTTTCGACCGGTCTACGAAAATCGAACTTTCATTTCGAATTTGAATTTTCATTTCGCGAAAAACACCTTTCACTTGTCGAAAACCAAATTTCATTCACCTAATGTGTTCTTTCAATTGTTGAATTCGAGATTGAAAAGGTGTAGACCAAGACCCTCGCTAGGTTATCTGCTTCGCAGTCAAACGCAGAACCGTCAGACATGAGCATTCACGAGCCAGCAAGCATTGTTTCCGCTGAAGGCGATCACAGTGGCTAATCTGAAGGTTAGTCGCAGACAGTGCCGCGACTCCAATTCCCGGTAGATGGAGGTTTCATGAAGCTTGGCAATTGACAGGCTGATGAATCACCAGGTGAACATCATGCTGATTCTTACTCTCACAGTGGTGGATGCTCCCATCAGTTCCTAACGTATTCGATTGCCAGGCGAGAAAGTCTCTCTCAGGCGAGAAAGTCTCTCTCGCTTTCGACGAAAAGAGATCCAGAACTGTACTAGTTCTTTATGCATTGTGATCAGCAGCATCATATGACGTAGTAAGGTATCCACGCAGAATCGAGAATGCGAACAACGCGTTCGAGACAGGGAAAGGGCTAGAATGACGCGAAAGAAAGAGTAGCATTCGTGTAAGACTTCTCTTGCATAGCTACAAATAGACAATTGTCAATTTTACTCATTCAGAGTACTGCGCGTTATTGACACGCAAAACACCGTGGCTTTTCTCAGTCGTGCCGGATGGATTCGCTCAGATCACAGAGTAAGGGTGCACCTGTCCCACGCCAGTGCTAGTAGATCCAGACTGAAGTGCCCTGTGGGCCTGTTCAACTTGTCGTGCTGGCTACTCGAAGCTGTATAAGACGCGACCTTCCCTGTGATGAGCTGCCCTTGCTCGAACTCGCTCAGATCACAGAGTAAGGGTGCACCTGTCCCACGCCAGTGCTAGTAGATCCAGACTGAAGTGCCCTGTGTGCCTGTTCAACTTATCGTGCTGGCTATTCGAAGCTGTATAAGACGCGACCTTCCCTGTGATGAGCTGCCCTTGCTCGAACTCGCTCAGTGTACCATGGTCAGTGCCTAACTGGCCCTCGTGTCGATGGTATTGTGCCCTTCTACGGAGCATCTTTATTGGGATGTGTTAGACAACTCCAACTTTTTAGTCCTTCAAGTTTATAGTTTCCTGCCAAGGCCTGCTACCTTTCTTGTGCGTCTGCGTGCCAGGTTGCGTCTGCGTGCCAGTCTGCACGTGTATACGGTTGTGGTATCAGATTCACTGTTGAACGATCAATGATGTTGAGATTGGTACCGTAGCCATCTTGGCTCAAGTTATTAATTGTCATCCATAATGCCCGGCGATGCCTTGAGTTCTTCCCAGTCCCCCGACGATGCACAGTCTCCTCGCAACCCCACCTCTCCTTGTCTCGGTGTTGGTTCCTCTGAGTCTTCTGGAAGCAACGGTACAACTGGCACCCACCGTGGGGCTCGAGGGGGTGCATCAGGTGAAGAACGAGTGACGGCGGTTATCCATACCAGAAGTCAGCAACGTCAGTCTCCAGACGATGACAATGACAATGACAATGACAATCAAGTCATTCACCAAGTTACCGTACCGCTTGGGGTTCCCAGCCCCCACGTCCCCTCTCGACGAAGGGCTGCAATTGACGAACTCCTTTTTGAGGTGGAAGGTGTGACAGGGGCCAACATACAACCACTTCCCTCGGTTGTGCAGGCTCTTCAGGTGGACACCTTCCATTTGTTGGAATCCATCTTGGGTATTGGCTTCAACCCATGGATTTCTCCTTCTTTCGCCCTTATCGGTCAAGGAGGGGAACCATTAGGTGTCAATGTGACAAAATTCTGTCAGAGTTGGCGCCTGGAATGCTTGCGAGGTTCCCTTGCATCTAAAATGTCTTCGAATTCGGTTGCCTCAAGGTCCCTAAGTGTTTTAGATGTTGTCGAGGGCTCGCCTGCTGTATGGAACTGGTTGGAACGCCTGGACAGGGCTTTCAGTGTCTCCAGATCAGCTGCCTCCGTTCGACTTCTCGCGTTAGCCTACCTCTGTCCACCTGCTCTGATATCATCTCTTCGCTCTAGCTTGGTGAAGGTCTGTCAAGATAGTGGTGGTGATAGACAAGCTGTCAGCAGATGGAGCTACTGGGTTGGGAAGGATATGTCTGAAGCCGCAGTTGATGTACGTCAGGCGTTCAAAACAGAATATAACTCTTACAATGCTGTTGTCGCGCGCTGGCTAAAGGACGTGTTGGAGGTCATCAATGATAGGGTTCGTCCCAAGATATCTCTGGCTCGTACAATGTCGTCATGGGCGACCTTATCGCTCCAAGAAGGCGAGAGTATCGAGAGTTTCCTCCAACGCGAGAGCGAGTTGTGGCTCTTGCTAGCCAGCCACTCTGCTGCTGCAGATCAGTCTCCCTTCAATTGGAAAGAAAGAAGAGAGAGGATACTATCCGCAATACTCGTTGTTCCGTCATGGAGAAGCTCTATCGGTCCCTGGATATCGGCGTTGAAAACCGCTGACAATTACTCAACCTTCCGTGAGCTGATCAAGGAAGCTAAGAAGACCATCTTGACGCTTAAGGCTCTACCCAAGTCTGAAGCTACGTTGACGTCTGACAATCCTATGCACTTTGGTCCACTACCAAGTACGGTCTTCCGAGGCCCGACCTGGAAGCGATCGGTAGACCCTCATCTGCCAGAGCCAATGAGCACAAAGGCGCCAGACTCCGGAGTAGTGTCAGGAGCTTGCCGATCGGGGCCCAAGGCTGATAGTACCCAAGGGCGTGGGCCCAGAGGATGCGATTCTGCAGTTCCGAAGGTTGAGACTAAGAACGCCCAATCGACATCTCGACACCCTCAGCGACCCGTCAACAAGCAGAAGGCGAAAGACCGGTCGGAAGGTCGATGCTTCAAGTGTCACGTAAAAGGCCACTTGGCTCGAGACTGCCCTAAAGAGGGTGAGGTTGAGAAGACTGGTGGGTCAAAGACGGTCACGAAGAAGGCGCCTGCTGTGAATGTCACTGCACTGAGTCCAAGGAGGGTGGAGACTGCGTATGTCGGAGGCGGAGAACCCTTCACTGATGATGAGTCCGAAACCTCGGAGCCTGCTCGCTTGTGTGCTTGTGCTGTGGCTAGTCCATCGCAACACAAGTATGATATCAGCTCCTCTAGAGTTGACGATCTTGTGTATGTCTACTTGACGAGCTTCGACGGTCGTAGCTTTAAGGCGCTGGTTGACCCAGGAAGTCAACTTAATCTTGTTGAAGAGAGTGTTGTCAACGGTGCTGATGCCTTAGCCCGTTCTGATACCTCCAGGAAGGACATGTCTATCTCGGGCATCGGCGGCAAGGTCTGTGGTAAACCTGTCACACTGAAAATCTACGGTCCGGCATCTAAGAGGGTTCTACGGTTGAAGGGGTACTCAGTCCCCGAGCTGCCTGTTGGAAGTAAGGTGCTCTTGGGCATGCCGGGGCTCAGGGCGCTCAAAGCTCGGCTTGACCTTGGTATTGGCGAGATGAGTCTATGCGCTTCTGCCCTAGCAAACAACGATAAGCTCCCCATGGCTATCGAGTCGTCCTCTATCAACATCACAGCTCATCTTGATGTGATAAGGGAGCACCCTATTCCCAGACATAGGGGATACCCGCTGGCTCCTGAGAAGTTGGAGGTAGCCCACAAGCTGGTAAGAGAGATGGAAGACAAGGGATGGATCAAAATCATTGACGACAAGGATACCTCTCAATGGTTCTGTCCTACCTTCTTGAAGCTTAAAGGTAATGGTAAGGTTCGTGTCCTCAATGATCTCCGGGAGGTTAATGCCCGAATACGGTCTTTTGCGTCGCAGAGCTCCTTCGGTGCAGTCCTAGGTGGGATACCCCGACATGCTAAATCCTTCATCACACTCGATATCAGCAATGCCTATCATAGCGTTCCAGTTGACGTTGAGTCACAGCGCTTTTTGGGAGGGGTACTTGGTGGCATCCGCTTCAAGTGGCTTGTGTGCCCCCAAGGTCTGAGTATCAGCCCGTATTTCTGGGAGTTATATCTCTCGTCTATGTTGAGTGGTATCGAGTTTCCCCCACAGGTGACCGTGTTATGGTATGTTGATGATATTATAATTTGTGCGCCCGATGATGTATCCGCCTTAGCGGCTAAGAAGGCCATCATCAGTGCACTGGTTAGTGAGAACGTGATGGTCGCCGAGGAGAAATGTTGTGGGCCTGCTCGCTCCGTGAACTTCTTGGGATTGGTTATTGACGAGCACGGTTGGAAGCCTCAAGAGGAACCTCTAGACCAGTTGAGAAGATTGCCAAAGCCGAGAAACCGTGGTGAACTTCACTCCTTTCTGGGTGTGGTGAACTATCTAAGGGGCGTGTACGACCCATCAGAACTCCAGAAACACCTAGCTCCTCTTCAAGACCTATTGGTGAAAGGTCGACGTTTCCAGTGGTCGGAGGCTCATGATCTAGCTTTCGAATGGCTACAAACCTCTATCAAGAACCAGCTTTATGCTCACCAGCCTGTTTCGTTTGGAACGCAGCTACAGCAAGGTGAAGGATGGGTTCTTCAGACGGATGCTTCCGACCTGGGAATAGCCTGTGTACTGTGGCGTTTCCACTTTGATAAGGTGGAAGATGGTACGCAGGTAACTCCCGAGATTCTGGGGCAATTTGGTGATGTTGTGAGTACTTGGAGTCGCAAGCTTCGTGGTTCCGAGAAAAGATGGGCCATGTTTGACCTGGAAGGTCTGGCCCTGGTTGAAGGCCTCCGCAGGCTTCGGGCATATCTGAGGTATTAGGAGATATGATATCTCCTAATACCTGACGCTAGCGGAGGAAGAGCTAAAGTCGTGGTCCAATCAGATAGCGTCGTTGCCATTCACCATTGTCGAGAGGTACCTTCTTATAAGGATTTCCTCAAAAATGGTGTTCGTTACAAGAGATGGTGCCGTTGGCTGGAAGCCATCGGCGACCTGGTCCCCTTCGTCAGGATGGAGCATATACGGGGCGACAGCAACAACCTGGCAGACATCTTCTCGCGGGTCCTTGTGGACATTGGAGACGACGATGAAACTAGTATCAAGGGTGAGATCGAGGTATGCCCCCCGGTGGTTCTACTTGGTGAGGCTGAGATAGACATTGGTTCTGGTTCTCTGCTACTCTGTGAACTGCCTGATGATGCCCCAGTTCCTGAGGAGCTTCAGCGCCTATATGGTCGAGGCAGAATAGAAGTGCGTGAACAGAGCATACTCTATACCGACAAGAAGGGTCGTAAGCGATATTATGTCCCTATTATGTCTCGGCACAAAGTACTCAGCATTGCGCACGGTGACTTCCACGCGTCAACTGCGAGAATGATCGACGACTTGACTCGATCTCTGTGGTGGCCTGGAATGCGCCAGGATGCGACAGACTATGTCCAAAAATGTGTTCGCTGCGCTCGCAGTGCTGCTGTCCAGGCATGTGCTCATCCGCGGGCTGCTTTGACGGAGGTTATTGATTATGATAAGGACTCCGCCCGATTATGGGAGGCAGTAAGTCTCGACCACGCCGGTCCATTCGTTGTTGAGACCAGTTTGGAGAAATCAGGGCGAGTCTACGTTCTCATAATGGTGGACATGAGGAGTGGGTTTTGTGAGATGAAGAAGGTGCACAGCGTTACTTCTACGGCTACTACAGATGCCTTTTATGAAAGTTGGGCGTCTCGGTATGGTTGGCCAAAGCGTACTCACTGCGATAATGCTCCATGTTTTCGGTCGGCTGCTACTATCGCCGTGTGGGAGAGATATGGTGCCAAAGTGACATTCAGTCCCCCATTTTGGCCAAGAGCTAACGGTGTGAGTGAGGCTATAGTCAAGGAACTGAAGACAGTGATGAGCAAGACGACGCCAACGACTGAGGCAGAGTTGGAACTTTCTTGTGCTGGGGCGCGATGTGCTCATAATATGTCCAGAAGCGATGGGTTACCAAGCTCACCGATGGAGGTGGCCTTAGGATACCAGCCACGTACTGCTGCTGGGTCCCTATGCGACTTCAACGACGGCGAGGATCCCTTCAAGCGACTGCCTCCTGATCAATATGCCGCTACTGTCGAGAACTACCTCTCCAAGAAAGCTTTATTGCGTGAGAAAAAGAGAAAGGCGGCTGATGATGTGGCCGGGAGATATCGACCAAACTCATTTGGTGTCGTACGAGAGAACGATTTAGCCTTTGTAGTGAGGCGTGGTTCACGTCGGTCTGGCGCTATCGGCCCTTACCGTGTTACTAAAATTCAGGGAAATAGGGCTTGGGTGGAAGGTCTCAGCGGTCCAGTGGCGCTCGGTCAACTAGTCAAGTATGCTGGTAACGAGCTCGATGCTGTCGACGCCACACCTCCTGCCCTGGTGGTTCCCCTCGATCAACTCGAAGCTGATGATTGGGTTGCGTGGGAAACTAGTGAACTTGACGGCCAGGTGGTTAGTCTGGATATTGGACGGATCCATCGTGTCGAGGGTTCTGTTGAGGATAAAACCTTCAGAGTTTACCGTGCAAGACGGTTGGCCAGTGGTGATTTCACGATGCATCATGCTGATCCCGTGGTGATCAAGGTGGACGACGTCATTTTTAGCGGATCATGGCTGAAGGTTCCGCTCAGTGATGAGTCTCTGTCAAGGCTCAGTGCCTTTGGATACGACTTGGACGCCTGACTCGTCATAAATTAATCACCTGTCGATTATTCCCTGCTAAATGATCTCCCGTCGAACGGCAGGGGCGATTGTACCATGGTCAGTGCCTAACTGGCCCTCGTGTCGATGGTATTGTGCCCTTCTACGGAGCATCTTTATTGGGATGTGTTAGACAACTCCAACTTTTTAGTCCTTCAAGTTTATAGTTTCCTGCCAAGGCCTGCTACCTTTCTTGTGCGTCTGCGTGCCAGGTTGCGTCTGCGTGCCAGTCTGCACGTGTATACGGTTGTGCCACAACCGTTGTGGTATCAGATTCACTGTTGAACGATCAATGATGTTGAGATTGGTACCGTAGCCATCTTGGCTCAAGTTATTAATTGTCATCCATAATGCCCGGCGATGCCTTGAGTTCTTCCCAGTCCCCCGACGATGCACAGTCTCCTCGCAACCCCACCTCTCCTTGTCTCGGTGTTGGTTCCTCTGAGTCTTCTGGAAGCAACGGTACACTCAGATCACAGAGTAAGGGTGCACCTGTACCACGCCAGTGCTAGTAGATCCAGACTGAAGTGCCCTGTGGGCCTGTTCAACTTATCGTGCTGGCTATTCGAAGCTGTATAAGACGCGACCTTCCCTGTGATGAGCTCCGCTTGCTCGAACTCGCTCAGATCACAGAGTAAGGGTGCACCTGTCCCACGCCAGTGCTAGTAGATCCAGACTGAAGTGCCCTGTGGGCCTGTTCAACTTGTCGTGCTGGCTATTCGAAGCTGTATAAGACGCGACCTTCCCTGTGATGAGCTGCCCTTGCTCGAACTCGCTCAGATCACAGAGTAAGGGTGCACCTGTCCACATGTGATCACATGTGTAGCGGTAATTTTGGGGCGAGCTCTAAAATTTGGGGGCCGATCTCTAAAACTTTGGGTGGAACCCCTCTGAGGTGCGTCTTGATCCCGTGGAGGGTTCAAGTCATCCGCTGTCAAGCTGACGTTGTTGTTATTGTTCATGACTGGAAATATGCCAATATGAAGTTAATGTTATTAACGTGAGGCCGAAGCGTTCATGCCCTCATAATCAAAGGCATATATTTTCAACGGGACGGACACCGTCATCACTAGAAAACACAATACATCGATATCATAGTCACTTCTCAATAGACACATTTGTCCGGTCACCACGCCGGTCATAGAATTCTTCTGGAAATATATCGCCTCTCTGCAAGCCTGCTGGAAGATATCTGACAGGAGCCTTTGGAAAGGGAAGATACTAGCATCCACCCACGTCTGCTCGGGTGCGAGTTCCCCTGGTTGCGTCGGTCGTGGCTCGTTAGTGTAGATATAATCGCGGCCATACCCCAGCTCCTTCATCAGCCCTGTCGGAGCGTTCCGTAAATGCAGTGGCACCTGACACCATCCAAAGACGTAGGAAGGTCGACTGTGTTGGGCATCCACTTCTGAATCAGTCGTAGCCTTTTCAATGGCCTTCGATGCGTTCTTGTACGCCACATACACAGCATTGCTCTTAGGAGCATCGCACAGGTAAAGGGCTACCTCCAGCAGAGCTGTAGAGCCTGAAGGGCAATGCCTGTTATGTAAGTCACTCGTGTAGTAGCCATTCATATGTGAGCGTGTTATATCTCAATCGATATAAGCTCGTGTGCCTCAGTCGCTCCATCACAGAGGCAATCAAACTCAAAGGACCTTGGTATATGCGTGCAACTGTGTAGAACGCATTAGAGACAGTTTATCTTGAACCGGCAATACTAAGAATACCGTTATCACTTTTTGCCACTATCCTGCTATACAAGTAACATATAATAGAGTACGTATACATTCTGTGCCATACAGTGCACGCATGCACGAAGGTATACTTTATTCATCACAGTGCATATCAACAACAAACTAATAACAATGTCGACTCCCTACACTCGGGCATCCCAGTGGACATGGTCACAGTGTGAGCTGCAGCCGCTAGCTGCAACGCCTGTGGATCGGCTAGACCAACGTCTTCACTGGCTATTCTCATCAACCGCCGTGAAACGTACTCAGGAGGCTCCCCACCCAGCAACATTCTGGTCGTCCAATACCTTGTCAAGAGCGAAAATCGAATAAATAGAAGTGGGAAGAACTTCTCTCACGCTGCGGCATCTTTATCAGAGCCTCTTATGGACTTCTGCAATGCACTGGCGAGATCGTAATGGATGTCGCCGTTCTTGTCATAGCCCAGCAGTCTGTGCCTTCCGGAAGAAGAGGTCGCCATAGCCTGCAAAAAGCCATCCATCTCGCTGTATTAATATAGTCCTAACCTCTTCAATGTGTTCTCGTCGAAGACCAGAGGAGGCTGCCTCCCCACAGCGAGGACCCATCATGGCCAGATCACAGGCCAGCTCTAGCGCATTCAGCGAGGCTCTGACGTCGCCCATACCAAATTCCGCCAGAATTCTCAGCAGATCTCCGGTCGACTCGTCCACTGCTACTTGCGGGTAGTAGCTTGTCAGTGCTCTGCGTAACTATAGAAACCATCGCGGCCTCCCTCCGTCATCAACAGTGTTTACTATTCTTCCAATAGAGTCACTGGTCAGTGATGAAAATTTAATTACTTGACAGCGAGAGACGAGAGCTCTGAGAGAAATCACGATAAATCACACTGGTATTGAAGTAAGAGGCAAGCCAACCTGTTGCACTGAAAGCTAGGATTCTCCGTGGTGGCACCAATCAACGTCAGAGTGCCGCTCTCTACGTGAGGAAGCAGGGCGTCTTGCTGAGCTTTATTGAAGCGGTGGATCTCGTCGAGGAATAGTAGTGTGCCTGATATTGTAACCTTCCCTTAGCGACAGTGTTGCAATAGTTGTTCGCTCTCCTCAGCTGGGCCCATGAGTTCCCTATAAGAGTTTATACACGAATCGAGTTAAAGATACATTGAAACCAGCAACAGGATTTTCATATTGTCACCAACATATGTGGTTGACCATGTGCAATTTTCCCCACTCTGTTGAGCGATAAAAGAGAACGTACGTGCACCAGAGAGCCTCCTAGCATTCACAGCTTCTTCAACGACCTTCTTAACCTGTCAACCTTCCATCGACTCAGCCTTGGGAATCTCCAGACCTACATCGTTGACTCCAGCATTGACAGCGCTGAGCTTCGTATGGCGCCATGGGAGGCCAGACTGAGTCAACGATCGACATAAAAGCTGTGCTAAAGTCGTCTTGCCGCATCCAGGAGGTCCCCAAAAAATCATACCTAGGAAATAATCACAAGAAATGTCAAGCGATGGGAACGTACTCGGAACCGTTGGGTGATGGGAAATGGTGGCCGCTGACTGGGAAAGGGCTTCATAGTATTTAATCTACACCAAGCCATCATGCGTACTGTTCGGTGATAGTCAGTAGTGGACTTTATGCTCGCTTTCCTCAACTGGCTTAGGAGTTTCCTCACTCACTATGGGAGTTCTCATACGAACCGAAGTGAAAATATACAGCACTCAATGAGAATTTTCCCAGAATTTCCTCAGAAAAATGATATTGACCATGTGCATGTTTTCCCTCACTGGGGATAGTAGTCGCCTACTATTCTCATAACAGTGGAGACACCTCCAATGGCATTTCCTGGTCCCTCCGAGATATTCGAGTCAGTTTCATAGACCAAGTCCGCCGAAGATGTCGGTCTTGCTCGTTGGGCTAAAGGCCCTCCCAAGCTGCTGTGAGAAGGAGGTCGGCCCGCTGAGGACTTGGGCCGGAGGGGAATCTTTGGCCTGAAAATGGTATGAAAAAATTGTTTCTCACACGTACGTTTCCTGAACGATTTTTTTCCTTATTGTTGGTGTTGATTATTTCCTGTGAGGGTTTTATGCAGGATGTGACTCATTTCAGGTAGGAAATCTCGAAACCGTCATTCCTCATCTTTTTCAATTCTCCCACATCTGGCGAGTTGCCTGTTGGGTCCTTTTTTCCCACTTACTTTAATACTCGATCATTGTTGTTTTTATTCCCTTCGCACGTCAGAGCTCTCCTCAAGTTACTCTCTCTATACTCCTCAGAAACAGTACTAGGTTGACTCTCTTCAATGTCAATGGTATGAACAGTGTCTTTACTCTCAGGGGGGACATGACGATCCGACACTACCCCCTGAGAGAAGGATTAATTTCCACTTATCATCGTCACAGAACAGCGATAGTTCGTATGCTGCGATAACAACCAAGCCTACCTCCGGTTTCTTGGTGAAGAACGAGTCGAGAGTCCGCATCCCCTCCTGACTCATACCACACCTCGACCGTTTCGTAGGAGGAACTCGGCCATTCATCTTCAACTGCCATCCACAATGAATATCATCCTAGCGATTTAATGGAGTTTCACGGGCCGCGATATGGGAAACACTAGTGAAAAACTACGTTCTTCACGACTACTGCATATCACGGCGAATATCGCGTTTTTCGCAGACTAATACGCCACTTCACATATAGCGGGTGAAACTCCAATGCGCAGTAGACTTCCGCGAGGGCATAGCTCTCAACGTTGTGAAACTTGCATATCCTCTTCAGTTTATTCCGAGCCTTCGAATTTTGCTTGGACAGAATTAGACCTTGTGAAACTGCTAACAGGGCCGGGACGTAGGTCCTCGACTCATTGAATCTTAGTAGAAGGAAGAACCAGAAAGATACCAGATAAACACAGTGAGCCGTACAGCGCCATCAATTCGCTGAGAGCGGCTTCCACTAATGTCTTGTTTCGTGTCAAAAGGTCAGCCTGGCATCTCAGAACCCTTAGCCTCGGGATCCGCGCTGGATCCATACGGTAGTGATTTCCGAGTCGCCGGCCGCCTACCTTGACGCCTCTAGCCAGATTGCTGCTACCACCACTGGATGCTCCTTCTTGTGTAGTCTCACTGAGGCCTATATACCTACAATGGACTATCCCTTTGGTGGAGCTGTCAACACCCTCACTCGTAAGCGATCTTCATCATGAAGTAAGGGTTCAAGTGGTGGTAGAAGTCTTGACTTGCATGATGCAGGGTGATGCAGGGCAAATAATTTTGGCGCTCTCGGCACAATAGCGATAAGTGTCACAAAGAACTTCTCAGCCACCACAAAGGCTTCGCTAGTAGTACTAGCTATTATCTAGTTGAGGTTGGGTCTTGTGAGGGTTACACTTCGATAGTTCTCCAGAGACTTTCTCCCGATAGGTTGATGAATGCATCGAGTTCGAGTTTGATTAATTTGAGCAGACTCTTTCAAAGTAATTCTTGAATGATTAAGGCCATCGAAGTTACCCTATTAACAACGCAAAGACGCTATATTATATTAAGATGGTCCCAGATGAACATGTTGTCGGTAGCAGCGCCCCAAATACTAGGAAGCGCTGAGAGACGAATGAGATGAGCGCTCGCAGCGCTAATGTTCATCGTAATCATAAACTTATCAACGTTGAAAAAATCGAATGAGAAGAAAAAGTGGGAAGCGTTTTGAAAAGAGCACTTTGAGACTAGACTGAGCCAGAAAGAGTCTTGAGGCTCCCTTGGGCTCAAGCCTAAGGATTCTCAGCTGTGAGGAAGCGCATAGCATAGCTCGCCACATCTAAGTTTCTTCTTTGGTAGTACTTATGCTGACCGCCTTCAACACGAACCAGTGATACATTCCTCGACCAAGGGCAGTGCCAATCTAGATACTTAAAACGTCCTTCGAAACGGTTCGTACGATTGAAAGTTTTGTCACAACCCATCCTATTTGCCCATCTTGCCATACTGGCTCTGACAGGAGGAAAAGGATAAACCCAGGCGCCGCCCCACGAGGACATAATCATCCTCAGTGCCATGGATGTGGGCTATTCTCTTATCATCAGTAGAATTGAAGATTGCATCACAGGCACCGAAAGCAGCTGTTTTTCTCTCTAGAACAAGAACCCCAGCGATTGAGACAACTCTTGAGACAATGTTGTGACACATTAGAGTTTCGGCCAGCATAGCACCATTACTGTACCCGACAGCGTAGACTGGGGCCCAGTCGGGCAAGTTCCAGCGAGGATCCTTGAGCATAGCTTGAATGAACTCCGTGTCGTTGACAGCTGAAGTGGCATGACAGCAAGAACCTGCGTTCCAGCTCTTCATATACAATGCATTTTCCACTCCACAAGGAGTGAACATTATGAACCTGTACTCGAGAGCATAGTCGATCAGACGGCTTCCATACTTCCAGGACTCGCATGTGCAGCCCATACAATGAAGATTCAGAAGGATGAAGCGAGCCGTGATGTTGACGGGGTAATAGATCCAGTAAGATCTATTGCCTTCTGGGCGAGAGATGTTAAACATAGCATCCACACCATACCTCTCTCCGAGCCTCCGTTCACCATTGGCTGTATCGTCTTGGGCCAGCTCTCTTTTTTCATCTTTGGATGAGTCTTTCTCACAAACAAAGATTGTACCATTCCAGTTGACATGTATCGCATCAGCTGACTCATCATATTGAAGGGCAGACCATTGCTGAGAGGGTAGTTTATACTTTCGGAAGAACTCGTTCATATCCGTATCATGAGGATTGGGGATTAGGTGGGTGCCGTTGAACTTGAATTTCACCTCTCTAACATCAAGCAAATGACCATATTCGGGATCCGGAATACCAGACAAGTCGAAAGTGCCTTGAGTAAAGCTTTCAAGATAGACAGAAACCTCAAAGAAGAGGACTACTGCAGTATCGGACGAATAGGTGCCGTTAGGCAATCCCTCCACACCAGTGAAGATAGCGTGCACCACGGCGAAGCAAAGGGTGAGGAGTGCCATCGACGCTGTAATATAGTCTGTGTTATCGTTCCACGAACACAGTTTCATCACGTCACGTCATACGTTCACGGTTTTTTACGTGACATGTTTTGACTCGCCATTGTGTAGATTGCTCAACTAAGGGATCTCAGCTCTAGCTCTATTAAATTGACAACGTAAGATAGACAAGTGTACGAGAGGTTAAACCTGTGGATGAAATGAGCAACGAAGAGATCAACTGGAGTAGCATAATCGAATAGGTTGTGGGCGGCAGTGTAAATACGGCACATCACCGATGGCGGCACAAAAACTGCGCGGGCTCTGTGCGAGGGCTCTTTGAGTTCCCTGTTGGGTCCTTCTTCCCACTTACTTTAATACTCGACCATTGTTCTTTTTATTCCCTTCACACGTCGGAGTGCCTCAAAAAGAGGCATACAAACTTCATCGGCTTTCGAAATCACCGACACAGTTTTTTCTCTAGTTTGGAATTCGCATTAGTGATTCCGAATGAGCACAAGCATTCGATTTACCCGCAGTTGATTTACTTTTCAAACAAGAACCACAAACAGCATCAGTCGAGACTAGAGAACAGCATCAAGAGTGTGGTAAGGCTTAATATCAATGACTCGAGCTCCCTCTACTGCACTGGTAGTTCCTGCTATGGGACGTAACCGTAACTTCCTACCTTCTAATGAGACTATGTCCATCACCTGCGGGAAGAGTTTGTGATGATCGCAACTGCTGAACTAAGATCTTCTAAGTTTTGCTCCTCATTCTATGTCATTGCGCTTCCATCAATATCTTTCGCTGAGACGTAGCACAAGCTGCGCTAGTCGTTGATGATACAAGAGATGTTATGAGATTAGATTTCATTCATTCCTCACCAAATGGGTTCACCAATACTCACGACAGAGTTATCACCATCATCATACAGATGTGCAATGCTACAGCGTTGCCAGATCAAAAATCCTAAACTTTCAAACCGGGTATAATATTAATTTTCTTTGGTATTTTATTAAAGGCGTGGGTAAAATGTTAACGAGAAAGGTAGAAAATCAACCAAATGGGTAAAAAAATAAATTTTTCGGTAAAAAAATAAATTTGACTTGAAAATGCTATTGACTTGGGTTAGTATCAGACAGGCGATTGAGATGGATTTCTACAATAATCTCTCCAGTGTTAGAAGAATATATGTTCGCTCTCCACAGCTGAGCTCAGGAGTTTCCTCACTAACTATAGGAGTACAGAAACCAACAAGAATTTCCGAAAAAAATCCTCGAAATTTTCATACTGTCACCAACACATGTAGTTGACCATGTGCATATTTCCCATACTGATTCCCTTACTCACCTGATAGTCTATCGTAGTGGCCTTTTCCGATCCCTGCAAGAGGTAGTATAACCAGACTTGGGACCACTCCTCTATACCTGACATTGTGACAAGACATCCAATGACCGACCTCATTACTCAGTGTTGGAGGAATATATGTTCGCTTTCCTCAGTTGAGCTCAGTGGTTTCTATAGATGGGCAGCGTAACGTTTTTTTTACGGTTTACGTTACGGCGTGCGTAACGTAAGCAGTTTACGGTTACGGGAAGGCCGTACGACTTTACGGTTGGTGCTGAACTGCTTTTTCAGAATTGTGATAGAGAGATTCACTGTAATGCACTCCACGATAGCTCAAATAGTTGTTAAACTCGTTGTTTGTGGCTCGGATTCAACCGAACCGATGAGAGAGTAACATTTGGTTTCGCATTTGCCACTCGTCTAATTTGCAAATTGCGTCCGTCTTACTCCCAGGCTGGCCCGGAACCGCCAAGCTGGCCTCATCCACGGATTCGCATTCACATGAAATAGATTTAGGCGACATGAATGATCAATCCTCGTTTTGTCCTCTGTATCTCCGTAAGACACGTTACGGCGCTGTAATTTTGCGGTACGAGGCTTGAAGCGTAATCGTGAAAGTGAACCGTAACGGTCCGTAACGTAGTTCTGCCCATCTATAGTGGTTTCCTCACTCACCAACTCTAGTAGAAATGTACAAAAACCCCAAAAACAATTTCCCAGGATTTTTTATACGTAGTTGACCATATGCATATTCTCTCTAACTACCTTCAAAGGCCTCCTCCCCTAGGGGTTGTCGTAATGCCACTACCACGTCGTCCCCATCCACAGTAGTATCTCCAATAACATATCCTCGATACGTCGATTCCGAATATCGTCCAGTTTTGGTAGCACACATTGTAAACAAGAACTGCCAAAGTCATATTACAGTAAACGCAAGACGCCTCAGAAATACGAAGGGAAAATCCTGACACAAGACCGACCATGCTTAGCTGTTGCTATCACATAGTATCCAATTCCAATTTTGCTATGAGAGCTTCTATTTTCTCCATCATCCGATAGTAGCCCGGCGGGACGCTGTAATCGACCTCAACCATCCGTGGACTGTCCACACAGAGAAGACCGTTCTCAATATCGTCAACGCTAGGAGTGGTCCCTTGAAGAGAGATCGACATAATACTCGTTAGCCTCTGTCATGGTCCGAGGCGACTACCCTCATCCACTGGCTGAGTCCCTCTTATTGGGCCCTCGAGACTGTCCCGGAAGGGCACCTCTTTAGCAGAACCCAGACCTAAGAAAAGGTCTTCGCGTACGATGTTCTTGATATCTATCTTTTAGCATGCTGACTGTTGCAAAAAATTACCAACCTAATTCTCCAGTGTTGGAAAATATTTTCGCTTTCCGCAGCTGAGCTTGGGGGAGTTTCCTCACTAATTATAGACTTTTACACACGAATTCGGGTGGACGTGTACAGAAACCAACGAAAATTTCCGAAAATTTCCTCAGAATTTTCATATTATCACCAACACATGTAGTTGACCATGTACATATTTCACCACTTTCTAAGGATGCGAAACTTCCTAATCCGAACTCGTTGAGGAGGACCCCTCGAGAACGTTTCATCCTTGGCTCAAGTCACCTTGTGAACGGACAGGATCCTTTGGCATTGTCCAAGACCAGTCCCTAGCTGGTGGTGATGGTGACACGGTGGCCTCGCTCATATTATCCACAATGCTAATATACTGAACTCATACAAACTCAGCTTCAATTCAAATCCTCCGTGAACCACGACTGTGTAGAATCATAGGGAGACTTGCCTCTGTAGAGCTTCGACAAAAATGTGTCCGGTTGTGACTTCTAACTCTGTTGGATAACTTTCTGCCAACAGTTGACAGCCCCCCCGAAGGTAGGACTCAATTGAAACGGCCCTCACAATGGGCAATACACGATACATCAATCACGTTCTTAATCTACTCCAAGGCTGCGGCCATTGACTTCGTCTCTTGAATGCTTCACTCCTTCTGGCCTTCGTTCAGAACGGCTCGATTCTGCTCCCGAAGATAGGACGATCGAGTGAGAATTCATCGGTATCTGAATTTAGAGGAGATGCAAGAGTGCAAGATGCTGGTCTTGAACCATCTTGCCGGCGGCGGCCCTCATAATCGGCGTAAGTTTGATCACAATGGGGGAAATGATGTTCCTAATGTGATGATGACATTTACATGGGAAACTGATTAATAATGTGTTCCTAGCCATACGTGGAAAATTGAAAATAAGTTTCCCTCGAGAACATCACAGGCTTCCGGATGATTCTCCGAGTGGCAGAGAAGGAGGAGAGGTTTTCATCAACAGAACAGTTCTTCGAGTCAACCCACAGTTAGTTGGACACATGTCTCGTAATGATTCAACCACACTAGGGAGAGGAAGTGCGGATTTAGAAGCGGCTCGAGGTCGATCGAACGTATCTTAGCGCACTGCAAAGATTTTTTCAGGTTATGACGATACTCAGTTCTACCCAAGTGATCAAATTGTTGAGGGTATCCCCACCTATGTACGCCACAATTTCATCATAAAGGTCTGTGTTCTCGCTTTCGATACCATAAATCTATCCCCACAGGTATACAGCATTCTTGCGGTCCAGTTGATCGTCACAGCCGCTATTGCAACCCCCTTCGCGCTGTAGCCACCCTTTAATCTCGTTGACAACCAATTGCGTTGTTGCAGTTACCCCGAAAACTTCGTTGGTCCGAAGACTGCGGCATTGGTCTACCTCAGCGTCTTCCTTACTCTCGGCATTATGATTGCTATCATATGCGCACCCTCTATCATGCGGAAGTGGCCTATGATCCCCCGAAATCCTGGCAGATCTCATTCATATCAGGTATCCAGTCAACTACCTGGTCCTGACCATTTTCACCCTTGCCGAGGGCTTCATGGTTGGTATCATCACTTCCCGCTATGATGTCAACTCAGTACTCATCCATTGCACGGGTACGACGTATTCATGGTTATCATTAGGTGTTGCTCGCCGTTGGTATTGTCGCTATTGTGGTGATAGGACTTACTGCATATGCCTTCCAGACCAAGCACGACTTCACGGGTATGAATTGTGTACTTCCCCCTGTCCCTCTATGCTCTCAGGCATGGGGCCCTACCTCTTTGTAGCGACCCTTGTTCTGGTGTTGTTCGGACTTCTATTTCTCTTCTTTGGGAGCACACCAGTGTTACACAAAGTCTACGCTGGTGAGTCTAGTCTCGCTCCTTCTCCGTAATGACCACACTGAATGATATGTGCAGGCATCGGTGCTCTCGTCTTCTCCATGTATTTGGTATATGATACGCAATTGATCGCTGGGGGTAAGCACTCTAAGTACAGCTTCTCGTTGGATGACTATTGCTTCGCGGCCATGTCCCTTTACATTGACATCATTCAGCTCTTCATGTGAGGCCATTAGCATGCATATATACTGTCTCACTCACATCTGCTCAGTTACATACTATCGCTGCTTGGCAGTGAACGTTGATAGTAAGGTGACGACAGGTTAGAAAGCCGTTGCTCTGTCGCTAGTAGTGGCATGTCGTGCATGCTTGTGTGTGTTGCCTTAAGAATCAGTGCGTTTTGTGTTATCGAGTTATTGAGATGGGCTCATTATGGACGATACAAGGCACTAAGGTGGTCGAGTGATCATGCTATATCTACCAAGATAAAATATAGCAACTCGAGCTTCGAACTGCTGTTGATGAACTGAATGTCTGGGAATGCTCTGCGAATGGAAGCGCCCTCGCTGCGAAATTCGCAGCGAGGCGCTTCGCAGTGCGAATATATGCAGTATAGAAGCGAGGTAATATCGTATTCCTTCTGAACACCTTCGCTTCTCCTAAAAAAACTACCCGCTCTCTTGGAGGACTTGCAAATCACTGGTGGAACGCTTGGTTAGGTATTTCGAACCCCAGCGTAAGATTACAAAAGTCCTACACCAGATTCGAAAACTTACCGAAGTCAATCGACGTCTCTCAAAACACGATTCCACCTCCAACGGTTCCACCGTGCGCTATTGCCTGCTATGTTTCCAGTCTTAACCAGTGCTCGCAACTCCAGATGCCCGGGTGTGATAACTTTCGTTGCCCTACCCAGTCTTAGTGGTCCTTTGAACGGGCAAACGCTCTCTGACCGGCTCCGAGCACTACACATCATCCACACTGATCTCACCCTCACACGGGCTGCGGTCCCCAATTTGGAGACGATCGCTGCTCACCCAGCACGAATTACATTTGCCTTCATAGGGCTATTAGGTGGAATTTACTGATAGTTGAAGAGGGAGTGGTACGTGAAAAGGAACTTGAGGGCAAATGTCTCATTCAGAGATAGAACCGCGGAGCAGCGCCTGGCAGGCGCCGCCTGCCAAGTCAGGATCGGTACTCTCAAAACGAGGACTCTTTCAAAATATCGAGGAGCACGGTCAAATCTACCGAGCTTTGCATGGTCGCCACCCACCCAGATTGTTGCAATTCTTGTATCACAGGAACACTTAGTACACTCTTGGAAGTCCCAATTTGGGACAGAGTCGTCGCGCTGGACAGAACGCGGAAGTTGAGGCTTCTATCGGTCTGACTAGTGATCCTGTAGAATGCCCATTTCTCAACGACCTCCACGGCTCCCCCGAATTCATCATAATGAGGTGACAGCAAACGACGAAATGCACCCATCTGGAGGTGTCGACCCATAACACACTGGCCAAGGGCACGCCTCAAGTTTATATCGAGATTCGAAGTCGAGTCGCTGGACTTGCAGTCTACAGAGTTCACTGCTCTATTATAGAACCATGAAAATATCTATTTTTTCTCAGGACACCACCTCTCGCTTTTCCTCCACAGTAGGAACTAGCTGTAGGACCCAGTAACTAGCTGGTACCCAAGTTGAGTTACCAATGCTCGTTGGCGATCAGTGGTCACGTTTTAGTGTAACTGTCGATCTTGACAAGTGGAACTCAATCCGTAATTTGATGAGGATACTTTATCACGGAGCATGCCATGGAGGGTTCAACAGGAGTCCATAGGCAGCAACGCCGGTGAGAGACAAGCCCTGTAGGAAAACCAATGATATACTCGATATCGGACAAATACGATCTTGTCAGCGGAACGCGCAAGAGAACGGACATATAGAGGAGGCAGTTGACACAAACCGTTCACTCTGAAGAGTGTACTGAAGAATATACTTCATATGTATCAAAATAGCACTGCAGTAATGATAGTGTATACTGTTGCGATACAGGTGTTCAGTAGTGCTCTTATAGATATGGCCTACCGCAGGTGGCGGTCTAGAGACCGCAAGCCACTCTGGATGTCTGCCAGACGAGCATCAGTAAACTTCTCCGCGGGAGTTGCTGCTAGTTTCTGTAAACTAAAATGTAAACTTCTGGCGGCCAGGAATTAGGATGGAGATCACACGAGAAGCACAATGTCATGCATGGCGAACTCACTTCCATATATCGTTGAAGCATAGTCGAAAGTCACTCTCGTGGATCGCTGACCCCTGATAACAGTCAGTTGCTGCAACCAATAGAACTGGCCATTAGGTGACTCATCCGAGAATCGACTCACCCTTTGCGGGCTTCGCCTGTTCCGAAGTTCCTGTTGCAGCTGAACTACTTCCTTTCTCATTTGCATAACAACCAAATCCTTCCCATCACTGAGTTCTTTGACATTATCACTAAGTTCTCTTATGAGTGTATCCTTTTCTTTCAGTCGAGCTTCTAGTGCACGCAACCTCCACTTTAGTCCCCCACTCATCCGCTTGCGCTTTTCGAGATCTCGAATGATACTCTCCTGCATTCTCAGCAGTGTCGGAATCACTCGCTGACGTAAGTCATTCAGCTGCGCGTTGTTCGTTGAGAGCGCGACGATATCCGCCGACGTCGCGCCTCGCGGCTTCTCTCCCTCATCAATTATCGGAATATCTTGCATGTCCAGAGCTTCGAGGTCTACATCATCACTTCTGGAGGAAGTTTCGCCATCAATTGTCGAGTTGTACAGGCCTCCTGCCTTGCAGTAATTCTCAATTGCGCGAAATACACGATCTTCAGAGGTGGCAGGCGAATCGGAATTTGATGGAGCCATTCACTAGAACGCACTGAGGGAAACTTGTATGACAATATCGGGCAACATCGAACACCAGAAGGGTGTGACCGAACTGTAACCCGGGCCACAACAATCCCTTGAAAGAAGGCTTGATTGTTCTTTCGTGAACGACACATGTGAAAGGTTAAAGTCGAGCAATATAGCTACCGTGCAGAGAGGTGCAATACCCTACTCCTTGCAATAGACTCGCAGGTGACAACCCAAGGAAATGATTGCACGAGTTGTACTGTCGATACTTTCCACTTGCATGTTTGTCGAGGTTTCACCAAAGGAGTAGCACGTTCCTGGCGTTTTGATTTTCCCGGTAAACGCGGGGGAGAATTACATTCAATACATCAACAATATAACATGAGATTCAGCTCTCGTCGGTGAAAGCAGGATAGTCCTATCCCCGCATGGGTTACAGCCTATAACTTACAGGCGATCGCTACTTACCTAGCTTAATATGTCTGTGCCTTCATAGGGCTACTTGATGCAATCTGAGATCACCATAGGGCACCAGTGAACTTTCACCTCGGGATCGCTGCACTGAAAACAGAGACTTTCCGCTTGAGAAATATCCAAGGACACGGAGGAGTCCCGCCAGGTCCTGGAACAACTTCAAGAACCCGATAACACCATGTAATCGGGTTCTGCCATGTTATTAATATGGCAGATCACCGTTGAAGTCTTTGCAAGATGGAAGTAGGTCAGAATTACCTCATTTTCGGATATATAGTACCAATTTCCACATAGTGATTGACAGACTCGCATGTGTCATTTGAAAAGTGTTTTGTCTGAGTTTCTGTGATCCAGCAGAGCTTTGAATTTAAGAAGTGCCAAGTGAGTCCATAATCGACTGCTGTCTGAGTACGCGTGATAACATGTATTTACGCGTAATTTCACATGGTTTTACGCATATAATACGCGATATTTCCGCGCGAAGTGTAAAACACGTTTTACACATGTCATAACGCGTACTGCGCTTTAATACGCGTAATAGCTCTGCGTGATCACGCGTAATGGCGCATTTCCTACACTTCACTTCACGTGCTTCGCGTAATTACACTGGCGTAAAACTGTTTTACGTGTAATGCAAGTGCATCTCCAATGAATCTCGCTGCTTAGCTCCTTTGGATATCAGCCACTAGCACAACAACAAAAGTAGAACATTCTTCTCACATCTCCATTGAGAGCACTCATGAGACTGAGTTTTCATGCCAATGGATCTTCTCCAAGCTGGGCCTCCACTGTTGACGACATCCCCGTGTAGTTTACGACACGCACTAGACCAGGCCATGGGCTCGGCTATGGAGAGCTCAGTGAGAACTACATGCGAATAAAGTCCCGTTTGCTTCTAACACAGGTGGCGGCCCATAACGCCCTCCTTGTAACTCGCTACGTTGATCATATGCTGCAAGAGATGACCAGGCTACTTCCGACTGAGATTGGTGGGCATAAAATTGAGTAACAAGATCTTGAACTCTTTGTTCCGTTTGCATTCACATAGAGTATCTCATCTCACTAAATCGCAGAAGCAGCAGCTTGGTCTACGTAGTTACTCGCGTTTACCCACTCAGTCGCTCCACAGCGACTCATCACAACGAACGCCTCTGACTCAGTTTGATGGAGCCGCCCACGAGTACACGTCTGAGACTACTCTATCGTAGTGTTATGACCTATTAGGTTCATCGCATACAAACCACGGAGTTCAGTGGACATTTTGACCATACCGCGCCTAGCTGATGAGCTTGTTCCTCATCAGGATCCCTTGACACTGACCTGGTCACCTTACGAAGAGAAACACCCGAATATGCTGCCAAGACACGGTGAAATCATCGTCGCTCAGGCGATCGTCCTGTGAACTCTTGTCAGATTTTGGGGCCTTCGATGCAGACAACTACCACATTGACGTAGGGAAGCCCTAGAGGATTCGTCGAGAAATCATACGGCGTCGGTATTATCCTTTTCTTGGTGGCGACCATGGCAGATCCCATACAACGAGGCTCAGCGGACTGACATCCGCATCGAGTGTACTCGCTCTCGTGTCTCCACCTTCCGTGTCTTGTCCAAGTGAAGCGCGTCTGAAGTCTTTCATGTTCAATTGACATCAAAGTCCTTGTTATTGGGACGTTAGTTGGGGCTGTCCCTGTTGTGTTAACCTATACGTCCGTCCAGGTGGCGGGTCCTTTAGTCGACTGTTGAAGCAAACTCACAACGGAGCTTGGCCCGATATATTCAACGAACGCTTTTGTCTGAAACTTCACTGACACCATATGTAAAGGTCCCAATCTAGATTGAAATGTGAGCATAGAGCGTACAATGATGATTGACGGTTTGAAATGTAAAGCTTTCGGCTCCATCGTAGTTGCTTATTTTTCCAACTTTCCGGTTGATGCTTCAGTTTAGTCATGTCCGAGATGAATTTCCTCAGTGAGGGACCCTCACCCTAGCTTTTAACCAATGCCTGTCCCCATAAGTGTGAGTAGCTCAAGCAGCATAGATTCTGGCTTTAGTTCCGAGAATGAATGTATACGTATGATTCTGTATAGGCTCCGGATAAGGTGGATGTTAGTGAGCAGAGGTTTTTACTAGTCTTCCGATGCGTGTCAACACAGGAGGTTGGAGTTTAATATTGGATTTCAGGATAGAGCCCCACTCCTAAACAACAACGCCAGCTCGACTAGAAAATATCGGTGGCTCATGTTCATGCCGGGCATTGATCGAGTCACACTCTAAGGCAGCTACGTGCCTTGTCTAATATGTCTCGACGAATTCGAGGATACTGTTCATCAAGTGCCAATACCTGTACAGTATTTCAACCTAGCTCAGGGTACTAACCCACCTTGTGGCAGACACGGATAGAATCCACATACCGCTTAGCTTTAAGGAAGTTGAAGGCCAGTCGGTAGCCAACTGCCGCCCGGCGCTCACAGAACAACTCCGATGCTCGCTGATAGTGCCTGATGAACGCAGACTCGGTACGTACACGCTTTCATCATATCTCACATAGCGGCGTCCTTATATGCCTGCTCCTTCTCATATATCAAACCAAGGAGTTCCCATGCCCGACCACAAGACTGGTTCTGGTCTCTCGCTTGCAGACACAACTTCGTTGCCAAATCATACCTCACACACATTGGTGACACACGAGCACTGTAGATGACATTTACTTGCCGTTTGCTATGTAAAGATCTGCCAGGAGTAGCCAGGCCTTTTCAAAATCATCAGCGTAATCAGGATTGTATCTTATGAATGCTTCAGACGAGACATGGTCCGAAGAAGTGCTCACGAATTGGCAGCGAACTCGCATATCCTCTTTAGTTGATTCCGAGCCTTCGAATTTTGCTTGGACAGAATCAGACCTTGTGAAACTGCTAACAGGGCCGGGACGTAGGTCCTCGACTCATTGAATCTTAGAAGAGGAAATAACCAGAAAGATACCAGATAAACACAGTGAGCCGTACAGCGCCATCAAGTCGCTGAGAGCGGCTTCTACTAATGTCTTGTTTCGTGTCAAGAGGTCAGCCTGGTATCTCAGAACCCTCAGTCTAGGGATCCAACCCAGCTTCTCTCGCTCGGCAAGTTCAATGCAAAGGTCTTTGGCCTCTGTGATGTTAGTCATGGGCGGACGAGTAGTAGGGGCCAGACCCTGAACTCGGAATCGTTAGACTACAAGAAGTCTGCAGCTGACTTCGAGGCTGCAGCCATCACTGGGGTCAGGAAAGAGATACATCTCTATCATATGCATGATAGCTTCGTAGCGATACTCTTGATCTTTCCTCGCATCATTGAACTCCGCGATAGCTTCCTAATGACAAGATTGCAATAGTAGTGTGTCTCTCAATATGATAACTACCGGCGGTAGCAACTGAATCACGTTAGTAAGTGGGAAAGAGGGCATACAAATGATGTGAATACCGGAGCGATCAGAACATGTACAGTCACTTGGCGCGTTTTCTGTGCGATCGTTCGCTCATTATCATGTTTCTACGACTACACCAGTCGAATTCTAGAGATACATACCATTGAAAGGTGTTATTCAAGCATCCTGCCAAAAAATGGGAGGTATGAACAATCCGAGCTCCGTTTCCCAGTCTCAAAAGTCTAATCGATGGAATTGTAATTATTGAAAATGCAGTGAATAGCTACGATGGCTGATATTGCACCCAAGATAGACTGAAAAAAGTTGAGGGCGACCGTGCTGGACATGATCCGATCATTGCACTCGGAAGAACCCCTAGGGGTGGGGACATCTCACCTGAGGTTGGTTCAACCATCGGGAGAGCATGCCCTGAGAGAACCTGAGGACAGGCCTCTGTGGTACGCCACGGCAGTGATCGGCACCTCAGCCCCGGAGGAGTATGCGCTCCTTTAGGGACACCCCTTTGGGCTTGCTCGAGGTACTTGGGGCCGAGACGGGCCAACCTGAGACAATAGAGCGACGATGTTCAAATCGATCATCTAACGAAACCCACCTTCCCGTCTTTCTGAACAGGAGGAGCAACTGTGCAAGAGCTTTGAAGTTGGTGGGATCATTGTCGAGCATATCCTTATAATGCCCAATGACCGCCTTGAACCTGCCATCGTAACTAGCTGTACAGACTGATCAATACATCTTACTCATCCGTAGATTCGATCAAGACGCCCTCCTCGTCTGCCGAAAAGGCCGTCAGAGCCTTCTGAGCCCTCAAGGCCATCACCGACGCCAACAGCATATCTGAGGGAGAAAGCTGTCGCCACGACCTATCATGAATCGGCTCACCCGCATCCTTATGATCCCTGTTGATTCGCAACAAGGCTCTTAGCGTCTTCTCACAAGAATCGGCGTCGCCCCTAGCAAAGTTGAGGCGAGCAAGGCTCATGAGTGCAGACTCTGCATGAGACACCAAACTGAGGACCTTCGATGATGCCCAGCCTACCGTGATGATTGTCTAACTCCACAGCCACGGTGTATTGCCCGATGGCTGCATCGGAATTATTCTCGAGATGCTCCAAGTACTGTCCTAATGAAGGAAGCAACTGGTGAAACGTGACGAGACAAACGTTCATCAAGCCGAATGAGCTCAGAACTCAGCCCTCCGTCGAGTAGTGAAGAAGGATTCGCATACCTAGCTGGTAATGAACGTCTGCAGCCAGCTTCCTGAGCATGTGAAGATCTCCGTCTTCTTCATCATCATCAGTGACGGAACTCTTGCCCAAAACAAAGCCCAGAGCGGCAAGGCTCTTCAGGGAAGTCTCCTTGGCTGCCTTCAAAGCTTCCAAGGACCTTCAACACAGTTATAGAGTAAGTGAGAATGGCACTCCTCACTGAGGAACGGACAGATTCATCCCCCTCGCGTCGCCATGGTGCAGGGCCTGATAAGAAAGAAATCAAGTCCACGCTAAACCAACAACATACTGTAGATGCATGCTCTTTCTGATAGGCCCTAGATAGAAGAAGGAAGCTCTCAACCCTGAGCATGAAATAATTCATAACCGATAACGTGGGTGTACCTGTCAGCGACTTGGTCCGTGGAAGCCTCGTCGTGCGGCACTGACAGATGTCTTTCCATTTCCTGAATGCATTCCTGATAGCGTCCGAGGTCGAGATAGAGCTTGGCCAGATCTCTGCGGAGGTCTGAGCATCTAAGACCGACTCGACAGATTACAGTAGTGCCCCCTGCGAGAGTAACCTACGTTGAAATTGGCATCGAGTCGGCACGTTTGAGTGCCGCCTTGTAGCATTCAATGGCCTTCTCATAGTCATGCATCTGAACACCACACAGGAAATACGATACGCCTCCCAGTTTCCAAAAAAACTCGTCTAAGCGCTACCCACAGACAAATGTCACCAGTGAATGGTTCCTTCTGGGAGGAAGAGAAATAGAGAGGCGTTGAGATATGAGGACAGCAGCTGACCTGTGTCCATGCTCGAGCTATCTTCTTCACAAGGTTGTGGTCACTAGTGTGGTTGCTACTCTTATCAAGACGCCTAGCTTTCTCGAATGCCTCTATGGCTAGAGTTGGTTCCTGCCATCAGCCTCACAAGGGGAACCCTCAGATGACGGCGACCTACCAGAATGGTGATGTAAGCATCTCCAAGACGAGTCAAGTTGACGGCACTTGGCTCGTGATTGCAGACATCCATGTAGCATTGAGCGTATCTAGCGAGGAGTTGCACTTGGAGATCTGCTTCCGTGACTTACGCTTTCTTATCCTTTTTATGATTCTTAAAGATATCTCCCATGGCAAGGCGTGCCTTACCATAACTAGCACTACTCGGCGGAACACGGCTTAGAGCGGTCAAGGCCTCCCCGATGTCGCCTCGCCTCACAGCTATCTCGGCACCTGTTAGAGGAAGGATAGCAGCAACTAAAGACTCCATCTACCAGCCACGATTATAGTCGACTCCTCGTTTGTTCCTGAGAACTCCACCATCGCATCCTCTTGAAGTCGCTTGGCCTCGACTGTCCTGAAACAACCGTCAGCCTGCCGCCCACCAGGGTGCTCACAAATCGCCCATGGTGAGCGCTTCGATGAAAGTACGGAAGAGCATGCTCCTGTCGCCAAGTGTGAAACTCAAACCTTTTGACGCCTTTTGAGAGGGGTTCTTGCCAGTCTTCTGTCGTATCTATTATCAGATGAATCATCCAACGTCGTCATTTAGATCCGATATAAATTGCCTCTTTACGATCAGGGGACCTACGCCGTCAACTTCGATGGCCTCTCGCAAGAGCTTTATCGCCTCTTGGACTCGATTGTCCATCATAAGCCCCTCAGCTCGCACCGCTGCATACAGTGGATGAGATCGGATGCCGAAGTCTTGGGCGAAGCCTTGCTCCAGATACCTGAGGGCAACAGCTGAGATCCTCGCTTCTCGTTATAGGCATCTACTTAGCCGCTGTATCTTTCTGGCCGAGAGCACTATGGAGGCGAGCGAGACGGATGTAGGTCTCTATATAGGGTGGGTCGGCCTTCAGGGACTGCCCTAGGAGTCTGAGGACGGCTATGCGCTCATCTGCCGCAGTCAAGTTGGTCTACCGCATTGCCTTGTCGGGGCTGCCCATGTTGATGCTAGCTTGGGCGAGGGCCATCTTTATCGACAGGAGACCCGGCATGAATCTGCTGACGGTCTCGAGGACCTGCTAACAGTCAATTGTATTTCCGAATCGCCGGCCGCCTACCTTGACGCCTCTAGCCAGATTGCTGCTACCACCACTGGATGCCCCTTCTTGTGTAGGCTCACTGAGGCCTATATACCTACAAAAGCCTATCCCCTTGGTGGAGCTGTCAACACCCTCACTCGTAAGCGATCTTCATCATGAAATAAGGGTTCAAGTGGTGGTAGAAGTCTTGACCTGTTGAGTGCTTGAAGCGTGTAAGATGCAAGGTGAGACACTCGTTGAGGGCCGCTACTGCCTAGATTACACGAGAGTTCCCCAATGGACAGAAGCGGGAAGGAGAACCTGTGCGCTTTGGCCTTCATGGCTAGTAATGATCGATTTCAGATACGCAACCTCGGCTGACTTGCCGCCTGTAAGCGAGATAAGGTACTCCCAGTAAACGTCCGAAAGATCTACTTTTTGCCGAAGTTGTGATTTCACTAAGGAGATCGAATTGATCTGAGGCCTCTTGGAAATCGCCTGTTGCTACACAGCACCTTGAAAGGAGATCGTCGTTGTGATGGACTGAATGGGAAGAACCGACCATATAGTTCCATAGAGAGCATCTATCTCGGACCCTTCATTAGAGGCACTCATCGCCCTGTTGAAGTATTCAGTAGCCTGCTAGACATACACACAACCGATCGATGCAGAGGCAATGTCGATGTCGATTGATTCATCGTTCCGAAAACGTTCATAGCGATCACACAATGGTCGCGTTCACCTCGTTAGGCAAACCCATCATGAGCTTTTGGTAGCCAATTTCAGTGAGGCAAGCTCCGACATAAGACTCGCCGCTAGAAGATGGAGACCTGTACGGCGGACTGCCTGTGCGAAGTGTCGTCAACGGGGGTTTCTCACTGGTCCTCAGCACGCTTGAGCGCAGCAACAGACATTAAAATACAGGCTTCCACCACTTTCCGACCTCTGGAGGGATCAGAGACATATTCACAAGCTGCGACAGGACAGTTCCCGATCGTGGTTGACGTGTTGACCGTCACCTCGACTGGCGGTTGGTGTCGCACATAGTCGAGTTATAAGGGACGCGAGATCGAGGAGGATCTGTACACGCGATGATGCCCTAACGCATATGGGAGTATCATGGCTACTTTAACGTTGTGGGGCTCCTTCTGCAGGCACAAGTCCTGCACCTTCTGGACACTCTGGACAACCTTCGTCGATGGGCCTTCAGTGGCGACCAGATGAACCAACTAAGACTCGGCTGCTGCATCCTCGTCGTGATGGTGTATTCTCTCACAGAGAGTTTTTCGAGCTCAATATCATCAGCTGTCATCAGTGTACTGTTGGCTCTTGCACGATCTACTATGTCGTAAGCCTGCCACAGAACGTGACGTCAGAATGCTACTATAGTGTTACTTGGTCGAACTCAGAGGCCAATAAGCTGGCCCAAGCCTGGGTATGGCCGATAGGAGAGTACCTGGGGAGTTGAAGAGAAGAGACAAGTCATGGCATCGAGGGAAGCCGACCAAATCCCATGAGTCGCCATGCATTCGGCTAGAACGTGCAATGCTGGTGGGACTTGTCTTTTGGCAATGAGGACCTAGTAGGCGATAGGACAGGGTTAAGCCAAGAGTGCTGACCTCGGCCTTGCCCATGGCGGCCTCGAGCACGTCAGAACTCCTTTGCAGTGACGCTTCGAACCACAGCATCGCTGCATCAAGGACCGCCGTATTGAAGTTCTTGACCTGGGTGGTATTCTTCGAGATACATGACCCTTTGACGTACTTGTCCTTTAGCCATGCGTTGGAAGCCTTGATCGATTATAGACCAGCCCTTCAACGCCATGCCAGTAGGGTTCAACAATGATGACGCAGAGTCTTCAGGGGTGTTGACGGAAACTAAGAGGCGACCAGTCGGCCACCTTATTGTCTAACCTGCTCACTCGGATCGTCCCATTTCTGGTAGGCTGGGTTAGCGTCCAGATACCTATGGCGTTCCGATACAGTACGACTACGATTGCCAGCACCACTCACTGTACAGCTCGATCGACCTCTCCCACGAGGGAGAAGAAGAGGCTTGCCATATTCTGACTTGAACCGGTGTATCTTGCTGACTATGAACTGGGACCAACGCTTCGACAGTGTCCTCACCCGATGCCTCTATTCTCAACAGTCGCAGTTGAGGCCTTCTGTTGAAGGGTGCTGATGGCACTCTGGTCCTTCCCAGGCAACTGAATGGTGATCGGTCTGATGCGAGTTGCTGCCTTCGAGACTTGCTTCCCGGTGCATCCATATGGCAGCTGCATACACAGCTAATTCACAGGAGGGAGAAATACGCGTGTTTGAGTTTATCAGTGAGGTTAGCTGCTTCAACGCACCCCGGAGTGCCGTCACGGTCTGGCCACCGGCGAGATAACTGAGCTACGACTTGACTAGAATGCTCAGCTATGGTCGACGGCGCTTACATGTGAGCAGCTGTTAGAAGTTCTCTAACACTCCTATCGTTAGCATCAGAAGGCAACAGTCTCTCAAGGAGAGGCCCGATGGCATTGTGATAGCCTTTGCGCCAGTAGTAGAAGGCGAGTGAGCACACTTGCTCAGAGGTCAGCTGTTCGGACATGGTTGAAGAAGTCATAGGAGGCTATGGTCCAAACCACGTCGTAGATGGGAAGCTGACGAGTACACGACAATGCATTACAACCGAACTGAGTACGTCATCGTTTAGGAACGTCTTGAGTGAATATTTTCATCTTTTCGACGGCGCCAGTCAACTTGAATCGAGAATCCGTCGTATACTAGGGAAGCAACGGCACAGACGTGTAACGGTCTATCGGCGGGGCTTGATGAGATACGAATATATTCCCGACGATGGGAGCGCCAAGACTCGGGGCCTGACTCAGGCCGCCTGAGTCACTCTAACAACGAGAAATCCATCATTCGGTGTCGCCTGTCACCTCATCACCAACACTCGATCGTGCTGTCGATCGCACTATCACCAGATAACTCGACTAATTGACAAGTATTGTCGAATGCACACTCAAGGGTGGATTCGGTGGACAGTGGAAATGTGAGCCAATGGCAAACATGGTACACAGTGTGCCAGTACGTGTACTGTACGCTTACTGGAGCTGGTAGTCACATACCGCACGTAGTACGGTAAGCTCGCTAGGGGTAATATCATCCTTCATTTGCTCGCATAGTAGCTCCAGAACCGCCTCCAAGTCGAAGGAGTGACCTCGAGCCAGCATACTAGCCATTACTAAGTCAGAAGCGGTAACCTCAGCCTCGCCAGCATGTTCGGCTCGTCTCAAGAGATCTCTGGTGTGCTGGAGGAGAACTTGACATACCCGTGTTGCATACTGTGCATCTCGTTGAGGAAGCATGCCCTTTCTCGTCAGCTTGTCGATACATCGAACAACAGGTGGGACGAACTTGCGGTCTCTAAGGCCCACTTCAAGTAGAGCTTCGAATGCTTCTGGACGGTCGAGATAATACGCCACAGAATGAATCACGATGTGGTTGAGCTTTTCAAAGACCTCTTTGCATGGGGGATCGAGCCCATGAGTCAGAACATGCCGAAGTGATCTGTTGACCAATGGGGAAAGCATGTAAGTTATGAATTCGGCCAAGTCCTGCTTGAGGATATCGTCGTTCCGCCAGAACTCAGGAGACCGCACGACTTGCTCAACTGGCTTCAGAAAAGCAAGGTAGATCCGCGGGTCGGTCGATGGACCACAAGCATTGAAAACGAACGTGGACACTCTTGTCAATTGCTTCAGCAGCCGTCGAGAGCCCTGTATTTGACCTTCGGATATCATATCAGATTCAAGAGTTTTCAAATAGGCAAGCGACTCCTCAAGGGAGGTCGGAAGCATCTCGGGGGAGTTGCTAGTTTTGGTTTGCTCGTTTTCAAGTTGGCCAGCCTTGGTCGCAAAGGATGGCGGTAAAAGAAGTGCCTTGACGACCTACGGAAGAAATACGTAAAGAGATGGGATCAAGGGTGATGATGACGTTCAAAGTCATTGTGATATGATCGCGACCACTCTGAGTACGGGAAGAGTACATCTGAGTCTGCATGTGTATCTCGCAAAGCCTGCTGCATAGTGCTCCACCAACGCTCTCCTCCACGCTCCAGAATTGCCTTTGCCGCAGTATCACACGCAGCCCGCGTCGCAGGACTGAACCTGTGACAGAGAGAGATGCTGGTAGAAGCATGAGCATACCGTGGTCAATTTCCACGAAGTTCGTATAGTTTCATCCGTGCATGGGTACTATACGTCGTGAGGATTTCTCGGTGTTACTGTGATCAACCAGCAACAGGAATAAAAACCTCATCTGACAGCGTGTCCGAGTGGTTAAGGAGGTGGACTAGAAATCCACTGGGCTCTGCCCGCGCAGGTTCGAATCCTGCCGCTGTCGTAACATGTCGTCACCTTGCAATTATTGCTCTGCATAATCCGATACGTGTTGCATGCTTCAACGGTTCATCGTCTACCTGCGAGGCAGCTGCTCTACGTAGCCGATCACTAACCGAGGAATACACAATCGGCAGCAAGTTGGATGAGGTCTGTCACTCCCTGACTACACAGGGGAGTCCGCAACATGTATGTAACCAACTTGATTGTCGTCGCGTTACCTGCCTTTTTAGAAACCTCGAGAGAATTTACAAGAACAAAGATAATGAGACCGTACGCAAGATGAGAGCTACTTTCCGGCCTCTGTCGTTAACAAGGCCTCGACTTTTCGTCAACAGCCAAGCAAGCAACTCGGCTGCCACTGGTTTTGGTAGTTCGCAATCCGCTACTCTATCGGCTAGACCATCCCAACAGCGCCGAAGTTGTGAACTCTCGGCGGCATCACTCTACAAAGTGGTTATGGCAATAAGAACATAATCTATTCTCACTGCTGTAACGACCATCCACTGGACTAGCAGGTCTACGAAAGACTCGCATTGGTGAGGGTTCGCCTCGACGTATTCGTTCCACAGCTGCACTACAGCACAACGGTCTTCTGCATCCACAGCAGCACTGAACATGCGATCCAGGAGAGTTTCATTGCCCTGAAACCCATGATCAAATAGAAACTATTCACCAGCCTACTCTCTTCTTCAACACTTGAGTTTCGAACTGCCGTTTGACTTCTTTCTGGCGTTCCTCAGTTGCCCTCGGCCGCCTGCCGTGGTCCAACGTACAGGCTTCCTTGTCTCGCAAAACACGCAGGGCCTGCAGCTCCCCGGCTGGCCTGAGCTGAATTCTTAACACCTCTACTGAGCCTTCCGCAGCTGAGGTCGCCTTGGTGGGGATCCGTGGAGCCTGGCCGATGTACTCGAGCAAAACGTCATCAGCAGCAACATCCGCCGACTCAACCTCGATATCCTTAATGGGCGTCTGCAAAGCTATCATCTCAGAAGATGCTGGCACCCTAGAACCGTTCGAGCACCCAACCGATCGATAAGTCTTTTCTTGTCGTTGAAGCGGTGATGTCGAGTCGACTGACGCCACCCGGGAGAGCACAGGGCGCAGGGCCTGCCTTTCTGACGCGGTCAGTGACTCCAGCATCACAGTAATGGCTTTGTTATTCGCTGTGGGGAGGAGGTACCTCAATAGCCGCTCACTAGATGATCGTAGACCAGCGTGACGATCAGTTAGGCAGCCCTTGGTCAACAATGCTGGCAAGACGTCACATGGGATCGTCTGAAGGTTCAATCCGACTAGATAGACTCATCGATGCGGCCAAGTCGTCTACCTTCCCACTGTTTGCTCGTTCTCCCAACAGCTGCAGTAGGCGGGCTTTCAACTCACTGCTTGCTGCTGTGCGCCGCCCGCTACCGCTGAGGATTCCCTCACAAACGACCTGCAGCATCCACTACGACCACTTCGACTGCCAGCGCACCTTCCACCACTCCTCGGCCATGCCATTCACCCAAACTTCATGACAGCTTCGGGCTGCAGAGTTTACTTGTGCATTGCGATCAGCCAGACGGTTGGCCGTGACCATCCCAAGACTCCTCAGAAGAGGTCTGAGCTGACTGCTACCGTCTAGCCGTCGAGCTCATGTTAGTACTTGGACAGAGGGTCTGCCTTGACGGCTAGACAAACAACATTCAGCGCCAAGGAAAGGCACGCCTTATGAGTTTCCTTCTCGACAACTGCACTAAGGCTACTGCCCAGCTCCTCAACGATGCTCGATCCGGAGACACCGCCGTCTGTGAGGGCAGACTTGATGCTGGTGAGAGCTTCCATCCGAACGCCCCATTGAGGATTAAGGAGCTGCTCAGCCACTATATACGGTGGGATATCTAGTGGAGCAATGACCATCAATCAAGTAGTAGTCAGCCTCACCCAACACAGCGCCGATAGGCTTCCTCGTGTGCAGCTCCGGCCGAGCTGGAGAGGCGACATTCGATGCCTTCATTGGTCTCTTCTCAACCGACTGGCGTTGGACAGTAGGGCTGCTGCCCTTTGGAGCTGCTATTGCTAGCACTGATACGTCTAATCGGATACCCCCGCCTAGCAGCGCCCCTTGTATACCATCAACTCGGATAATTGGAGGGATAGCAGGTTCATAGCTACCGTTGTATAGGAGGAGATCTCTCATCGACTCGCCTCCATAACCACAAAGGCATCTTGCAAGTTTCTCTCCAGTTCGATGCAGCTGTCTGCAACTAAGCAGATCTTCCCGACACCACTGAGTGATGGGTCCGAGAATTATTCCCGGATGTTTCAAAGTGCACGGGCTGAAGTTTACCAGCAGAGACACCAATGCGTCAACTCCCCGTTCGATGAAAAGTCGACCCCAAGATGAGGTAGGGTTCTCAATCTCTACCATAACTAGAGTGAGAACCGCTACAGGACCATCCAGGCCCTTCTTCATAGCAACAGTGTGAAGGATGCTGGTAAGTGTCAAGCCGCATTTGGTATCAGACAGATAGGCACGGACCATGCGAGGTAGGACTATCTCGAATGCTGTTGCCTCCAGCCAAGCCTCGCTTTCAAATAGCGTTAGCATTGTAGTCACGATACACTGCTTCACCTGGAGCGCTGCATCCACCAGGAAGCTCTTGCATCTCACGGAGAGGCGAGCTAATAGAGCATGGTTGTGGTCTGGGTCTATCGGGCTGAGGTTCGCACCCAGCCACGTGTATGCCGCTTTCCGTTCATCAGCGCTTTTCCTTCCGAAACTCGTTATGATATCATCAGGAATGTTAAGTTCCTCAGTAGTCAAGTCTTGTGGAGAAGGAGTGCATGCTTTCACGGCAGACAGGACGGTTTCAATCAGAGCAGATGATGGCATTTCATTCGATTCAAAATAGAGAAAGTGAGAACCCGTGAAGCAATGCGACCGACTTCCGAGACGCGAATATACTCGAAGTGTTATGGCTGTTCTCCATCTTCACCATTTTAATCTTTTTGAAAATGAAAAAATTTTCCGCCTCTCACTTCATTTCACCATCACAACACCATCCTTAACTACCACCATTTGAAAGAATACCTTTCTTGGATGTATATCTCCGAGGAGTGCGAATTCGTTGTCTTACTCAGGACTAACGGGTCCACTTACTATTAAAATGTAGGAGCATCGTTGAGCCCAGAGTAATGTCGCTCACCGCCCGTATCAGGCGAGTCGGTGTGCTCAGGCTAGAAACTAGGGATCCTCAAAAGACAATCATCAAACATGACCAACAATTTTTTAACTGGCGATTCCGTCAAGGCGTGGCATCGTTGGTGATATGGTGCGATCAGATTGCGATGGTTCGAAAGGCACTGCCGACGATCTGCTAAGACTCTCCTGCTCCGCAGTCTCGCAAGAAAATCGAGAAAGTTAGAAAACACTTTAACGTCTGCATTGCGTTCGACGCCCCACAGCAGCGGCTTTCCGACTTGCGTGTGTTATGAAGGGATTCATCAATACTCAAGTGTAGAGAGGAGAGGAAACGATCAATATACCTCAGCGTGGTAGCGGCCTTCTTTCCTCATCCTCGCCAGAATTTCCTTCCAATCACTTCCGTGACTCGCACAGATCTCCGACAAAGCTTCGTGGACTCCCGACTCCATCGCCTGAACAACAATGCTACTGCCAAACCCTAATACAAACATACTCTCCAGATGAACATTCCTTCCCACGTGCAACATCGTCAAGGCGATGGAGTGGTAGCGAGCTTACCTTCATGCCGCACATGTAGAGATGGAAATTAGGCTCTTGTAGCCACCTCCAGATGTCTTCTCCACATTGACGCATCTTAGATTGGATATACCTGCACAACAACCATCTACTTGAACGGGAACTACGCTAAACTATCATCCGCAACACCCCGGTTCGATACCCACAACCATCAAGCTCCTACATCTTCCTTCCCTGCTCATCCTTTTCCTCTCTCGAGAGAGCGTAGTCTACTCTGAGACGGTCCGAATTAGCAGAGACACAATCACTCAGCTCTTGGGGGTAGAGTATAGACGATCGATCAGCCACACCTGAGGAGCGTACTTGTTTCTCAGGAGAATTCTAAACAGGTTGGTAGAATATGAGCATGGTCAACCACATGTGTTGGTGACAATATAAAGACTCTGAAAATTTTTTAGATGATTCTTGTTAGTTTCTGTACACTACTCATATATTCTCCCAGTTCGTATATACAATCCTTAGATAGTATACAATACAATACAAAATCCTTTGATAGTTGAGGAAAGTATTGAGCTCAGCTGAGGAAAGCGAATATTTTTCCGCAGCACTGTTTCTAGAATTTAGTATTTTGCAGATTTTTCAGGCTGAAACTCCAACAAGACTTTCCCGTACTGAAGCGAAACAGTGGTAAACGAAATATCTAATTTCCGAACCTGTCCTCTGGCGAGTCCCAGAAGACAGAGCCCTACCCAAAATCAACCACAACTTCCCTTCGCCTTGGTCAATCCCTCTGCAAAACTCAGAGGTGAGGAAGCCTCGGAAAGGAGCAATGCCTAGTTGGAAGATTGTCACTCGCCGAATAAGACGACATTGTACTACCTGTTCCTGTGGCCAACATTAGCACCTTCGAATCTGGATCGTCGGGAAGTAGCAATTCCTTACCGGTCGGACCTGAATTTGACAAAATTCCTTTTCCTCAGTAGAAGATTCTCCACGACCTGTTATAGCGACCGTGTCACCAGGCTTCAAATCGCACAAATAGTTTGATCCCACTCCGCGATACACCTGAACCATCAATGTCGCGCGCCACAAAATTACCAACTACCTTATGACCGGCGTAGAGGCCATCCTCCTCCACCTCCCCATAATCCTTGTCTACTTCCACCAACCGTTTAACACAGAGGGAAACAGTAGTACCGTCGGAGAGATCACCCTGACCAGCTGAGGCTATCGAGTATCTACCACTCATTCTGCCGATAGAACACTCTTGAATAGTTACACTTTCGTCTTGGCCCCAGGAGGGATGATGCCAACAGACTGCCCTTCTAGGTACTCGAGATCTCCACCAGTGTCCAAGACTATGTGACGGACCTGAAGCCTCTACTATTACTACTACGACAGTGATGAGTGAATGGACGCTACGTCGGCCTCGGGCTTCGCCTCACGAGTGGCGGGAGTGTTGGAGAGACACACAGCTTGAAGAGGGTGTTTCAATTTGTGTTTATTGACCTATTGCAAGCACTCACTGGGATGTTACAATGGTGTGGTATCACCTCCACACTGCGTCCTCGCGATGATATAATCTTGGGTTTCCGTCGAGCCTTCCGACTCACACCGTGCATGCGGCCAGCCAACAGCAACAGCCCCACCATAAGAGGCAGTCCAGGACCCCAAAAGGAGCCCTGGGGAATACTAATCCTGGGAAAGCGATAGGCCAATAGACTTACAGTGGAGAAGAGCTGAGCCGTAGATGACGCTGCAGCCACAGAAGCGACCGAAGACCCCCGTAGTGATGCCTGAGCAGCAGCTGGACGTGGGCTGAGGAAATGGGGAGCTCCTGATGAACACGTGAATCTCTTGCCAGCAACACCACTATAATGCGCTACCTCCAAACTGGGATAAGGAGAGAAAGAGGCATACTCCTATCAGAGAGATCAAGATCCCTCCTTTTCCTCGGCGCCGACTCCGTGGCCTCGTCAGCATAGTTGCATAGTCCCAGAGAAAATTATTACTCAGTCTGGGGCGCGCGCGTAGTTTTGTGGCGCGCGACGGTATGAGAGCAAGTGCGCGCAAGAAGAACTGCGACGCTGCCGCAGAGACTATACAACGGGTCCTAGTGCTAGCCTAGCTAGACAATGCACGTTGTTGGATCGGTAGGCTTATCGTCACCGCTCAACAAAAAATACGATAAAGTTTGCTGTTTCATTGTGGAGTCTATTGCCACGGTTGCTGATGATGGCTAACGGTATGCCGGCGGGTTGATGTTATCATCAGTAGTCACTCAACACCAGCAAGAGGCTCCTCTCGAGAGCCTTCAGTGACCATCACATCTACTCAGTTGTATTTTTATTCATAAATGGGTTTTACAGATCGTCTCAAGTCATTACGTAAGCCCAAAGTTAGTCAACCACAACAGCAACAGTCCCCGGTCTCTTCTGAGCAGCCATCGCCGCCGCCTCGCAGTCCACTCGAACGAACCCCGGAGGTAGTAGGAGTAGTGCTATGAGGAGGTCGTAATCGCACTCAGGGATCGCTTTCGGAGCTGCAGCAGAAGTTAGCCAACCTCAAGGCCACCGTATCGAGGCCAGCTCAGTCGCCAGCTGCGGCCCAGGTCCTTCCTCATTGAGTGTGTGGGGTCTACGTTGTTGTTGTCTTCAGGCCGCCCAGCAGTTGCTGAACGATTGCAGGAATCTGTCGGCGGTGTTGGAGTCCCAGACGGACACTTTCGCTGATCAGGAGAATTTCGACCTCGTCCAGGGTGTCTTTGAGACCTCTGAGGAGCTCCGGAAGATCAGCCAAAAGTAGTAGTTGTGGGGTGACACTGGGGGTGACACTGTGTTTACTAGGTTCGACGGGTGGTACAATGCAGCGACGAGGACTGCTGTTGCCCATTCGGTAGCGGTCAATGAGGCTCCTGCTGGCCTACCAGTGACAGCCTCTCAGCCCGTTGGGGACGATAGGGGTAACAACAGGGAGAGGCTATGCTGGATGTTTATAGGCTCCTCCTCAGCACTCAGTGCCTTTGCTCGGCAAATATCAGAGTTGAGGACGATGGTGTGGGACGACTCTAAACCGGTGGATAGATGTGACTTGGCAATAGCCGAGGCGAAGTCGTGTAGTGAGGCATTAGCCGGCCGTATCAATGCCTGGCTTAACAAGTAGTAGTAGTGATGGGAAGAGGCGCTCCTATATCAAATCTGTACACGGTGTGCTCTCCCATGTAACGTGTATATGTACGGTATACAGCTCGACCGCTTGGAAGGGAGGTATGTTCCGCCCTTCCAAGTATGCTGTCAGTAGTACTCCAATCAAGCGGGCTCATCCTAGCGCTCCTAGTGGCGATCAAACCAACGAGAATTGACCTGCTATGGCGGTTTATAGAGAGCAGAATAGAATAGGCTTGATAGGCTGATACCTTTACTGTTGTTTTAGGAAGGAGTCGGCGAAAGTGGAGAAGTTGATGCAGTGTAACGACGAGTTGGGGGATATCGAGGAGGAGTGGAAGGTTCTGAGGATGCAGAGAGGCCCTCAAGGGTAGGGTGCTGTCTGGTCATGGGGCACTTGTGTGTATTTAGGACTAGTGTGGTGGACGGCAGGCAGGAGGAGGAGGAGGTGGGGAGGGATGAGAGAGAGGCTTTGAAGTCTCAGAGAGAGGAGGAAGAGCGACTGAAGGAAGAGGCTGAACGGAAAGCTAAGGAAGAGCGAGAGGCTATACAGAAGGCACAGCAGGAGGCCAAGAGGATAAGGCAAGAGGAAGAGGCGGCTAGGGCTGCTGCTGAAGAGGCCGCGAGGAAGGAGAAGGAGGAGGCAGCGGCTAGGGCTGCTGCTGAAGAGGCCGAGAGGAAGGAGAAGGAGGAGGAGGCGGCGGCTAGGGCTGCTGAAGAGGCCGAGAGGAAGGAGAAGGAGGAGGCGGCAGCGGCTAGGGCTGCTGCTGAAGAGGCCGAGAGGAAGGAGAAGGAGGAGGCGGCGGCGGCTAGGGCTGCTGCTGAAGAGGCCGACAGGAAGGAGAAGGAGGAGGCAGCGGCTAGGGCTGCTGCTGAAGAGGCCGACAGGAAGGAGAAGGAGGAGGCAGCGGCTAGGGCTGCTGCTGAAGAGGCCGACAGGAAGGAGAAGGAGGAGGCAGCGGCTAGGGCTGCTGCTGAAGAGGCCGACAGGAAGGAGAAGGAGGAGGCGGCTAGGGCTGCTGCTGAAGAGGCCGACAGGAAGGAGAAGGAGGAGGCAGCGGCTAGGGCTGCTGAAGAGGCCGACAGGAAGGAGAAGGAGGAGGCAGCGGCTAGGGCTGCTGCTGAAGAGGCCGACAGGAAGGAGAAGGAGGAAGCGGCTAGGGCTGCTGAAGAGGCCGACAGGAAGGAGAAGGAGGAGGCGGCTAGGGCTGCTGCTGAAGAGGCCGACAGGAAGGAGAAGGAGGAAGCGGCTAGGGCTGCTGAAGAGGCCGACAGGAAGGAGAAGGAGGCGGCGGCTAGGGCTGTTGCTGAAGAGGCTGAGAAGAGGAGAGTAGAGAGTGCTAAGGCTGCTGAAGAGTTGTCGAGGAAGTCAGCTGAACAGGAAGCAAAGCGAGTCGAGGCTCCTCGTATGCAATCTGCTGAGAACGGCAGCAACACACGTGTGGCCATTGGGGAGGCAGCATTTGGTGCAGGGGAGAGGGGGGAGTTGGGGACACCTGTTGAGGCTGGTGTTGTTGTTGTTGCTGGGAGGGCTGTAGGTAGAAGGAGGCCGCCGCCAAGGTCTAACGCAGAGAGGAAGGAGATAGAAGTTAGGAATAGTAGGATACTGTGGCAGATGAGGGAGGAGGCGGCGAAGAAGGCCCATCAGAGGCGACAGGAGGCGGCACTCGCTGAGAGTGATGGATTGTTGGGGCTGGCCATAGGGTTCCATAAGGTAGTTGGAAAGAGGGAGAGTTGTGGTAGTAGTAATATTGTTGGTCAGGAGCACGGTGGGAAGGCTTATCAGCAGTCGTGTTTGAGGATGTGGAGTATGTACGTTAGAGGTTGTCAGCATGCTAGGAGGAGGCTGTATGAGGCAGCCAGTGATGAGGAAAGGGCTGCTGCTGTCGACTATGCTACTTCAGTAGTAATTTCGTGGCGCGCGGTAGTGGTGGCACGTGTTCTGTTGGCAGATATCTTTGGACAAGCCCTCGGATTTGAAGTTGATAGAGAGCTGTCGGCGGAAGTTGGAGGAGTCGGATCGACAGGCAGTGCTGCAGTCTGAACTGAAGGCTGCTATGAAGGCTCGGGATCTGGCCACGTTGCAAGAGGTGGAATTGTGGTACTCAATTGGGCCTATTTCGTATCTTACCAGGTGCTACCTGCGATACCTCGAGACAAGGCGGGACCTGAGGCCTATCGAGTTCTGTCTGAGGAGAGGCTTCGTGATGCGGTGAGGAGGAAGGCGGAGCCGGCCGAGCTGGAAAGGCTGATAACAGAGGTAGAGGGAGTGTGAACATACGATGCTGGTCGGAGGCTTTTGCATTCAGGCTGAGCGGAGCGGTGCTGCTATGGTGTATATCACGCCGGCTAGAGCTCTTGTGGAATTTTATGGCGCGCGACGGAAGTCAGATCTCATGGCCTCTGTGTCGTACTGTGCGAAGTTGGGTGTGAAGGATCTCCCGGCTCGTCCACTGGAGCGGCTATCTGAGGCCGCGCTGATTTCGATAGCGTTTAGAAGGTGGCAGGAGGCAGTGCATGAGGAGGCGACTCGAACGACTGTGGGGAAGTTCTTCTTTGAGTTGTGGAGGCATCGGTTGTGGCTGAGGAAGGAGGTGGCGAGGCTAGCAGCGGACGATGCGGTGGGCTCGGCTGAGCTGGCGGAGGCGATGAAGGAGTGTGAACGGCTGGACATTGAGGGGGTTGAGGGGGATGAGGAGTTGGCCGAGGCGATGAGAAGGAAGAAGTTGCTCGAGGCGATCTACTCTGCGAAGAATGTGAAGGCCTTGGTGGAGGCGACGGAGAGGTGTCGGGATGCTGGCATTGTGTTGGAGGATAATTTTATGGCGCGTGAAGCTCTGGGGGACGCGTTGGGAATGTCGCTGATCCCGAAAGCCCTGGAGTTGGAGGAGCTTGAGAGGCTGATAGCTGCTGCGAAGTATGCAGGAGTGCCAACTACCTATTCTGAGGAGGTTGTGAAGAGTCGGAGGTGGAATGCTAGTGTGGCAGTCTTCCGGGAAGGGAAGGAGAAGGAGTTGTTGACGAGGGTGGTTGTGGAGTGGAAGGAGCATGCGAGGTAGGAGGCTGAGCCTGTCTGTGTAGCAGGGACCCATTTAGTTCTGAGAGATAGCGCACCCTCGAAATGGGGAAAATGATGCTGAAGTGAAATTCACATGGAAACTGATTGAAAAATATGTTTTTGGCTATGTGGAAAATTCAAAATGTTTTCCCCTCGGGAACACTATAGGCCCGGTAGTCTTGTCGGGATGCCACTTCAGGTACTCGGCTAGATTGGACTCGATAGAAGGTCGTATTTGCGTGGAGCACGAGGAGAGGTTGGAGAAGGAATCCTTCATAGTGTGGGCTGCCTGGGCGGCTAGGTGGAAGGATGTGAACGAAAAAGCAGCTGGAATGATAAGGTCGTGTGAGGAGGATCGGGTGAGGGGTGCTTGGGAGGCGTGGAAGACGTATAGGAAGAACTGGAAGGAGAAGGAGAGGAAGGTAGGAGGAAGAGGAGGAGAATATGCATATGGTCAACTGCATGTGTCGGTGACAATATAGGAATTTTGAGAAAAGTTTACTTCTGAGAAATTCTGAGTTTGGGAGAGAGAGCAGTGGCCATAAACCACAACTCGGAATCAGCCCACTGGGTCGGTGATTAGTGGCTTCCGGCAACTGCAAGGTGGTTGATCCCTCCTGGGTGGTCTCCGAACGCAGACCAGAGGTGAACTACTAGCTATCGCTAGACCGCGGTTGAATAGAAAAAAAGGAAGAAATTCATCGTACGAAGAGTCGACTTGGTCTGTGGTTTTTTTCTTCTGAGGCTGGCCCGCCCTGAATGTATTTTCTTGAAACGGATGAATTCTCGACCGCCCGACTGGATTTTACGTACGGAAAAATGTTGTTGTTCCTGCGCTGTATACTCCAGAGGGAAGCGAACACTGGTCCCAAGTAGTGTTGTGGTTGTTAGGCGGCTGAGATGGCGGCGGCTGGTAGTAGGGAGGTGGGCCGGCTCGCACTGGAGAGTTGGAGGGAGCGCTCGGAGGGAGTCCGTGAGATTGTGGAGGTAGTAGGACTGTTGTTGGTCAGGTTGGCGTCGTTGTCAGTTTTGGAATGTCAGGCCTTGAAATCGGCAAATGATGAGAGTTCATTGACATCAGCGCTGAGTGCATGTTGTTATGATGAGGATCTGTCCAGGAGGGCGGGCCCGGAGGCTATCGAGGCGGCTAAGTCCCGTTTGGCGGCTATAAGGTGGGAGAGGAGACTAGGGGGGTCGGGTAGCAGTCGGATCGGTGTAGGTTGAGGAAAGCAGTTCAGAAGGGAGGGAGTAGTCCGGCTGAGCTCCGAGATCTGTGGCGAGAGGCAGGCTGGCCGGAGACCGATGTTGTGGGAGATAGGGCTTGGCAGTTGGTGAGTCGGCGTGGGGGAGGAGGCCTTTGTTATGTTGGTGCTGTCGCAGAGTGTTAGACGTCGGGCGTTGCGGAGTTGGGCTGAGGAGGTGATGGAGAGGAGGGCGGTGACACATAGGGTGAGGGAGTAGATGGGCATGTGCCAAGTGGAAGCTTTCTGTCAATTTGGTAGGTGGAGCGTTGTTTGAAGGGGGAGGCGGAGGATCCCTCCCTCTTCCGTTTGAGGGCTACTCTGGATTTGGCTAGGGAGCGCGATGTGAAGGAAAATGGCGTGATAATGGCGGCGGAGCGAAGATTGGCAGAGTGAGCTTGTTGCCATTTCCCGCTGGCTTGGAGGCCTTTTTACTGTTTTTGTATCAGAATTGACTTGTCGACGGAGTTGTCCCGACCGATGCCGTCCCCCGGAGCACTCGGACAGCTGCTGAGGAACTCGTGGCTGGACAGGAACGATGCGACAGTGCGGAAAATGGTAGAGGAGGCTAGTAGGTGGCGGGAGTTTGTGGTTGGGTGGGCATAGGAACTCGATAGATACTATTCGGGCGAACAGTGTTGGGGATAAGGTGAAGAGGAGAGAAGCTAGAGATGCATTGAGGTGGTGTCGGGTTCGATCCCTGGTGACGGCATTTTTAATTTCATTTTTAGCATCTGGAAAGAGTTTGCGGTTGAGCGAGTGTGCCTCCGACGGAAGCTACTGAAAAGTAGGAGCGGCGGTCAGGAGGGTGGTGTGAGGGAGATGGTCAGGCACGGACGTAGAGGAGTTGTCTAAGTTGGTGGAGGAGTTATCGGTGCCGGGTCATGCTCATGGAGACCTTGTTCTGTCTACGGGGGCGAAGGATCGACTGGAGATGCTCGAGTGGGCTAGGCAGCAGGAGGAGGCTAAGAGGCAACGGGTGAGGGCGAGGGGAGGTGAATTTTGAGGAAATTTTGGTAAGTTTTTATTGGTTTATATACCGTGTATAAACTCCTATAATTAGCGAGGAAATCCTGAGCGTCGAGAGAAGCGAATAAATATTCCTCCAACACTGGTTAGGAGGAAGAGAAAAACTGTGTTGTAATGACATGCGTTTGGTAGTTGTAGTATTTTCTGGGCGAGCGAGATTTCTGCAGAGGATCTTAACTGTTTCAAGGGAGAGGCGACGTTGTAGTCGCTTTGGCGGACTTTTTGGTTTTCTCTCAGTTTCAACGATTCCAGAAGAAGTGGGAGGAAGAGGAGAGTCGATGGTCGTTGAGGACGGAGGTGTCACCAAGGGTGTGGCCAGAGGAGGATCGGAAGGCTGACTATTTTCATACTACTGTTCCGAAGATCAGAGGCTTTGCGACTACACCGCTCAAGAGGGGTAGGCGGCCTGGGGTTGATCGTTGGAAAAGTGACACGATTTTTCTCATGAAATGTGTGACAACGTGAAACTCCGGAAAGAACAGGAGAGGTTATTGATGTTTGCCTTAGGTCGTGTGGACCTGTCGTCATCTCGTAGCATAACACCTCGTACCACACCATCGCTGTCTCACACCGTGTACTCCCCCTGGGGTGACAGGAGGTAGGCAGTATGAGGGTCTCTCTGATGCTTGTATGCCTCCTTTCCCTTTTAGTCTGTCACCTGCCACCTCGATGGACCTCACGAAGTTCTCATTGAAGACACCGTCACCGCGCCACGAAGTTGATACCAGTGGCCTCCTCGGTCCGCCCGGGAGCAGCCTCCTGAGGCCGCCTACGTCCACTACGGCGATCCATCGTAGAGACCAACGGGAACGGGACGAGCTGAACAGACAACTATTCCATCAGTGAATTTTGCTTCGCTCCGCTGTAATTTTGTCGAATCATTTTGGTTGTTTTTGATCTCCTCTGCCGTTTTGTACCCAGCGAGGCTTCCTGTGAGGATGCAGGGCAGCCTTTTTCACAGCACAATATTCCGATCTACTAAAGTATTTCGGACTGACCCCATTCACACTGTGGTGACGGCTGGTGTTAGTACAACTAGGGAGGAGTAGGGAGGTAGTTTTATGATGGCAGCAGCTTCCAAGCCTGGGGATGGGCGGCCCCCAGCACGACTAGATGGTGGGGGTAGAGGCTCCTCCTCATCCTCCTCTTCGACGACCCCTCCGAATGGCCATCCACCTAGCGCTGTTTCTGGTATTTCATAAAAGTTTAGCGGAGCGAAGGTGATGTCGTTGGTGTTTTAGGCACTTTCGGTCAGTACGCGGGCTTCCAGGCTTTGTGTAGTGGAATAGCCCGACAAGTGGTGTATACGGATCTGGGAGACCCCGTTACATCTGTCCACGCTGGGGAGTGGGGTATAGGGGCTGGCACTATGTTGGGTGAGCTCGGGGGCCCGTCCACCTTGGAGTATAATACCTTGAAGTTTGCTAACAGTGGTGAAAATGTTGATAATGTGATGATGACATTTGCATGGGAAACTACTGATCGAAGAATGTGTTCCTAGCCACACGTGGAAAATTGAAAAATGAGTTCCCCCCTCGGGAAGACTATGGCTTCGTGGATAAGTTATGGTATGACAATTAGAAGAATTTATTAGTAGTATGTTGGAAATGCCGGTACCGGGAATCGAACCTGGGAGGTTCGCTTCTCACCTGTGTGGTCGTGGTTAGGTAAGGTGTGGTATTACTCCTTGGAACTGGACGAGAGAGTACCCCTGGCGGGCTTTTCTGATGATGCTGTTAAAGCTATCTTCGTGAGGGATCCTTATACGGGTGAGTGCCTCTCAGGCTTGCTTGGTGATTCCATCGGGGCCTTTTCAGAAAGTGTAAGGCGAGACCAGGGCGAAGACGCTTTTTGTACAGCGCGGAGCCCAGATGATGACAAGGTGGATCTCGAGAATGGTTTCGGGTAGTGCGCAGGGGACGGTATAGGGTGAAGGGCAAGGTATCGCTGAATATACTGTGACTGGTACTACCAGAAATTGAAAATTTATAATGAGTAATACCTAGTACATAACCATGCCTATAGAAATGTTATTAATTCCCTTATAGTAGAAGTCGTGTACCAAGGGGTAGGGGTACTTGCTGAACTAGAAGGGTTCTTGCAGGCATCAGATGGCTGATCTACTACACCCAGATGAGCCGACTGCCCCAATAGTGTATGCTACTGTCGGCGATAGCTGCGCTAAGATCTTTGATACAGCAGATCCTCATCAGCAGGTGAGGAGGAGGGGCCTGGGGTGTGCGAGAGTGTTTGGTGTTATTAGACTGTGTTCAAGTTCGAGCGACGGAGCTCGGCATCGGTGAAGTACGTGGTGCAGCGGCAAAATCAGGTGGCCATCGTTTTCCCAGGTAGCAGCAGACTCTGTGGTTGTGGTGGAAAAGTGTCGCTTCGCTCCGCTAAGCAGGTATGTCTACTTTTATAGATCTGGTCACGGAGAGTCAGAACATGACTCCGTTCCGGCTGCAGGGGACGGACGATGATGTTACTATGGCGTGTCCAACGGACATGCGGAATCTTATCCTCTTGTGAGTATTCGAGGGCGGCAGTGAATTTTTGTCCGCACAGGGAAGATTTTGCGCTTGCGTGCTAAGGGAGTATTATCGTTTTCAGGTTAGTGGAGCATTACGATGTGAAGCCACCGTGTTATAAAGTAGTGGATCTTGAACACGACCAGCAGGTGAGCAGCGGTAGGGCAGCGAGCCGTCTTCTGATATCGATCAGCACTGGTGGTGGCTACTGCTGTTAGTATAATATACAAACTAATATCAATGGCCTTCATATATCTATTGGAGTTTCACCCGTTTTACGTGAAGTGGCTTGTAATTCTTCGAGAAAAACGCGATATGTGTGCGATGTAGTAGTCGTGAAATATATTTTTCACTAGTGAGTTTTTTGCATATCACGGCCGCCCGTGAAACAACATTGTAAGCAAGCCATACAGCATATATTCATACCATAATATGTCAATATCAGATTTAATAGTAGTATATAGGTAGTACTAAGGTAAGTGCCCAAATTTGAGTATTTCAGTTGTGTTACTGTGTCTTCAGCCTCCTCCTCCGCTTGTAGAGAAGTGTCGCTATCAAAGTTCATCAGGTTCTCGACTACGCTCAGTTGCCTGGCCGAGGCCGACTTTGTTATTTTGTACGGATGCTCGGTCCACGGTATTTGGTTTTCGTTTCTGACGCCTGTAAGCTGTGTGTGTACGACTACGTTGCTAAAAAAACTTTGGTAAGTTTGATCACCCGGAAGGCGCCTTATGGTCGGTCTGTCAGCATGTGTTAAAGGAGCATAAGAAAGATATAGTATCGCTGGACACTACTTTTAGTGACGAGGAGTTCATCTCGGTCGATACACGTGGAGAAGTCCGCTTGTGGAATGCCACGGAAGGTAGGGGCTTCTGGATAGTGTGGATTCCCTCAGCAATCTTTTATGAAAATTCACATACGGCTTGCGGTAGAAGTATGTAAAAACAACAGAAATTTCCCGAAATTTCCTCGGAATATTTACACTGTCACTCGTCAGCGTTGTTGTGTTAGGTATGGTATTAGCTCGGGGGCGTTTGCCGAAAGCATGCGACTTTGCCTTGGGCTTCCCTTATTACGTCTCGTATTGTCCACGGACGAGGGTGGTGGCGCAGAGTTGCGATACGGGGGTCTTCGCTTTGCAGTTGAAAAAGCCCTTGGTCCGCTTGCCAGGAACTTGATCGGCTGAAATTTTGTACGTACTCGAGGACCACATTATAGAAAACAACATTGCTGAGTGTATCATCTAGTAATGTTGGTGTGGTGTTGGAAGTTTGTCAATTTACGGTAGGAGAAATCGATCACTTGTGAATATTATTGTCTTTATCACTATTGCGTATTAGATTATGATTATAGATATAATATTGGAGGTTCACCGCTTTTTTTACGTGAAGTGGCGTAAAACTCTGTGAAAAACGCGAGACTGGTGCTATGCAGTAGTTTTTGAAATATGTTTTTCACTAGTGTTCTACATGACACGGATGAGACTCCAATATGTGATAAAGTTTTACACTAACGGAAATAGTATTATAATATCGCTATCACGTAGGTAGCAATGGAGTTTCAAGGGCGGCCCTAGTGATACGAAAAGCACTAGTGAAAAACATATTCCACGACTACTTCATATTATCGCGAATATCGCGTTTTTCACCGAGTTTTATGACGCCACTTCACGTAAAACGGGTGATTATAATTTATAAAGGATTTATATAGAATTATATGAATATGATATACCATTAATTAGCTCGCCCAGGGGGGAGTTTAAAGAAATCGTTACAGTGTTGTCACTATTTTATGTCGAAAGACTCAGGTGCTAGAATGGGGAGATGGTTTAGGGAGGTAGGGGTCGTCGCTACTGCCAGGAGGGTAGTGACGTCATCGCCTTTAGAGGATCTATTGGCCTCGCACATCGATAGGGTCGGTGGCTGAGGAGGGCCCAGTGCATACTATGGGAGGCTACGCTAGGAGGGGGTCGAGGACTGGGGAGCCCGAGGACGAGGAAATGTATGGTCTGGGGTTGCCCCTCTGTTGATTGTATAGTCTTGGTGTCAGGGTGAGGTTACAGTATCCGACTTCGCATGGTGACCTGTCGTCGTTGAATTTGGGGGATGCGCCCTCTTGGTGTTTGGAAGGAGCCCCGTCGCAGCCCTTGGAGGAAAGGCTGGTCTCATCAGGGGTAGGTCGGTCATGGGTACGGTGGTCCAGTGGGGTCCTAGTTAGGTCGAGAGCTCGGCAGGAGGGGACAGTTGGAGGGTGGGTACGTAGGGTAAGTGTGTAGTTGATGCCGTGTGCAGCAGGATGGGGAGGCGTACTGTGAGAAGGCTATGAGGGCTGCATTGAATGCTCCCACTGGGCTGTCGCCTTATCTACCCCACAGATCGATATCACCTCTGCCGGTACTCCATAGAGGCGCGTGTGAGTGTGGGTCTCATTGTCATCGTCGTAGGGGCGTCAGTCATCTATTGGGGGCACGCCGATGTCGGCTGTGTCGCGTCACCAGTCACCAGGACGAGTAGTGGTGAGGTAGTAGGGCTACTAGGGAAGGTAGGAGGGGACCTCTGTGGTGCTTCAGGAGAGTCATACGTCAAGTAAGTCCGGTGAGCGTGGTCAGAGGGTCCAGCGTGGGCACTCCGGTGTCGGTCGGTGGTACCGGCAGCGGGGGGGCGGCGAGCAGTACGTTTACAGAGGTCTTGGGTCAGTGCCTCTAGAGGGGGAGGGAGGTGTCTCGTACGGTCAGCAGGGGAGTGTGGCTAGGGCTAGGTCACCGCTAGGACGGGTGGTAACCGTACGGGAAGGGGCAGGGGTGAGGGGGCGCAGTCCTGAGCCGGGGACTGCTAGTTGCCGCACTCTGGAGCAGTGGGGTGCAGAGGCTGTACCTGCATACGCCGACTGTGTGCAGAGGTCCCCGCCAGTGAGGAGCTTCCCTACGATGGCAGATGCGGTCGAGAGGGGTGATGGGGAGAGGTTTGATGTGGTCAATACTGCCTCTAGTACGGGCCCCCCTAGCTATGCCAATCCGTATGCCCATAGCAAGGGGTTTTACCCTAGGGAGTTTCCTCAGGTATCGTCGTGCTATAGCGGAGGAGCATGTGGAGGGCACAGGTGGGCCATTGGGGAGGCCCCAACCTTCAGAGGACAGTGCCCATTCAGAGGGGTTTGGGGTAGGGAGGCCCCCGAGGGCGCAGGTAGGGGCACGTCGTCATCGTGGTGATGGTGAGGGAAAGCCGTGGTCGGAAGAGGAGGTAACTGTAGGAGGTGTCGGCCCCTGGAGGGATGTGTCGGCATAGGACGGCGATAGGAACTCTGTAGAGGAGGTTGTCGAGGCCCTGCAGGAGGACGAGCCGGAGATCCTGGAGGTGGTACCCTCCATCTCTGTTGTGGCTGTAGTAGACTATGGTGGTTTAGGAGCTGCCCTCAACCCGACAGGTGTCACCACGTGAGGCCAAGAGGCGGGTAGGGCTGCGAGGGGCCCCTTTGGATGAATGCTTGTGGTCAGGTCCCAGCAGCGGAGTCGCTGGTTAGCAATACGCTGGGATCGTTGTCTTCCTCGGAAGGATCGATACTCTCTATGGTGGACCGGTGGGCTGACTCGCCGTGGTATGGGGCGTCTCGTATTCTTGTCTGCATCAGTGAGGCGCTCCCAGTTAAGACCACGGAAACACAGACGGACGAGCTGGAGGGCTATCGGGTACGTGGGGAAGAGTGATGCTGGTGATGGGGTTATTGGGCAGGGGGAGGCTCCGGTCCAGAGTCCCCAGTCGAAGGTAGGGCCCGACGCGGGGCCGCCCGCCTATACCCCCGGTGAGTTGGTGTAGAGTGCTCCATGGGGAGATGGTCTCTTTAGGTCGGCATGGCTATAGGGTCGGTGGAGGCACGGCTGAGTCGGCACGGGCTGCTGCTGCTGCTGCTGCTAGTGGTGCTAGACGTACGCCGCACTACGCTACTCCAGGGTGGGACGAGAGGACACAGGAGCTACGGGAAAAGGAGGCTAGGTTGGCCCATGGGCCTGTGTTGGGGAAGGGGAGCAATGGTGTTAGGTTGGAAATGTATCTGGCGGAGTCGGCAAGGCGTCGTGAGGTCCTCATGGACTCTATTAAGAGACGCCATGCTACGGCACACCACCGAGGGGCTACGGCGGCGAGGGAGCTGGAGTAGGCCCTGGGGAGCGAGGCTGCTGCTAAAGTGTTGTTGCCTTGACAGTTTTGGTGGTGGTGGCTGGGCTCAACGTAGTGTGGAGAAGTAGGGTCCTGATGGTAGTATTCTTGTTGTCTTTTTCCTTTTCCCAGCAGCTCCTCATCGACGAGCCACATCCGCACTGCATCTGCGTACACATACCAGCCTGCTGTCGGACCCACTACGCAGTACGATGACGTGGCAGTATGGGCCGGCTTATGGTAGTCGTTCAGGTCGCCCCCTCAAACGTCATACACTGCCTTGCCGAACTACCAGCGGTCTATGTGTAGGTAGTTGTAGCGCTATAGGGTGAAGTGCTGTGTACTCAGCGGCGCCCCGGAGCATGCATCAGTCGAATGAGAGGCAATATGGATGCGAGAAGTGAGCGGTCTTTGGCTGCGGTCCCTCAGCTGCTGCCCTACTGTTTCAGTCGAGACCACTCCAACGTGAAGGACCGTAGGGAAAGTCGTGGGGCAAGGGCTCGAGTGGAGGCCGTCAAGAGGCAGCATCATCAATGTAGGGCAGTAGGGCCTTTTATGAGTGGTGATGGTATCACAGCTCCTCCGACAATAGAAGACCGTGGGCCGCCGGCCGGCGGGGTGTATGTGGCTGAGGGCTTGCCTAGGTCCTCAGCTAAAAGGCGCCGGTCCAGCTGGCATGGGGATCGTCACGTGAGTTGATGGCAACAATAACGGTTGGTGAGGTTGTTGTTTCCCTCCAGCGAACGGTCTTTGGAGACTCCTCTCCTCTGAGCCCTCACGGCAGCTATGCTAGGACTATATTGAGGTAGACTTACTGCTCTTTGTTGGAAATATGTACATGGTCAACTACATGTGTTGGTGATAATGTGAAGACTCTGAGGAAATTTTGGGAGATGCTTGTTGCTTTCCTTTCCGAGTTTGTGTGTAAACGTATTAGAGGAAACGGTGATGCTGAGGGAAGCGAACATATGTATTCCAACACTGTTGCCTCAGAACTGGTCGCCTTGTGGAGGACCGTCGGGAGCGTCTAGGGAATGACGAATGGAGGGTGAGAGTCCACCCTAGGTCCGCACTGGTCACGATGGTCTTAGGCCCTAGCCGAGAGACTTCGGCAGAAATCCGAAAATTATATAGTCTCCTGTCCGCGGTCCTCTCAAGGGAGTTTATGCTAGTCGAGCCGAAGAGCTGGTGAAGTGTTTGTATTGAATGAAGCTCAAGACTGTTGGGTCGAACCACAGCATGTGAAACTGATATGCGTTATTGTTAGCAGTCGTGATGAGGGCTTGAGTTCTCTATTGGGTGTTGTCGTTGGTGTTGTTATGAGTTTCAAGTTCGACGGCAGAAGCTTAGTCAGACTAGGTATAACATGTAGGAGCATCAGAAATCGATAAGTATAGGACCTAGTGTGGGGGGAAGGGATATATGCACGTGGTCAACTACATGTGTTGTTAGGAATATGGAAACTTTGAGGAATTATCATTGATTTTTGTATACCACTTCTACCCGAATTCATGTGGATTTTCGTAATATGGCGAGGAAACTTACGAGCTCGGTTGAGGAAAGCAAACATATATTCCCAAACTGATAGGATCATTTTCCCTCCGAAGAAGCGATCAGTTTAGGAAGGGTTTCGCCCTGGTAGTTACTTGTAATGGTTGATACAGCACTTTCCCAGCAGCAGCAGGCGTTGCTGCTCGAGCCAACCCCAGACTTGGTCGGGGAGAAGTCTTGGGTGGTCCACAATGGGGAGAAGAAGACCATCGGACGGAAGGCTGAATGCGATATTGTTGTTAACGGTAAGCCCATCGGGTCCTCTGGCTATGGTGATAGCTGAAGTGCTGTTAGACACTATAGTGTCGGGTCAGCATTGCACAGTTGGGTTATCTATACTGTCCACTCAGGAGCGGCAAGGGGACGGCATTGTTATCAGTGTGAGTGTATACGACTATGTGTGGTTTCCTATTCCTCTACGGGTCGTAGGTTGAGGACAAGTCGACGAATGGTACCCTTATCAACGGTGAGAAAGTGGGTAAAGGGAAGATCCGGTACGCCCAGGTCGGGGATGTTATCAGTCTAGGCAAGCCGAAGATAACATCGCAAGGTGACGGCGGCCTTACAGTGGGTCGTCCCATAGAGCCTCGTGTATGGTGCTCTGCGTTGTAGGTGAGCATTGCTATGCGGCTAGTTATAAGTTGCGAATGGTCATGCTGGACAGCATGGGACGGTGGCAGGAGAAGGTAAGGAGACATCTGGTGTTGGTCTTTTGAGGGTTGTGTGGTAGGAGAATATTAAGAATGCCAACAGTGAAGGGAGCAGCACTGATGCCCCTGTTGGGAGCCCCAGGTCGGCGGTCCATTCTGAAGCGATTACCACTCGAGAGGCGTTGGGGTCGGTGCCGCGGCTGCGGTGAGAAGTGACGGAAATTTACGATGGAAATTATCCGCTGTTTTTCCCTTAGAAATTTTCCTGTTAATGGCAAAAGAGCGCGGGAGCCTCCGACGGGAGCTCGTAGAAGGGAGGGCAAGGTGAGGCTGCCCTCAAATTTCAAGGCGACACACTACTACTCGACAGACCTCCTCAGCAGCGGCGATGGCAGCGGCCCATCGAGAGGAGCAGCTCAGGGCTCAGCTGGCCTCTGTGGAGGAGGCTCGCCGGAAGGAAGAGTCACGCGCCACAGAATTGGTAATTTACTCATCGTGTTGACCTGTTGGCCAGGCCGGTGTGTTTTGTATAGGAAATTAGGGTGAGAGTGAACGAGGAGAGGCTGAGGGCTCTGACGGAGCAGCTGGAGGAGGCACGGAAAGGGAAGGATCGATTTCAGGCGGAAAATGCTGAGTATGCAAGTCGGGTCGCGGTACGTCAAGAAATGCATTTTAGTTTGCAAAACCAGATCGCTGAACTCACTATTAGAGGGAAGCAGTTGGAAGCGGCAGCTGAGTCGAAGGAGCGTGCTTGGCAGGATTCGCAACGGGAGGCTGGGATGAGAAACGAAGTGATGGGCAATCTTCTGTTGTGGAAAAATGTGCACAAAATCAACTACATATGTCGGCGACAATACGAAAATGCCGAGGAAATTTTTTCACAAATTCGTATATATACTCCTGAGCTGAGCTGAGGGGGAGCGGAAATGTATTTTGAATCGATGAGATTGCCGTCAGGAGATGGAGAGTCTGCGTGCTGAGGCCTACGAGGCGGCTGCACGGGCGAGGGACGTTACTCGACGGTTGAGGGATGTCAAGAGGAGTTATGACACTACGGTGGAGGCTAATAGGAAATTGATGGAATACTCGACTGAGTTGAAGGAGAGGGTTGATGGACTTCAGGTAGGAGTTGTTGAATAACTACTCGTCTCAATGGAGTTATTGTTGCATCGACAAAATGACTCCATTTTTGGTGCAGGGCTTCGATCCGATTCGTTCGGGTCTTGGGTTGTATAGTCCTGGTCGATCAGCGTGGTATAGCACTCAGAGGAGTCTTAGAATGAAACGTTTTTAGGCGGCCTTGGTGACGAGTAGCTCGTCGGTGGGAGCTCTCCAGAATGCTATCCAACATCTATTCGATGTGTCACGGGAACATGATGGACAGGAGACGGCCAAGTGAGGAAGTGCTCGTGGTGTGGTATGAATAAAGAATGCTATTATAGCAGTTGAGTCATTGTCGGACGAATGTGTAGGGCATGTGATCAGATAGCGAGCCTCCTCCGGCCAGTGTCGTCACCACCACACGGCTTGCCAGTGGGGATAGCCTCTACAGATCAGCAGACATATGTAGAGGAGGAGAAGACCAGACTGATACTGATGATGAAGTAGGCTACCACTCGCGCTGGACACCACCATGAGCCACTGCTGTAGTGAACTCTATAACAAATGCAGCAACGCTGGAGGAAAACGGCGAGGTTACGCCACGACCGATTGATCGGATTCGTGTGAAGCAGAGTGACTCCGATTCGGACACCAGTGGCCAGGATGGGACAGAAAGTGAGAAATCTTCGCTGTGCGGGGGGAGGCGCGAGAATCTTTATGGTCGATTTCAGCGCCACCCCCGTTGGGAAAGAGGACACGAAGCTGTTTTGGGGGGACTCCGTCTTCACAGAAGAGGCTGAGGAGGGACGGGTAAGGCGTTGTGGTCATCCAGAAGTCTATAATGTTCCCGGGAGGGGGAATTCATTTTGAAATTTCCACGTATGGTTAGGAACACAGTCTTCAATCAGTTTCCCATGTAAACGTCATCACATTAGGAACCTTTTTGTCACTGTTGTCAGACTGTATGTAGCGCCATTTCTCGAAATTGAACTAAACCTGGGTATATGCCGGGTTGTTAATGTTAGATATGAGGAGGAGGAGAAGGCCGACGGTGGTACTTTCGGCAGCTTGCTTGATAATGCCGAGAAATGATGTATAGTGGAAAACGAATTCAATGATTCATTTTAGTATTATTATCGACTAATGACAGTCGAAATTAGAGAGTTCATCACTTGCGTTTATCAGTAAGTAGATCTCCGTGACGCATAGATTGGTTGGGAAGTGGGGAGATAGGATGATCAAAACTGTTTCCCATCGACAGTGAGAGAATATATGTACATGGTCAACTTCAGGAGACTCCGAATAAAATGTGATATTGTCTGGAACTTGCAGACTTCATCGAATTCAGAAGCGAAAGACACCAATGAAAAAGCGCTCGCCAAGATCATTCCGTTTTGAGCTATCTCTCACTGGGAAATTCGTTTAATCATGCAAGATCACATTGTTACTGACAAGGTGAAAATTCTGAGGAAATTTTGAGAAATTCTCATTGGTTTCTGTACACTTCTACCCGAGTTCGTATGTAAACTCCTGAGCTCAGCTGAGGGAAGCGGATATATATATTCCAACACGATGCGCATACTATCACTACTGAGGCCAACACAAGGAGTCTATAGACTACATCTATGAAACACTACTCATCGTCAACACAACTGTCGAGGCCTCGTTGCAAAGCGTCACGGTCTAGAGGGCCGGTGCCAACAAAGAGGATCTGATGACAGTAATGTTATTAATACTAATAGGAATAGATCACCTTAGAAGCGGTGTCGGGGTCTACTGGTATGGACACTTCGACAACCTCAAAGATCTCCCCGACGCCTTGCAAGGCACACCAGCCAGCGTCAGACGTCTTTACCAAACCCTTCAAACGGTATACCTGAAGTTGACGACGCTTCTAGGCAATACACACGTGTTGGTCATAATATGTGAATTTCGAGGAAATCTCGAGAAATTCTTGTTGGTTTCTATACACACGTCTACCAAACTTCATATGTGAATTTCTTTAGGGAGCTCAGCTGAGAAAAGCGAACATATATTCCAACTATGGAGCTAGTCTGCTATCAAATGCAACCGAGCATTCCGTTAATGTTGTTGTTGAAGTTTTCCCCTCCATCACCTCGTTGCCTTCTTCCCTCCCCCACAGAACAGTCCCGAGCCACCGCTCCAATGAGGCTTTCTCCGGCTCGTTATTGCAATACAGAACTACGTGATCGACGTGGACGTGCGTATCGGCCGGGGGAAGGTCCGCGGCATTCAACTCGAATGACCGCGCTGTCGTGTTGCCGCTATACGCTTGCCTGTCCAAGACCATCGTGGTGATCCTTTCTAGATCACCATGGCGGCTGTACTCGGTCAACTCGATAGCCGCGTCGGGGTTTGTCGCTGATACCACTCCTTTCGCAACTCCTATCTCCTCTTCATCACAAATATCACACTTATTCAACAAAACCAAGTCCGCACAACAAATCTGTCGTATTGCCTCCCTAGAAGAGCCGCCCTCAGCCAAGGTCCGCCCCTCCCCATGCAACACACTGACGATGTTTTTCGAGTCGACAACGGTGACGGTGGAGTCTAAACGCAACGGAGTTTCTAACTCTGAATCCAGCCACAGTATTTCTATCATTTTCACCGGGTCGGCCACACCGGATGTCTCAATGACAATTTGGTCGAAGTTTCTCTTTTTTAGCATCGCTTCCAGACCTGTCACTAAATCGTCCCGAATAGTGCAGCAAAGGCAACCACCAGGGAGTTCTAAAAGGACGTCCCCGATGACGTTGCCCTCGCTATCAGTCAATACAGGGGATTCGATTCCCATGGACTCATAGCCCATCTCGTTCTGCACTACTGCTATCTTCCTACCACTCTTGAGTAAGTTCTGGATAAGCGTCGTCTTGCCCGAGCCCAGGAAACCCGAAATGACAGTAACAGGAACAGTGGGGACGGACAAGTCGGCGGAAGCGGCGGGCATTCGAAATGAAGACTTTGCTCAACTACACGACTTATATATTCTAGTCTATCGGTATAGTCTCAATCGGGATCGAGTTCGAAGTCACTTTCCTAAACAGAGATCGAGTTTTCGAAATTATGGTGAGTACGAAATTGCGCTAAGCCGCTCCACGGTCGCAAAATAGCGAGTAAATCACCATCACGCTGTAGCCCCTATAATGTTGGTGGTATGGAGTGCTCATCCATATAGTCCTTCCGAATAGGCGACGCTTTAATACACGAATACTTTCGACGCACCATGGGATCAATCGATCCAATGTTTTCTCGAGTCACTACGTTGTTTCAGGACGCGTGTACCAAATCGATTATAATGGCGCGCGCTTTTGTTTCGTCTCGTCGTATTACGTCTCTCCAACTGCGACCCAATTCCATTGCTCCTTGGACGACCATGACCATTGACGTTGAGAAGAAGCTGACTATGTCGCTGGACGACATCGTGGCTGCTGAAAAGTAGAGGGCGGGGTCTCCTTCAGGCTCGCTTGAGGTCGCCGCAATTTTAAACTCCTTGGAGGGAATGAACGCTCTTCGTACGACTACTCATTCCCGCTTGTGAATTTATAAAATCTGAGGATCCACCGGAATCACCGAGGGAGTGTTATATAGGAGCTCACTCAACGTTGAGAACCTCGTAGTAGTTGAAGGGGCTCCTTGAGAGTTGTGGAGTCTTGTACATGCGTGCTAAATGGTGCCGTATGGCGATCTTCTATCGCAACGACTGTTCATTATTGTGAGCTTTTGGCTGGTTGTATTGCTGGTGTGGTCGTAGGTTGTAGGGGGTGGCTTGATGGAATCTATTCGAGTATCAGAGCTATCGAATCTTTGTGTGCATGCGTGCCAATTCCATCTCAGGCCCAAGCGTTCCGCTCGGACTCCTACTACTACTGGTGGTGCTCCTGCTGGTGCTGGCAAGAAGACTTCTGGACCTATTCGCAAAGGACGTGGTGCTACTATGAAGGTCGCCGCTCAGCCCTACAACAGGTCTTCGGGTAACTACAATCGTGGTCAATGGCAAGGACAACAACAACAGTCTTCGTATGGAAGTGGTGGGAAGAGTACCTGGCAGCAACAGCAGAGTGGTGGTGGCGGTTCGGGGTATCGCAATAGTCAGGGCAGCTATTATGGGAGTACCTCGAACAACAACAACAAGAGTTGGGGTGGCTCTTGGGGCGGTAACTGGAGTGATAACAGAGGGGGCAACAATCAGTCTTGGAATCAACATGATAATCGTGGTAACGACTACAATGACAACAACAACAAGAACACCAACAACAAGAACGGCTCTTACTATGCTAGAAATGATACTGGTTATAGACAGCAGCAACAGCAGCAGCAGAACAACAATAACGCCGTAACTCCTCAGCAACAGTCCAGAGGTGGCGGAGTCGGTGGCAGAAGAAGAGTGGTGGTGACCAACATCCCTTACGACCTCACTTGGCGCGAGATCAAGCAAGCCTTTTCGAGTGTGGGGACCGTCGTCCATTGTGAAGTTGACTCATCTGGACCAAAGGGCGCTAGCGCCAATCTAACTTTCTCTGGTACCAAGGTGGTGGAGAAGGATGGAGCTCTTGTCGGTTTTTCTTCACGGCTATTCGCTGCGACTTGTACTTGTGGACTTGCTGCTTATCATCGTCATCGTCGTTGTTGTCATTGGATAAAAGCATTGTGTGGATAAGGCAATCGGCCAATTATGGTTATGTATTAGACAAGCGCCCCTCCCCTCACTAGGCCCCTGAGAGGATTGCCAACGACATTTAGTCGATGCTATTATTATGACGGCAGCATAGAATTAAGAACGAAGTGGCTGTTAAATTATCGAGGCGTGTCATTAGTCTTCACATCTTGAAGAATGCTTACGGCTTTTGCCAATCAAATTTTTAAATAATATCATCATCTGATTCCTGGTGCGACCATGGAAGAGATCCCTATTGGGCACGGCCAGGACATACGTGGGAATTGAACCCACTATCTTATGGTCTTCCTCCACTTTAACTTGCTATTAACGCGTATATGAACTGCGAGTTATGATGATATTAGTTTTGGTGCTTTTTGCAGACCCCAGTGGTGCCAGGCAGGCAGTTGAGCTCTACGACGGTGGCGATATGAATGGCCGAAGGATTCACGTCAACTACGCCTAAGTGATCAGTGAAGGTACGTCCATTGACGAGCATCTTCCTCCTCATCGAGACTCTTCGGCTCAGGTTTCGAGTAATGGCGGCGGCGATGATATTATTGAAGGTCCCTTAAGTGTATTTTGGAAGAGGAGCGACGACGTTATAGGCTGATTATCACTACTAGTTCGACCGCTATTGTGCGGTCTCATCTGCATTATCTACCTACTATTACCATTACTGCTATAGTGTTTCGTTGTCAACGATATGGGGTACGGGTGGATAGATGTTCATCGCAACTGTGCTTTAGTTGGGCTTTCAGTGGTCAGCTCTGCCACTACAGTTCTGGTACACTTCGAAACATAGCGTTATATGGCATCATTATCGACACAGAGTAAGAATAAGAGTACCATAGAGATTCTATCCTCCTCTCTTCCTCCTTGTATCAGGCTCATCGCCTCATTACACAGGATATTATACACCATCATCACCAAGCCACCACTATAGAGGATCGTCATCACGAGGCAACAACAGCAGCAATAACAACAACAACAGTAGAGGTGAGATCGTAGTCGTGGCTCGGGGATATGAGGGCCATTTTCTAATTCGCAAGTTTTCTATGGTCATCCATTTCCAGCATAGTGGGAATATAGGTAGAGATCATGTTGGGGCGGGTATGCCACATGTTGGGGCGGGTATGCCACGTGTTGGGGCGGGTATGCCACATGTTGGGGCGGGTATGCCACGTGTTGGGGCGGGTATGCCACATGTTGGGGCGGGTATGCCACATGTTGGGGCGGGAATGCCACGCTTTGTTAGCTTCCTGGCATGTTTAGCGGATAACCTCGATACGATCACTTATTGGTGGTCATTATATCCCAGCTTCTGCCCTTGTCCGAGTCGGCCTCCTCCTCCTTTTCACTTTACTACACCCCCATAGTTTATACATATTTATTATAGGCAGGGACATGAAATGCATAGTACTCGATGCTCTATGGTGACTTGTTCCTTGGCAGGCTCGCATGAACGTACAGCATTGATGAAATATGGCGTTCCTCCGGCTGGCAGTGACGACCTCGCTAGGTTCTGTGACAAGCTAGTACATGATCTATATAAACAGCGAATATTCCCTGATGTAGTTCGACTGAAGACAGTCCCAATCAGTCACTCCTTACATTTTTCTCAGTTGCATAATATCAAGCATCGGGTGGCGGAAATAGTTCTGAGCAACGCGGGCTCTCATCATCTCACTGGCTTCAGTAGTAACAGGAAGAATACATGGGTCAGCTCCCCTTCCTTGGAGAAGAGCTTGACCAGGATGATACAGTATTATGCGGCACCTTCCCAAGCGGCGAAGTAAGCTGAACGTCGTGGGATCGGCGTTCCTATACCCTCCGGCCTTGAACCCTTCTAGTTACGATATCTCCTGATTGTTGCATGGTGTACATGTTCTAGATATGCAGTCATTGCTGATCCGCAAGTCACACATACCTATCGAGAAGCCAACCCTTTCCCACTTATAGTAGATCATGCTCCACCAGATGCCGTGGCATTGGAGGTTGGCAATCCTCTATCCATCTTGAGCTATAGAGTCTCCTCCTTCAGGTTGTCTTTGCTCGAATAACGAAGAGCGGCCAAAACTGTTGCGTTCTCTTCCGCGAGACGCCTGTTGTCTCTCCAGCGTTTGATGGTAGGAGGAAGGGGCCTCACGTTTTCCCTAACCCCTCCTTGTTCTCAGGAAGCTTCTATTTCGTAAGCCCACACGCTGGTGATATCTATGATAAAGCCATGTGGGATGCGTTTAGACTATATCTCGATGAAGCCTTGCAGAACGGCCGCAGAGATCTGTAGGATGCCATTATGACTGAGCCGTATGCCTCTACGGTGTGTTTTAGGTATATATTCCCTAAGGGGAGATATTCTTGCGCCCATGCGTTGGAGGCTCGGAAGCTTCCGTTCTTCAACGGCTTGACCATGGGCCATCTCATCAACGTTGTACAGCTCGCAATGAGCAAGTAGTGCACTCTGCAATGTTATGATGGCCTTATCACCCCTACTACAGATACAACTTACTCATGTTCGATGAGGATAAGTCTATACGGCCACCCCAGGCAGCACAGAAGGTCATACGTAGTCAACAACGGAAACCGTCCGAAGACTCCAAACTGTAGTAGTATTGTCTTTTGGATGAATCAACTTGCCGCTTCTGCATGGTTTTTATTACGTGATCAAGTAGTGCATCGGGCTCGTATCGCCTTACCATGCGGAGTCCATTAGTTGTGTATACGCCTTCCTAGTGAGGATTTCGATGCTCCAGAAATTAGGATAGTGATCTTACTGGGGTTTGATGAAGTTAATGCAAGTATAGTATATATTAGTACTACGTATATGGGAGATAAATTTTATGAGTCAACAATAGTACTAACATTGCTGGTGTGATGGTGATCGTCTCATCGCAAGGTCATCTAAGGGTGTTGACTTCCATGACTACAGCATCAGTGCTTTGGCAGATATCAACGAGATGGAGGTCCCTTTATAGGGAACCTTGAAGAACTGAAGTTCTGTCTGAAGGTCATCTTTCAGATTGAGAACTCGGGATCGATCAGCATGTGTAGGGAGAAATGTACTCGCCGGGGGTCGAACTTGCGGTCTTTGCCAGGCCGAATAAAAAACATGATCTCGCAGTATTGTCATCGGCAGCTCTCGGAAACTAAATTTGGGGAGAGCAGATTGTCTGACCTTATGGCTCGACCGGAGCTGCAAGATACAGTTGAGGTACCGTAATGGTCGAAGCAGTGGAATGCAAAGAGAGCCTCTCATGATGAACAATGCCTTGATGTATATTATGACTATACGATAGCAATATATTATGGTTCAATCGCTATTGGGGTCAATGACCACTATAGCGATACCACAATATGACCACTGGTCATACTCATTCTATGAATACACAGATCTCTTCTTCAGTAGAGTATTACTACGGCATAATCCCATATTTTATCCCTCATATTACGAATGTAATCGATAGCTTATCGAAATATACTTTATTTCTATTAATACCTACTACATGTCATACACTATATAGAACAGTACACTATATACGATGCATAGCAAATGTTGTTATAGCTCCGGTTTGTCAGTTGGTTCGGACCTGTGGTTCGACACCATGGCTGAATGCGAAGGGCGCAGAAGAGACTAGTCCACAGCTGCTCATCAAACCATCGAGGGCTTTGGTTATCCCGGCTGAGCCTCTTACAAATGAGGTTAGTTGGTGTAGTAGTGGGAAGAAATGCTCCCTTGTTTAGGTGGTATCAGCATGGTCACGGTCGCGTCGGTTACCCTCACCGGAGCCGTACCAACATCGACCGAAATCACCGAGTGGGTTACAAATCCTGCCGCCCTTGGATGATGCTTTTGACTATCGAGTGAGGATGATAGTAGTGGGTTGTTGATAAATGAATATGGTCCCATCTCAGTCCTCGCCAGCTCATGCTAGCAGCAACAACAGTATGATTTCGGTCATGACTCCTGCTGCCGTTGATAACGGCTTGGAGTACTCCTCTGGAGTGGTAGAGGGTGGCCAGTCGAAGGTAGCCAGTCCTTGGTTTCACCAAGGGCAGTCCACGAGTTATGACCACGAGCCGAACGAAGCAGTAGATGATGAAAGCATTGAGAATAGCGAAATGGCTGCTTTAAATGATGTGGGGATATCTGCCGACTTGCGTCTCTCACACGGTCGGGCGTAGGTACTCTCACAGTTGGTTCAGCTGGTGACAGAGGAACTGGAGAATAGTCCAACCAACAGAGAGAAGAGCAGCGGCTCGTCGTTATCGGAGTCGTTGCTGATTCCCGAAGCCCCAGCGGCTCCAGCATCGCTGGAAAATGCTCAACAACTGTGCGCGGTTGGAGGGCCTGTTCCTGAGAACTCAGATGAGCTCTTGTTGTCACCGACTAAGATGTCTTTACTGCGAGAGCTATTGGAACTGCATGACGGGACGGGGGATGATGATGCTGGTGGCCTGTTCGTGCAGCAGCAGTGTGGTCCTCACCAAGCGCCTTATAGCACTAGGTTTAATATGGAGTAGTTGTTGTTAGTCATCGGGTGAACGATAGTTCATCAAGATTTGTTGTTGGGTGGTAATAGTAAATCTATTACTCACCCTCCCACCACCGAGTTTGGTACGGTTGTGGTAAGCGAATATGAATAGTTCGACTCGTTAGGGTCGTAGTTTGCTTCGTTGGCAGCTGCGCCCTGATGATGATGTTTATACGTTCATTCTTTGAAAATCATTGTTCTCATCTTTTCATATTATGATGGGATTTACTGCTGTTATAGCAGCAGCTATCGAGTTTGTCGTCGGGGAAGTCTTGATCGAGATTAGCGCGGTTGGCGGTGGTGGCCGTAGCTTACCTTTGTCGTGCCTGAATGCTGTGTTATCTATCACTCCGCGTTGTTGTTTGAGTTGTAGTAGTTATCACACAATAACTGTCTCCCATCTGGTGGTCTTATCTAGCGGTGATAACGTGTGTGCTAGGAAGTTTAGGGTGCGTGGGAGAATCGAGTGATATTACGGTTAGGAAGCAGCGAGATGGTCTGTAGTTGTTGTTAGTGTTGGAGAGAGCTTTTAATCATTCATTTTTATAAATGGTAACTCCGTCCGAAAACAAGGCGATGGTGCTTCGCAGAGTGGATGATATGTCCTTTGAAGCGAGGCCGATCACGTCGGCTCTCCCAGCGGGTGAATGTCTTATTCGTGTGAAAGCGTGTGGGATTTGCGGCTCCGATGTTCACTATCTCAAGAACGGCCGAATTGGCGATTTCGTGAGCTGCAAGATTTGCTATATGAATCAGCTCTGTTTGTTACTAGGTTGTGAAGTCGCCTATGGTGATTGGACATGAAGCGGCGGGGGTAGTCGAGGCTGTAGGTGAAGGTGTGAACAACGTTAAGGTGCGTTGTGGTAGAGGAGACCACTGGCATGCGTCTGTTGATGGAGTAGCTTGACACCTAAAATGTCAACTATGTGTGTTGGTGACAATATTACATTTCTGAAGAAATTTTGGAAAAGTCGCATTAGCTGTACACTCCTAACTGAGTCAATGTGTGAGCTTCCTTAAATGGATTCTTAAGCTCAGCTGAGGGAAGCGAACATATATTTTAACACTGGTTTCGTAACTGAACAGTATTATGCTCCTCAGATTGGTGACAAAGTGGCGATGGAGCCAGGCGTGCCATGTGGGAGCTGTAGTCTATGCAGTAGTGGGAAGTACAATCTCTGTCCTCATGTTAAGTAGGGGTACTGTTGATGTCACTCTGTTGATGTTGATGATGATGAAGTCAGGTTCTTCGCTACGCCACCAGTTGACGGCTGTCTTAGTAATTTCGTCGTCCATCCAGCTAGGTTCTGTTTCAAGTTGCCTGAGGGCATGTCTCTCGAGGAGGTAGGTGTAGTAGTGAGGGGAGTAGGAATATATGTTCGCTCTCCTGAGCTGAGCTCGGGAGTTTCTTCGCTAAGTATAGAAGTTTGCATACGAATTCGAATAGAAGCGTACATGAATGGCTGAGAATTTTCCGAAATTTCCTCCCAAAATTTTCATTTTCATTCACCAACACATGTAGTTGAGCATGTGCATATTTCCCCCCACACTGGTAGGGAGCGATGTGTGAGCCGTTATCAGTGGCAGTGTATGCTTGTGAGAGCAAGGCTGAGGTCAAGGACGGGTATAAGGTGGTGGTCTTTGGTGCTGGCCCTGTTGGTAATAGGAAGCCTCGTTATGTTGATATTTTGGCATCATGTATTGTTCTCCTCTGCGTCATCTCCTGGTGGGAGGAGAACTGTCGTTGATCAGTTCAAACGTATTTGAAAGGTGTCATCGGATTTAAAACGATTTTTTCAAATCGAATTCATTTTGCCACCGAATTCAAAAAATACGTTCAAATGCGATTTTGTAGCATCGATTTCATAAGGTACGATGACAGCAATGGTCGCCCACGGTATGGGTGCGTCCATGGTTGTGGTATGTGATGTCGATGGTGCCAGACTGCAGAAGGTGAAAGGGTTGTGTCCAGAAGTAGAAGTACTCAACACTAATCAGTTGGAAACAGCAGAGGATGCTTCTCAAGAGCTCATGTAGTCTTGGTGGCACCTGAATTCAACAGGACTCCCTGTCTCCCCTCAGAGACCTCCTCGGGTCCTCTGCCGACTGCGCCATTGATTGCAGTGGTGCTCAGATGGCCGTACAAACGGCCATAAGGGTGACCAAGTCGGGGGGTGTGGTGTGTTTGGTGGGAATGGGAAAAGGGGATATGGTGTTACCTATTCTCAATGCCTCCATCAGGGAGGTAGATATAAAGGGAGTTTTCAGGTAGGGATAGACGGCGGCTTGAGGTGGTGTGAGATGAGGTCGGTAGATACCGCAACACATACCCAACCTGTATCGAGTTGATCAGTAGCAAGAAGGTTGATGTAAAGCCTTTGATAACACACAGGTGATTAACGGTGTTGGAATATATGTTTGGCTTCCTCGCCTGAGTTCAGATATGTCCTCACCACATTATGGAAATTCTACATTAGAACTGCAACTGTAGGAAAATCAATATTGATTCCTCGAAATTCTCATATTGTTGCCACGTGCATTTTCTCCGCACTCCTGTGGGACGAGTACATTACCACTCACTGATTGGCATATCATGGCTTCACCTGAGTTACGTATACGATGGTTTGCAAGATGTTAATAGTGTTAGGGTAGAGCTCGTTATAGGTGTAAGAAGTAGAGTGGATGTATATATGTGTTGTCCACTGGTGTTGTTGAAATTAGAGAGGGTGTTCATAGCAGTAGGACTAGCATGGGTTCTTGTGTAGATATGCGTTTACCAATACTGACATTCTCCAAGCCTTCGAGGACTGTCGTAAAGGAGTCGGTCGTGATGGTCACAGTACCATCAAATGCATGATTGATATCGATTGACGATAAGGTTGATGATAATGATGATGAATATGCTAAGGAGTAGTGATGCGTGGTCGTTGCTCATTTATCGAGTTTCTACGGTTACTTATAGCTGTGGCTTGCGGAGGATCAATTAGGTCGGCGTCCCCCCCCCCTCATCGGTGTCGATGGTCATGCTGTACTACACCATTATCACCGCTACGTTGTAGTCGATCATCCCAGGTTGTTATCGCTTCCTACTACAACAGCTGTTCGGCGACTTTCCTCCTTATGGAAGACTTCATTTTTCTAGAGGACATCCTTGTGGTTGGCGACGATACCATATAAGTCTACAGTACACTTTGTTTTTGAGAGTAGCGATTGGTGTGGTATTGTTAATGAAATAATCTCCAAGCCCTCCTCAGTTGCTGTATACCGTCTATTACCCCGTACAATGTCTTCTGCTACTTCCTCTCCTCGTTATATACATCACTGCTGCCCAGAGGCCTTCACACCTCCCAGACGAGGTGTCCTCCCTACTACTACTGCGTCATGCGAGCTCTGGCCTACTGCTAACCTCTCGCGCTCATTTGATACCAATACTTGTCGGGAAGCGATGGAGCGGCTAAAAGTAGATTTTCTGGCTATGCCTGATGTCTTCATCATTCACTCCATTAGTTCCAACACCGCATCCTGACGGCGCCTGTTGATGGTGAATTAGTAGAAGTGAGGATTCTCTTTGGAGGACAGTGTTGCTACTGATATGATCAGGGTGTGGTACCGCCTCCCGACATTGGTGCCTTTACAAGGCATCGCACTAAGCTTCAGCATTTCCAACATCTCCTTAACAAATACCGAGCTCGAACGGCTGAGGACGATGCGGCAGTGGAATCTTTCAAGGGTCAATAACAACACCTTGTGCATTGAGAGTATCTTAGATGGAGGTGTGTTAGATTCGGTGAAGCAGATGTTGATGGAAGTCCAGGATAGAGTTTCCCATTCGACTGAGCAGCATCGCACACCATCACCCTCTCGCTTGCTCCTTCGCTCTAGGAGATGTACCAAAGCGTTCCTAAAGACTCTGAGGAGCTGCCAGGCCTCGCCAGGCACGTCTCGAGATATCGAACAGCCCTCAGAGGGGAGTATTTTTGAGCTGCTACCAAGCCCTGTGCCGTCAAAATCAGTGCCTCCGAAGTTGAACAGAGGGTGAGTTCTCGCCTTCTGGTTGGAGGACATTATCTGCGGCGATCAGATTCCGCCATCGGTCCCCTCCAAGGCCTCCTCCTCCTCTCCTCAAACGCTCGGGGAGCACCGGAAATTTGGGTGTTATGCCGCTAGAAATCGAAAGGCTGCATGGGATGGTAAGCAGGCCAGTTGGTACCCCACCAATGATGACCTATCATCAGCTGCGAGAGCGAGAAAAGACCATAGCGGCTCTTCAAAAGGAGAACAATCTTCTCAGGGGGAGTGGTGGGGAGAGGCATGTTGCCCTCAGTGAGTTGTATGCTTGTAGGCTGCCCTCGATGCGGAGAAACATCCCAGACTTTGAACGATTGCGTGTTGGGAATGAGAGATGTCCATTATAGAGTGCTAAAGGTGAGGCTTTGAAGAGATTCGTGTGGATATCGATGATTTTATTGTAGGCGATATCGGATTTGCCTTCGTTGTTGAAAGAAGAGGAGTTGCTGATAGCCAAATTGAATCAATACCGTCGTCATCGTGAATGAACACGATTAATTAGCCTTCCACACTCTCATGTTCTTCCTGTTGGGTTCGGTAGTTCATCTATCTCACTACTCATTCATGCGTTTAACATTAATCTCGAATATTCCTTATTGCTTGTGTAATGTGAGAGAGAATGAAGACAATATTCAAATCACCATAGATTCTAAACCGAAGAATTTTTCGTGGAATACGTCATATTACTCCTCATCTGGGGACAACGGAAATATCACGATGTCAAGACTCAATATTTGCTCTCAGTTGAGATGTATCGAAAGACAGGTGGTACCAATCCGGTAAAGCGATAGAGATACCGTTTAATTCCGATATAATTCCTTCTACCGAGCGACAAGCATTGACCCAATAAGATCCATCATTGAGTATGCTGATTCGGCTCAACTTCATTAAGTTGACTCCCCTATCTTCAACGTGGGACCCACAGGCGGGAACAACGGGCGACGATGGGGAACAGCTGATATCGCGTCGACATACGGACGTGTCTTCCTATGACTTTACCATAGGGCACGATGGGATACTGAACGCTTCAATACATTTCAGTTCATCTCAAGAATGATGAGTCTGAGTCTCCCGGGTATCGCCGGCGCAGCGCTGATCGATTTTACGCTATGCACGCATGCACATAGATTAATGGCGGAGCGGAGCAAATTGCAATGTCGCATGGGGGACACCGACGCAAAACATTGGAATTATAGAGGTTCTATGGTGTAACGGTTAGCACTCCAGACTCTGAATCTGGCGATCTGGGTTCAAATCCCGGTAGAACCTAATTTGTCATTTTCGTCATCAATCACAGCGTCGAAGCAGCCTTGTATGTCACACTCACATCCATAATCTGTTACCCATCCGTGATATGACATCATTGATGTTCATACGGGCCCTACGCCGGCCCTGGATTCCAGGGCATGAGAGGAGACTGAAGTGTCGATATGCTTTAACATATCAAACCAACAGATACAATTTCATAGACGAGTCCGGGGATGCATTATGCGTACTTGGCTGTACTCAAGTAACCACTGAAGCCGCGCCTAAACCTAGTGCATCTTAAACTAACGCACGTCCATGTCACTGGCCCTTTACTGTGATAACCTTGTCGTTGTTGGGGTCAAACAGTCTCAGACTGAACTCATTACCAGTGGGGTCTCAATAAAAGGCCAACTTGGGCAGTGGAGTAAGGAAGCCCACTTGTATTTGAACTATCGAATGGTGAAAGAAGAAGCCTCTTGGAGGCCGTAACTCGACCCGAGAGTCAGAGCCGTAAAAGGTAGAATAAAAGCGCTCGCACACTAGAGCCACAGGGCACTGTACACGAGCGACAATCCATGATTGTGCGTGACTAACGCCGAGTCGTGAGCGGAAATATTGAACTAGGTGTTGCGGAAAGTGCAATACGGGAACGATATCTTCGCACAAAACGCTCCTGCAGGACAGTCCTGAAGAGACGCCCTCCATAAGCCAGTGCTAAAGTGTAATCAGTTTACCTTATCACTGTGGCATTTGATAGTGCATACTCTCAAAATTCCGCATTGCGCCATTCCAGTAGGAGGCTTCGGGCAGTGGGAGGTATCTTGACAATCGTCACCACACACGGCTGCGTAGATCTCCCCAGGGTGAGTTTTCTAAAAAAGATACGGAAAATTGAGAATAATACAACAATGCGACGGATCTCTGAGTGCAAGAGGTCATTTAAGCTTACATCGTCCACCAAACCGTTGCTGGTGTCACAGGTGCAATTAACCACTTGATGATTAGAATCAAAGGCGCATTTACCTTTTGGCTTCTCATACTGCCCACCCTCTGAAATGGTGGCTACCACATGTGATTATCAATTACATGATTCGACCGCTGATGACAGAGTCTATACGACTGACCTGAAGTTAAGTTAATCTTGTCATTGTATTTCGCTCTCAGAAATGGTCTGAAGACCTCTGGTCTGAAAGGAATCCTATTTACTACACAATGCAAGTCATTCTTCTTCCCCACGGACCCACCTCGTGTTGTCCGTGGCATCAGCCCAGGCGGCAATAAGACAGACCAATAGGACCGGCACGTTCATGAAGGTGTGCATTGGTGTTCCAGGATGTGTAGGCGAGTCGTTGCTCGGAGGCGTGGAATGTGATGGTCATAGCTATCAGCTATAACATAGCTGAGGTTCACGCGTCCTCGTGCCCCACGCATCCGCGTGAGGCCCCTGGGGGTACACTCATTCGTGCTCTGGTCATCCTATCGCAGCGATAGTATCGCTCGTTTCGCGACACGCGGGCGAATAAGACGCCTTTACTAGAGGAGCCAGTGGATTACCTTATAACACTCATGAGCCACAATACAGGCCTAGTAACCAATTAAATCACCATTTGCTTTAATTTAGCCAATTCACTCGAGCTGAGCACGAGGCTGGAGCTACTCGATTGAGCGGGAAGTGTTATATGCTGTAATCAGGCAGTATTTGAGCATTATGTTTCTGTAGCTGAGTAACCATTGTGATCCTAACACCAAGATGTTGAGTGCCTAAGTTGACTCCCAACTGAAGCTTATCCAAGGCGCTGAGAAGCCCTTGTGTATGCGTGCAACTGTGTAAGGGTATAGCTCATGGCTTAAGGGCACCGATAACTTCAAGAGTGCAAGGATAACCATTCTCAGTTACTTACACTAGATAGATGAGTGGGAATGCTAAGGTCACAGAGTGACTCAGCTAAAGAGACATAATTCCCAGCTACTGCCTGATTACAGCATATAACACAAACCGATACCCGTAAATTCCGGTTGCAGTCCCCAAGGCCGAAGGGCACCAATAGATGCTATTCAGAGCCCGATTTTACGCGCCTTCGAGAGTACACTATGAAGGATGCCGTATAATGACCATATAGAAACCAAGAAGGGTATGAATTCGGGCCCCCGCAGCCACGACAAGTAACAGCACATTATGACGCGACTGATATCAGCTTACTCCTAGCCGAACAACCTCTCCAGCGATTGATAAGAATCTAGTTGGATGAGATCTTTCTTGTATTCTAGTCCGATAAGTTCAATCGATCGAGTTTAACCAGCCCCCAGAAAGTATCTCCCTCCAACTCGTGAACTCAACAGAACATGGATATAGTACTACAGGGTTGATGCTCACCAAAGCTCTTCATAACCACCGACTCGGTATTCACCATACTGCATTGGTAGCCGTCACCCCATAACTCCTCTAAGCGTTGACTGATAAGACAGGAAATGGTCAACCAAACATGAGACACTCTCCTACTGTAACTCGTAACGTCAATCTGTGCCGGTAGCTCTCCAATAGTTACTTCGAACCTCGCTTGCACTTGGTTTAGCATATCAGTGTCCTCCTCGGAGCTCACGAATGTGATAGCGAGACCCTTCGTCCCGAAACGACCAGCTCGGCCGACACGGTGCAAATACTGGTCCGAACTATCGGGGATATCGTAGTTGATCACCTGCTCAGCGACAGCAACTCCTGGTCGACAACCGTACCGGCATCATCATCCTACAATGTTCACTCGTTCGATATCGATACCACGACCAAAGAGATCAGTAGCAACCATAATGCGCTTCTTGAAGTCCTTGAACTGCTTGTAGCGATCGATACGCTCCGACTGCTTCAGCCTGGAGTGTATGGCGATAGCTGGGAAGTTACACTCAGTGAGAAGGTCAGCCAATGCCATCGCTCTGAGCGACCATCACAAAGTGAGCCCAGAGCGATATGCACATGGATAGCGCCGCCTCACCTTTGCACAGACTTCACGAAAATAACAACTTGATTGAACTCCAACGCGTCCAACAAGTCCGTCAATTTCTTGTTCTTCTCGTTTTCTGATAGTGACAAGCAATTCTCGAGGACGACGATAAAGACAACACATACCAGCGAGACGGACGAAATACTGTTGCAGACCGTGAAGGGTGAGCTTAGTGTCGTCATCAACGAAGATCTCATGAGGTTCATTCATAAAACGCTTGCAGACCTCGCGCATCTCTTTACTCATAGTAGCACTGAACATCATGACCTGAACAACAGTATATGATATCACAACCCCAGGTAGCCTCCTCGAGCCGCTCACCTGTTTCTTCACAGGGGTCTCCATGAAGACAGATTGGATGTCCTTCCTCATGTCCAACTTGTCGAGGCATTTATCACACTCATCGAGTACGAAGTGCTCCACATGGCTGAGGTCGAGATGCTTACCGCGGACCAGAGCCAGGACTCGACCGGGAGTGCCGATGAGGATTTGGGGATGGGACTTCGATAGCATCTCCTTATCCTCAGAAATCGGCACGCCTCCGTAAACGACACCGTTCTTCACATTAGGGAAGTACTTGGAAAATCTGAGAGGCCATACCACACCACTGTGAACGTTGCCAGGACTCCACCACGTACCGGTCGAACTCGTTCTTGATCTGATAAGCCAACTCCCTTGTATGGCACATGATGAGCACCTTCACGTCAGTGTCCTTCTCATCGATGTTCAGTTGCTGTAGAATTGCCAAGACGAAGACCGCGGTCTTACCCATACCAGACTTTGCCTGGCAGAGAATATCAGTGCCCAAGATGGCTTGGGGAATAGCCTCATGTTGAACCTACACGAAAGAGAAATGAAATAGTCAAATTGAACAACGAGCCTCACTTCAGAAGGGTGTTCGAAACCGCAATCAACAATGGCACGCAACAACTCGGGTTTGAGGAGGAAATCCCTAAAACCTAAGGAGACCCAAGCATCATACCGGAAACACCACCACTAAGCCTCGACCACCAACCTGTTGCGTGGATTCCCACGTAGTTTCCCTTCTTCTGGCCATCAGCAGCAATCTCGCCACCAACAGCCTTACCATTCACGGCGGACGTGTCCTCAACCTGAAAAGAACCTCACGACAAGACAGCGATTGACCAGGCGGTCACCTCTTCATCGCCTTCGTCGTAGTCCAAGAGTTGATCTTCCTCAAGGGCACTCATAGTGAGGTAATTGACGAAAGCGAACGAGCAACAACTTCACTGTTATCGGGCAGGTTATATCACAACGGTAATCTTCGACCCCAACATAAAAGTCATTCTCGTTCCCACCATCATATTCATCTCCAACAGAGTGGACCCAACCAGGGAAGTGATATCGCGTCACGGTAGCCTCAACGTTCTATCAACACTAGACTAATCGCTTCGCCTCCTTCACCGTCAACGTCGCCCTCTAGAATCTATCTAATCCATAATAGCGTGCTGTCTTCCATCGCAGCTTCGTCCTCATTGCGAATCTTTGATATTTTCAACATGCAAGGAATGAACGCAAGCGATCGAAACACAGCGATAATTCCAGGGCGCGCGCTACATTCTCGGGCGAGCGAGATTCCAACTGCGCGAGTTCGCACTTTGAACGCTGAGCCTCGATAACAATCAGAAACATCACCAAAACTTGAGAGAATTCCACCATGCAGAGTTTTGATCTCCTTTTTGAAGAGGTTGCTGTAACCTGAGACATCGTGAAAGATACACTCACAAAAAAATACAAAACAGATCTACCGAACGACCTCGGCGTTAGCTGACTCCAAGGCTTTTTCTGTGGCCGCTAAATCGGCAAGGGTTTCGGTATAGGCTCGATCAAGCGAAGCGATGCTGATCGGTAATGATATTGCATTAACACAGTGAATGTGGTTACCGATTCTCAAACTCTAGTTGTCTCTCGCACATCTTCAATCTGTCCTTGTGATGGTAATGGTTTACAGCGTATACACCTGCACTGTTATCAAGGCAGTAAAGAGCGTATAAAACATCACTTCCAGCTCCCACTGTTAGTGCAACACAAGTGGCGACCATGACGATCGGCAACGCTCTATTGCCCTGCTCTTCGACGAGCCTAAGCAGCCGTACCCCTCACAGAAACTAATAAAAGGCACCTACCTGTTGGACCAGTCAGTTTCCATCTGTTGGTAATCACGTTTGAGATCGTCCAGTTCTTGCTCTAGATCTTGCGACCGGAGACGCCAGGCAACCAATTCTTCCGATTCTGGATCCGGAAGCTCATCGATTCCTCCAGAAGATTTCTTGGTCCCCTTACCTGACCAATTTCGGACCTAATTTGTATCTAGCCAACAGCAACCTTGGATACCAGATCTAGTCAAGTTCTCAATCTCCGCCTTCGCTCAGCAAACTCTGCTGTAACTTCTCGTGCTCCTCTCGGGCACTGACTGAACAACAAAACAACTACCATTAACACAATCACTATTATTGTCCTCACCAACAGCTTTCTCAGCCTCCTGTAACCGAGACTTCAACATAGCCGACTCCTCAGTGGCACTCCTGACGAGATCTCACTCACCCCCCGAGGCCCAACGCCTACCGCAACGCTGTTCTCAAGAAGTCTATCTCTGTCACCAGGACCTTAATACGTGACTCAGTAGCCTGACAGGAGACTCATTTCCAACACCGATGCAGGCGACCAGAACTTCTCTTTTTAAAGCGGCACTGCTCGTAGGGACCTGGCCCAGTGGTGAATTCACTCCATCATTCGGTGATGAAGTCTTCGTAGGGTAACGACTTTTCTCCGTATTCAGGTAACTGCATCGTAAGTGCAATGCGCGATATAACTCAGTGAGAGCCGCACTCAGCCATTGATGGTATTTGTCCGGTCGTTTTTGCAAAGGGGCGTATTGAGACCTTCCGAAACCTCAACCTCGACGCACGAGAACTCGCGAGCAACATTAAGACGAAGCTCAGGAAAAAAAGATATTATCTTCTCGAACTGCGCACAGCGAAGATTTTCGCCAAAAAAATACTGATTCAACTCAACACCGCCGATCCGTCACCGAAAAGTAACCAGTCGAATGCCCACCATTTCGTGATGACCAAAATCAACACCAAGTGCGTCGCTCCGCTGTGACCAGTAGTCACTATTATCATACGAGAGGTAATGATGGTGACTATTATTACTACATAGTCTTTAGTGACATTACAGGATGTACAGCCCTACTTGTCGAGACCTATACGATCGTGTAACCTCAGTTATAGAAAAGCAATGATTATCATAACAGTAGAGATAACACCGAGACCGGAGGTAATCATCTAACTGTTGCTCGTTACTATGAAAAGAAAGGGACGAGGTAAATGGGCACGACGACCAGCTGATCGAATACTTCTGAGCCTGTCAATGACGTCACAGGGAACAGTCATCGACTTTTTGTAGTACGGAAAACAGGCGATCTGCTGTACTGGAGCGGCAACCCTCAGGGTAGTAGTAGCAGGACGCAAGCAGAAAATTAAAGACAATCAAAAATATACAATCAACAGCTACCAAAATAGGTAGATTAGTTTCAACTACAAGACTTACAGGAGCACCATAATCACCATCATCATCAGCATTTACTCCGCGAGAATCAAGTTATCAAACCTATGATAGCGAAGCTGCTGCAGCAATGAAGACAGGAAAAGGGGGTGCGGCTGAGCCATGATGACGCCACCAGAGACATTCTCAACTATCATGTTTAGATCACAATTATGGCGAGGAGGATGAGGAGCAGCAGCAGAGACAACTACAGGTGCCGTTCACATCGTCATCATTCAACGGAGTCGTCAATATAGAATCTTCGGAAGCCCATACCAAAGTAATGAAAAGGGAATGGGCATTTACAGTCGGACGAAAGTGTAGTATTAATAGTAGTACAATAATAATAATAACAGCACAGCACAGGACGAGGAGGAGGAAGAGGACAGTTGTCTACAGCAAGAAGAAGAGGAACCTCAGACCCCACTTAGGGGGGACCAACCGTTGCTATTGGGCTCCGATAAACGAAACAAGAACTCTCCTCAACTGAAAAAAGGACGGCATAACACCTCTACCGAGGATCGAACCGACAACCTACCAATGATAAACTTTAAACCAATCCCATACCCACGCGACCATAACCGCTCTGACGATCACCTCCGATACTTCCAACAGTACTAGTCGAGGCGTTTGAGTACGTTCCTGAAAACCAATCTATACGATCATCTCGTGAAGCCTCCCAGATCCTCCCCTTCTACCCTGACGGTATGCACTCCGTCACCACTACAGCATTTCCCGGTCAAATTGATGCGATCATTGCGCGCGTTCTCGGTAACATCAAACCATTATGTTTAGTAATAAACCGGGGATAATATTAACCTCCTTGGTATTCCGTTAAAACCATGGTTCAATTTTTTTTAATTTTATTTTCATTTTTTCATTTTTTCATTTTTTTCATTTTTTTCATTTTTTTTTCAATTTTTTCATTTTTCTTTCAAAAAGCCTTTACCTTAAAAGGTAGAAAATTACCCAAATGGATAAAAAAGTTCATACACGTGAATAACCCGAATATGAAACCACACACTGACCGATATTACCTTGTAACCACTCCGACGACGTCGCCTTGTCTTGATGCTCATCAGGGAGAAATACCGTAGACAGAGGATGGGTATTCGGGTGACTCCAGTAGGCCGCTGTCGGATTGTACCCATAATACTGCGTTCCCTCGTAATGATGATGATATTGTTGTTGTTGCTGCATATCACAACTACTCCCAATGACCCCAGCGGACTTCTCAGGAATGGTTAAGACCGGCAACACTGTGGGGGCATCAATAGGTTTACACAAGACCTGTTCGCCGTCCTTCCTCTTACACAACACATGCGCACCACGTCGTCGTGCCTGACCACAAGACGCATACAACCCGATTTCTCTCCATTTCATTATTACTTTTTTAGCTAAACTAAGCATGGCATCGATGAGGTCCTTGCTCATGCCCTCCCGGTCCCCTGTGAGTACCACCGCAGTCGGACCAGAACGCTCCTGACGAGCAATGGAGTTTCACACGTTTTACGTGAAGTGGCGTAAGACTCCGTGTAAAACGCGATATGCAGTAGTCGTGAAATATGTTTCTCATATCATGGCCGCCCGTGAAACTCCAATGTACTACTACTCTTACCGTTAGGGGCGGACTCAGCTTGAGGACGGCATTAGTCTGCCTTCCCCCAGCAGTACGTGACGCTGTCCGTATGAGAGTATGCCTCCCACTCTTCTTCCTCCGTCGAGCATCGTCCAACAAGGCATGGGTCAACCGAGGTGACGGTGGAGTGGTAAACACATCTGAAGGCAATTTCATGTCGCGTGACGGGAAACCCCCCCGAGGCTTACGTTGTGGATCCGTGATTGCCTTAACCTTCCGTGACTGTAGAGGCCCTCCCACCTCTGTGGGCCACTGAGAATACTGTGAGCCATTAGGCTGGAATGAGGCCATCCCAACGGCGGGTGGGGGCACCTCTGGTGGTGATGGATGCCTCAATAAACCATACCCAGCCTCCCCACTAAAAGGCGCCCTTGACCGCACCTATGAGTCCAATATAAGCTCTCCATAGTCCAATATAAACCAACCTGAGGGGGTTCCCTTCCCTGAAGCATTGGAGGCGGCGGAGGCGGTGGGGGGACGATCCTATCAGAAGCGTAGTGGGGCCTATAATGCTGCGAACGGCCGGCATCTCGATTTGAAGTCTGGTAGTGACTAGATCGACCGTTGGGAGGGTAAGCCGGGGGCATATAGTCGCATTGGGAGGGTCTTGACTGGGAGTAGGTTTGGTGCCTAAGAAAGGGGAAGGAATTATAGCCAAGACCGGATGCGCCTTGTGGTACTCAGAAGAGGGTCCTCGTCTCGATGATGATGATGAATTGAAGATTACTCCGGGTGGTGCCCAATTGGCGTCTGTATAGGTCATGTAGAGAAACCACTTACAGTCAACCAGTGTTGGAATTTATGCTCGTTTTCTTGACCACAGCTCGGGCCATCGAAATTAGCATACGAATTTGGGTAGTAGAAGTGCACAGCAAGCGATTAGTAATTCGAAAAAATTTCCCCACGGTTTTCAAACTATCACCAACACATGTAATTGAACCCGTGCACATTCCCCTCCCCCCCACATTGCATGCAACAGGGTCGACCTCAACACTCCCCTTCAGCAGAGTAATGAAGTACGACGGACGCGTATTTCCGGTTTTCAATACGGCCAATTTTGTGATGGGATTTGAGCCACTCCTACGTTTAAAAGAAGTTTCCCGTAGGGATTCTGGAGAAAGCTCCCAGGCCTTAACGATCAACGAGATCATGCCAGCGTCAGGATCCCACTACGAACAGGTCACGACGATTATACAATGGGGAATTTCTCAACGGTCGGGTGAAAATATCCGTAATTGTGTCGAATTCACTCACTATACATCGTCGTCGAATCCATCATGTTGCTGTCCCCAGCCAAGAATAATTGTAGATTTGCCTGTACTTACTCTCGACGTGACCGCCCATATACAATCTAAGACATTTTGGTGCTCCCAATGATTCAGCTGTTGCCGCTATAGGACTGAACTATTGTCATTTTGAGAGCCGTTTAGTAGCTTCTTGAGTTGAACTGAATATAAACGTGTGGTGGAGTTGATTCCTATGTTACAGAGTGCCGTCTTAAAAATGCCCCCGCCCCCATAACTTCCCATAGCTAATGAAATGTGAACCCTGCCATATACCATTAGAAAGTCATTTCCGAGCTTGACGAGAGATGTTCAGCTCGGTTTGATTTCTTGAAATTCACAAGAAATCTGTGCCAGAGTTGTATATCCATGCTTTAGTTGATCAACCGACATCGTCTTCTCATCGTGTCTCTCATCAATGGAAGTGAACCGAATGGGGGGGGAGCGAGAATCATGAATTTCGTGACACCAAGTTATGGGGGCAGCGCCATTTCCAAGTCGACACCCTGTAGTTGTAATTTCCTTTTTCCTTTTGAACCACTCTAGTGGCAGTAGGTCGACCTCATGTCTGCCAGTCGAAAATTGCAGGCGACCATTGACGTTACTTTGAAGAAAGTCGATGAAGGAATTGATGAATTCCAACAAGTATGGCGAAAAGTGGAAGAGAGCCAAAATCAAAACCAACGGGTGAGTTGGAACGAAAAGTAAAGGTAGGCGGAATTTTTTACGCGATTTTTTCAGGAGAAAAACCAAATGGATTTGAAAAAGGAGATCAAAAAGCTTCAACGGTTTAGAGAGGATATTATGAAGTGGATCAATGGAACGGTACTGTTATTAGTTTACCATTTTTCCATCAAAAAGTCGGTTCTAATGCTCAGGAAGTGAAGGACAAGGGGAAGCTCACTGACGCTCGACGCAAGATTGAGGTTGGCTCACCTACACATGAGGATTCCCCCGATAGATTTTGCAGGTCGAAATGGAGCGGTTCAAAGAGTTTGAGAGAGAAAGCAAAACTAAACCATTTAGTTTCATCGGCCTACAAGCTCAGGTGAGGAGGGGGGACTTCCTGGGAGTAATGGATGAGTCGATGGGTTCAGGATAAAGTCGACCCTGCCGAGCAGAAGAGGATGGAAACTCGCAGTCAATTGGAGTCTTATGTGGATCAGCTGAAGCAACAGGTAGGGGTGACACAGTGGTGTATATGTGGTGGAGGTGTCACACCAGAATGACGAGTATACAGCGGAAATGGAGAAAATCATGGGTGAGGGCGGCCGGGAGAAGGCGGGTAGGTGTATGAGAGGACGACTCCCATGGGTAGAATTGGTACTGTTAGGGAAGAAAAGGAAGTCGAAGGGCTCCAAGTTGAGCTCCGCTGAGTCCACAAGGGTCGCCGAATTAAGTAGTAGTGGTCGGGTTGAAGGACGGCCGATGGAATTAGTCTTGTTGGTAGAGCTGTGGATCGCGAGGCATCAGTGGCATCAGGCCAAGTTGGAACAGTTGATACGCAAATTGGATAATGAGGAGGAGGTTGACTACGACGAGTTGGAGATAACTGAACAGGCGCTAGAGTACGCGTGTGGGAAAATATGAATTTTTTTAAAGAAATTTTGGGAAATTCTCGCGAGTTTTTGTTGGTGAATTTGTATGTAATCTTCCAAAATTTGTGAGGAAAGCGAATATAGCTGCTAAATTTGGCTTTATCAGTTACTATCTTGAGGAGCATGAGAATCCTGATTACTATCACGACGAGGAGTTGTATACCAACCACAACTTGGATGACAATCGTATTAATGCTTATACTAAGCCTATTGATGTTGATGGTACTGATAATGGTGATGGGGAACCTACCGACACGCAGGAGTCACAGGAGAGTTCTGATGAGGATAAACAGCCGAAGAAACCTGTCAAGGAGGTAGTAGTAGTAGTAGTAGTAGTAGTAGTAGTAGTAGTAGTAGTAGTAGTAGTAGTAGTAGTAGTAGTAGTAGTAGTAGTAGTAGTAGTAGTAGTAGTAGTGGTGGCAGTGGTAGTAAACGAAGAGTGGCGAGCTTAGAGTCGTCGAGATTAGGTACCATTATCAGCTGGTGCTAAGGCAATGCAGAAAGCTCTAGCAGCCAAGGCAGCCGGGTATCAACCACCTTGTAAAGTGAGTTGCCCTGTCTTGAATCTTCCGGACCCCTCTGGGTTTCAGACCCCGCCTCGACCAACTCTACCAGTGCTCCCCTCGATATCCCCTCCGGCCCCACCGAGCCCACCGGCTGTTCCTCAGTACCCTCCACCACCACTGCTGGATGATGGTGAGAAGCTTCGGTGGGGTTTTGGCCGATTATGTGCCCGTTGTTAGCCTCGCAGATAGATAAGAAGGAAGTTGAGAGTGTCAAGGTTAGTGAGAAGGTAGCGACACCGACCAATGTAGGGATATCTGGAGGTCGTGGGTTCGATCCCTTTATCGGGCGTTTTAGGCTACTGTTTCGAGTCCCGCACCTTCCCCGCCTCTAGCATCAATGCCCCCGCCTGGTCTCAAAGGTAACATAACCACACATCTCATCGCAGTAACGTATTTACTGTTTTTCAGCACCGGTTGTTGAAGATGAACCTCTAGAGGTCGAGGAACGACATGATGATACCACACCTTTGTCAACAACAACGGCAACGCCGGTTGAGCCTGGTTTAGCGGTATTGTTACGGAGCTATGAGAATAGGCCGATGCCTGACGATCTATGCTGTAGTGAAGGAAACTACGTGAGATGAGACGATGTGGTTTTGTATGAACTTCACCGTCGTTTTGGCTATCAGATTCCGGCGAATCCTATACCGTCTAGTGCAGCGAGGAAGAGCCCTTATCCTCAGCAACCGGTGAATGACACGGAATCGATGTGGGTTTGGGGGATTTGCGATGGTTTGGTTGTACTTGTGAAATTTTCAGGTTTCAAAAGTTGTCTTTCGACACGCTAATGTTTGTTTTCTATTATCGTCCTGGCAGTTACGCTCAGTACTAGTGTGGGAATCTTAGGTTACGCTGGCTAAGATTCAAATTAGGTACCTTGCAGCACGAGAGCTAAAGCGGATGAGTTGGAGATTCCATAGCAGATATGGTACGTTCTCTCAGCTTGGTCGAGCGGGAATGTCCTTTTGATAAGGCACGTGGTTCAAGCGTCATAGCGAGCCCTCAGTGGTGAACCCCAAGTTCGAGTACGGCACTTATGTTTACTTTGATTGCTACGCTGACGAGTGGGCGCAGAAGATCAAGAAGGACTTCCAATTCGAGTAAGAGGCTGGTTCATGGGATGTTTGTACGCTCCTCCAGGAGTTTTGTAGTAAGAATTTCTTTTACATGGGAGTTGTTTAAACGGTGAGTAAATAATTCCGGAATGATTATTCAGGGGTCCTATATGTTTGATGGATGCTTTTACTGTTGGATTTTGATGTTGGTAATTTTGCAGTGTGAGAAGCTGTAGTATATTTTCACACTGAATATGAGTATTTATTATGCGCTTTTGATCTACATTTTAATGTATTCAGTTATCGGAGCATATTTATATCACATTTTATCACAATTATATTATTTGGTTCCATTTTAGTGTTTCATGCTAGTGTGCACTTCACTTAACCATCTTTCCATCTCAAGTGAATAACATATGAGCTGGATGGGCCTATTACGGTCTTCCCAGTGGTAGCTCATGATTGTCGTTGTCTACGGAGCTAACCATTAGAAAAGGATAGTGTCAACATCATAAGTCGATGATCCGTCATCAATCCCGCAACGGGGGCACGTGTACTTCTAAGCGTTTTGTCTGTAGTTACTGTCATCTGGAAGATGAGCTTCCGGTGGCGCCTCGGAGAGAAGACAATCGTCATTAAGATGAGCTTACCAGGGAGGGACAGAGGAGATTCCATTTGTTCACTATTATCATTTCTAGAACCTTTCGAGTTGATCAGTACTGCTAATTGTGTTCATCGTAATTGAGGTCGGAATTGAAATAACAGTGTGTTGCTGGTGGTGATCGTCCTTACTTCGCTGAGGCCGTCGTTCTTCGTACTTTTAGGAGTGCATGTAGCGGCTCAAGTGCGTGTTATAGAGCTGGAGAAGTTGGTGAGATATGAAGAGGTCGATGTTAGTAAGATCCGGAAGAGTTTTGGTGCAGGAAATAGACGAACCGTTCGTCACCATGGGTGGCTAAGCATGTTCAAAGTAACGGCTTTCTACTGGGAGATACGGCAACGTTCGGAACGCCGCATTATACAAGTAATGTTCATCGAGGTCTGACAGAGATGAGAAAGATGCTCATGATGTGATGACATTCACATGGGAAACTGATTGAAGAATTTGTTTTAGTCGTGTGAAAGATTCAGAAGGAGTTCCCCTTCACATGGGAACATTACAGGTTTCTGGATGATTATTCGCTGTAGTGAAAGTACGACAGTTTAGGAATAATCGAGAGTAGATCTTGACAATCTTGTGATCTTCACTTCGGTACGGGGCGTTGCTGATTGCTATGAAGGTCACCTTGGTCCAAATATTAGTGGTGCGCTAATTCAGGATCGTGCAGATGATAGATAGTGAGATTAGGACTCTCGGGGAATCCCCGGCGGGGATGGAGTATTGAAGCTATTTGCTCTCAATGTGAAATATGATTGAGCGGTATTTGTCGAAAGCAGTTCGTTTTTTGTCCTACTCGATGAATTGTCCCTATCATTCGCAGAGAAGTCATCAGGATCTTCATCTTGATGCAGCTCAAATTTCTCGTCAACATGGAAAGGTAGATGAAGATGAGCTCGTAAGTACGCAACACGTGGGTCGTATGATGATCACTGCAATGTAGGCCAAGAAAGTTTACACAGAACATAGTCTTTCTGCAGAGTCGACATTATTGTTAATGCTGCACATTCTCAAAGTCCGCCAGCGTTGTCGAGCGTAAGATGTTTACATATATACTGTGATACAGTATACCTATTAACAGCTTATGCAGTAACTGTGCTGCCCATCTGCTGTATTAAGGTTCTTTGCTGGCAAGTTACTTCACTGTCGGGATTGCAATCCTGATTGCAAGCTCAATGTCATCACTCTCAGCATGCACTATTCACTTCGATGGTTTCCTGAACTTCTTCAATACAGCATATAGTCTTGCGACCCACTCACTGCATGAAGGTAGTTTTGTAGTGTTTTGGAATTCGCGTTAGCCGCTATAGCAGGTTAGCCCGCGACGGGGAGACCTGAAACCCTAAAGGCATAGGCATAGAAGGTGCGGGAACTTACGATGTGCAGAACAATGTTTTGCAATTCTTGCACAATTCACCGCTTCTATTCGGGGGCATTTTGATTGCGAAGCTCGAATCTTCTTGAACTGTCCCCGATTGAGCAGACACTTTTATGGACCAGCTCGTCGATGATAACATCTGTACGCCTTTTCATGTTGAGGAAGTCCATCCGTGCTGCTACAGGTCCTGATCTTCGAGAAGTTCTCACTTTGTTCCAGAAGTTACAATCTACCGAGGAAGATATTCAACGTATCCAACATCTCATTTAGGTAACACTGTGAGTTCCGATTAATCTGGGACAATACAGATATTTGCACATCGCGGAGCAGAACGAGAAGCTGCGAGGAGGCGATGGGATCGAGTGAGACGAGACGATGCGATTCTGAGAGTTAAGGTCGATCCTCTATATACAATAACGATTCTTCTGCCGGAGGTGCCGAGTTCACATTGCGAGCTCATTTTGGACCTTGGGGACCATTGCGAATGCTCCTCTCCGAGAGGAGCGGATAACACCCTTAAACTTCGAAGCTCGAAGTCGTTTCGGGCCCGTGAGGTTACCACCCGGAAGGGCTTCTCACAATGGGCGTAATTATTTCAATCGCGACTTCATACGGTGCCACCTGTCGAGAATGTTCTATAACCCTCCGGGATTCGTTCGTCCGCTTTTGGGATGGATAGAGCACTTTTTGCGCTCATTTCGTTTCTGTACTCGTCGATCGGGTCTTTCAGTTTGATGTTGTGCATTGTATGCACAACTCATCGGAATATGGTCTCATTATTAGAATTGGTGGTGCTGGAATCACTATTCATTGGAAACTATTCTGTTCATCATTGTTCTGAGCGACCTCAGTTTGGTGACCAAACTTTTGTAGTATAGCCATGACAAGTACTGCGTCGTAGTAACTTAGTTACTGTAACTACGACTAAGACGATTACTACGACTTATTTCATCACAATGTTATACCAGTTTATATCACAATGTAGTACCACCATAATATTATTTGTCACATTTTCCGATTAGGTTTTATTATAGTGTCTCGTACTAGAATATTATATACTTAATCATCGATTAGTCTCAAGTGAACGAGATATGTCTGGTGTCTCCCAAGTGCAAACTCAAGAGTGTCGTTGTCTACGGAAGTGACCATAAGGAAATGATAGTGATACTAACTATTATACAGCTACCATGAACATTATGATGCGACAACAATCCTGCAATGGGGGCACGTGTACTACTAAGCGTTTTGTCTGTAGTTAGTGTCATCTGGAAGATGAGCCTCCGGTGGCGCCTCGGAAAGATGACAGTGCTAATTAACATGAGCTTACCAGAGAGGGACAGAGGAGATTCCATTTGTTCATTATTATCATTTCTAGAACCTTTCGAGTTGATCAGTACTGCTAATTGTGTTCATCGTAATTGAGGTCGGAATTGAAATA